TCAGGGCAAAGTTTTGGTGTTTCTACACCGAATAGGTAATAATGTTATTTTTTTTTTAATAAGGGATGAGTGAGAGTAAACAAAAATAAGCATAAAGATCCGAACTGCTAAGCTATCCGAGTTACACGTGTTATCGTAGAAGCATAGAAGATAGAAATATGATAATCTGGAATATTTTTATACAATTTTATGCAGAATATTTATCCATAAAATTATATTAAAAATATACTAATGACTTAATGAGCCCCTGATAGTTATTTTGATAATATATTTTCATGTACAGAATTGACATCTACAGATTTATTACAAGTATAGATTTCAGGATAGCTTTCTAGATAAAATGTATAAATTAGTAGAAAAAATATTGTATATATAACATATGCATATTTTTTAAACTTTTTAGTGTTTGAACTTCAATATTTCATAATTATAGATACAAATAATTAATCGTGATTAATTTTTTTGGACCACATACTGTCGAGACGCCACAGCATATTTACGAGGTTTTGACTACTTTTTGATACATTCTTTCATATTTAATTAAATTGAACCAAGAGTTCACGAGGTGCCCATTTGTGACTTAAGGACTAAATTTGCAAGATGTTACGATCTGATTGTAATTTCTTACGACATTTTATGTCCGTGCGTTATTAAAGTTGCGAATTATTTCTCAAACTAATAAACTGTTATTCCTGGTATTACGAATTTGGAGATGAACATAATTTTACTGTTAAACTGAAATACACATTCATATGTATACAAGTGTCTTGTATGCAAACTGGAGAAAGAGTGACCTAGATAACAATGTCTAAAATATTTGAGATTTAAGATGTACATATTTATTTATATAAAATGTTACAATAATAAGAATTAATCATTAAAAACTATCACCTTATAATTTGTTTTAAGCTAAATCCTTGATTATTTAATGTAATAAAATTTTGTTAAATCTAATACTGATTATAAAAAAAGTTTAGGGATAGTTATTGGAACTATTTGATTAAATTTTAGTAAGAAATTTGTTTGTATTTATTTTTTTTCATATTTGAAAATATTTAAAATTTGTAGCATTAACTATAGGATGAAAATTTAAAATAGTTGCTAAATATGAATTGAATTAAAAAAACTATAATACTGTAATAAATAACTGGCTTAGGAAAAGTTATTTTTTCAGACTGTGTCTATGGTTTCTGGCTTTCCTGAATTCATAATCAAATGTTTATTAATATCAATAAATACATTTATTAATATTTTGTATTAAATATTGATATTTTGATTTCTTGGTCACCCTTAATTTAGATAGTGAATAATGATATTAAGTTCGTCCCACTCACCCATCTTTATCAAATGTTTGGTAGCATGCATCGATATCGATCAAGCAAGAATCTTCAACTGGGAATTCGTTAGCGACTTCCGACATCGTTGAGTAGAGCGGACTGAGCCTCCAGCTCAAACCGCGCTCTTTTATAAAGCAATCTAACATCTAACATTATTGCGTGACCAATGAGTGTTTACACAAACTGAAACCGAATTTTCGCGTGAAATATAAAAAATGTAATAACAACGAATCTATACACACTAAAAAAAATTTACAATGACTTATTTTCTACATTTGATTGAAAATATTGTAGTTTTAGTCAACTTTTTTTATTTAAAGAATTTAAATAAATGTTTCCATAATTCATAACATCGTGCGTAAACCGTAGTCAAACAGATGTCAAGTGTCAAGCTTCACAGTGATGTCATTTTCGTGAATCGTTCTGACATTTGAAATAAATATAAACTTTTGATTATTTACTTTGAACTAAAAATGTTATTAATCTTATTTCAAGTCAAATGGGAGATGACTGAGATTTAATAATAAACGAACAATTAAAAGAATAATTAGTTTACCTTTTGCTTCTAAATTAAATTGTATTCGTTGTTACATATAATATGATAATGTATATATTTGTAGTATACTGTATAGCAAAAAGGAAGTTTAACTGGACTGCGTCGGTTTGGTAATGAGAGTAATGTAGCTTGTCTGCCTTTAATGCGCGTTAAATAGGGGCCCTTTAAACCTACATCTGGTTTGCAAGTCCCAGGCACTGTTGAAGCTCTTCTCCCTGCAACGATGGACCTGACAACCGCAACGGTGAATACATTGAATCCTAACAAGTTTTGTCTCACTAGTTCATAGTTTAATTCATTTATTTTCAGTCGTTGATTCTTCCGAAGTGTTTCTCCGAGTCTGTGGCGAGGTCCAGGCTTCCATCGTCGTGGTGAAAGGATGGGACTCACATGTAGAAGGTTCAAGTACAATGGCCATTACTTTAATAATTTTAAATAAGGCAACCCTGAACCCTTGAGAAGTATATGTATACTCAAGTTATCAGTATTTCTAGTTTAATATTTCTAAAATGTTTGTTATCATAGAGTTTGATGCGGGCGCCAGCAGTTAGTTGGTTGATTCCATAACCATCGGGGCAGCCAAAGATGGGGCTGTGGCAGGAGAAAGGAAAGAGGAAAACGCAGACCATCCAGAGGTAGGATAAATTTTGAGTTATATTATTAGTACTGAGAAAATTTCCTATAAGATCCTCCAAGATTTATATGGTTTAGAATTATCACCAATGACTTTTTTCATCCCAACAATTTATTTGAATCATTAAGTACACTGATAATTATTAATCAAATATAATTTAAAAAAAATTCAACTATATGTCAAATGGTTCCATCATAATTTCATGCAGTTGACTATTTCCAGGTTCTCAAAACCAAAACCAGCTTCTGACCAAGGAAGAATTGGATCTTCAGCTTGATCCTAAATTTATCCAGATGTCTCTGGTGTCATCATTATAATATTCATGACAATGGAGAGAAAATTTATTTTTGTTTATAAATATTGTTGTATGAGTAAATGTACATACACACTCAAAATGGATAATTACTAGTTCCCGGATTAATATGTAAATACATATTTTTAATTTACGCGATTTTCGGTCTAGAATGTATTTTTAACATGGATTGTCATATTTAGACTGTGAAAAACCAACTTTTATTTTCCATATTTTACCACATTTCAAAGTTAAGTCCATATTTTACAAGAAAATGTTACAATCATGAATATATTCACAAAAATACATAAAATTTACGTTTCCGCCACCGCCGTCGTCATGTTTTGGATAAAAATAAAAGATTTAATACACTAAAAAAATTAACAAAATTCTGTGCGAAAGTTTCGAGGGCTGTAGACATGGCTTACACAATGACTGAATTAAGCTTGTTTAAGTATACATCTATCATGTCATGTGACTTGAGATGAGACCAATCAGCAGATGTTATGCTATATTATGTTGACCAAATGGTCAGTTTTCACTTTGATAATTTAAAAAAGCACATCATTGTGTTTTGCAACCAATTTGATAAGGCTAGTATAATGGAAGTTGAATAAAACTGTTATTTCTTGTTGAAATAAATATTTTGCTACTTTTTTTCATCATTTTTTAAAATTAACTTAATGATGTATGTCCCGAGTAGGGTTGCAAACTTTTTTTAGAAGAAATAGAGTATATCTGATTTCAAAGGAGAAAAATAAAGAGTATGGACTTAAAAAAAGAGTATTATTTATTTCATATTTTTAAAAAGGTATTTTTTGTACTTTTTACAGCACATAACAATTTTTCTTTGCTTTTAAAAGAATTGTATGAGTCCAAACATTCTAACTGTAAATTTATATAGATCAAGAGCTCTCTTTTAATTAATTTCAATGAAGCTCTGTTTCTCTCTTCTCACCACTTCACATTCATGACCGAAAAGACTCTTCCAGTAAATGCTGAAGTGGCGGTAACAGAAAGTTATTTAATAATTCAGCTTGGAGTTCTTTTAAAATTATAACTTCTGAATATAAACTGTCCATGTGTATTTTTAGTCTTTATAAAATAAGTTTTCTTCTACATTGTCTTCTAAATTATTAAATTCAACATTAGTTTTTAAAGATATTGTATTTAGTGAATATAGCCAGTTATCACTACTAAAATAAAACCATTTTTGTAAATAAATTAAATATTGTCTATACGCAATGAAAAATTCGTGTTTATCTGATTAAACAAATCAGGTGATGATTGTTTAATAAGTTTTAATTTCTGTTTTGTTGTATAGCCAAAATACTTGTCTTTTTGTCTTTGCAGTAATTCTGATTTTAAACTTTCCATTAAACCAAAAACATTTACAACTGTGACAGAGTTGCCTTCAAGAGATTTAATAGTTTTGTGAAATATGATATGGCTGGCAAAATGTAGATAAATTTCAATTAAATAATGCTTACAATCTAACATCAATAGATTTTGAATAATCATAGGGCAATCCTCATCAACACTTGGTGGTGGTGGTTTGAATGTGGTTGGAGGAAATTTGGGGATACCAATTACCAACATATGAACAGTAAATAGTCGAACTTTTTGGTTTTGTATTTAGGTTTTTGCATAATATTATTTGACTAGTAAAAATGTGTAGAAAATTAGTATTTTAGCATACTCTATTAGTGTTATAGATTATAGAGTACACTTACATGATATAGAGTACAATACTCTATTTTAGAGTACGGTTGGCAACCCTAGTCCCGAGTGACCCTTTTCTTATAGTAAAACAATGTTTAATTATGAAAGTATTTAATTTTATACTCCATATTTATGTTTTTTGTCCATATTTTAGATTTTTTAATACATATTTATCCAGGCCCTAATAATTACTGTTAATGTAAGAAAAAATTTATTAAATTCTTTGTTATTACAAATTCTGTTTATTTATACAACTCTCTTTTCACTGTCACTGTTATATGAAGAATTAACACTTAAAACACCCACAATATTCATTACTAGCCCCCTTATTAAACATTTTGTGAACAAAATGTCCCATCAAATGATCAAATCTTTTATATGAACACATAACTCAATGTGTTACACTTCTAATCACTTCTGATGATGTCTGCTTCTGTAAATCTGACTCCATTATATTATTCATCTGAATGTTCCGTTCATGAGCATGTTCATATCAATTAACATATTTTCTTCATCACTCTCCTCATCCTCCTCCATATTTTCAATTTTACCTTAAATAAAGAAATATATATTAAGTAGCAATTATCATTAAAGAATTAGTTATTGAATTTACTAATGAGAAAATTTATTCAGTTTGTAATTGAAAGAAATATAAGACAAAATATAGTTAATATTAATAGTCGGGTTGAAAATAATTGTTTTAAAGTCGTTCTACCATAATCCATGTTTGAAATTCCTAAATTTAGCTCTTCATCATTGCACATTGCCTCGTCATTCAGATCCACCTGCAGTGAGTTATCATCTAAGATAGGTTTTTTGCCAGAATTATAATTTTGCATTAAATTTAAAGCTGATGAAGAACTCAACTCCACTCCTGTATCTTTGCTTCTGTCGGTGTCTTTTTTGTTTGTATTGATGTTTAATTTTGCTTTTAAACTCTCTAGGTGCAATCTTTCAATCTGAAAAATTGGTTGTGAGTTTTTAATAAGATCGTTATTACATAGTTCCAAGGAAGGTGATTTCAAAAAAAAAATATCGTAAGGAACAGATTATTATAGAACATACTACAACTTTAATTTTGAATTGTGTATATAACATGAAATACCTGCAGTGAATTACGTTGGTTCTTTATTTTTGCCAGAGCATCTATAATCCATTTTTTTTCGGCAAGCAACTGAACCTCCTCGGAAATACGATGACCCAATTTCTGATACACGTTGTGAGTTGTCATTTTTACACACGAGATTTAAAAATAAAGTGGGATATCATCAATATATTATTATAGTTATTCTTTGATCATTTATAAAAGATAAACATAGCATGCTACAACCATTGACAAAATATGTCAACTATGACAGTACAAAAGGGTGGATATAGTATTAAAAAACTAATTCCTGCAAGCAAACATTTCAATTATTATCATTAATTTTGAGTTATATAACTTATATTATTTATTTATATATTTTGAAAGCACAAATAATCATCATTTCCGTACAAATCATAATATACAAAGTTATATGCGGTTTATTAAAAGATGGAGGCAGCATTATAATATTAGAAATTTAGTCACTGACAACACTGTTTACGTTTACAGTTATGTACCTATTGATGTTTTGACTTTAGTATTTTTATGACAATCGTAGTCCGTAGTAGATTGATTACAAAATACAAACATTGAAATACACTTTACAAGACACCAGTAAAAATGTCCTCAGCTGTGGAAGCATATGGCGGAGATGTTAATTTTGATCGAAGACTAATAGAACGAATAATATTAGATTTAGGTAAGAATTACCTTATGCCCAACAAAATAATGTCTACTGTTACGAAATATCTTTAATAGTCAGTGGATATATTAAAAAAGCAATTTGACTGCAATTTCGTGTTGTTGTAATTAGTTATGAATATAATAATTCGATGTTATAGCGGAGACTTTTGAGATCAGGGTTGTGTGGGAACATGAGACAGCGATTCTAACGGGAGTCTTCGCCGTAGCCGGAGGTCTGATAGGAGGGTTCACAGGAGGAAAGATGGGGGCAGCGGTAGGGGCCGGCATTGGAGGAGCTGCGGGATTTGGAGCCTCAAGTAAGTTAGATATTATTAATTTAATCTAAAGTTCTATATGGCTTATCTTCATCATCTTATGTACTATAGGGGCATTTCACGTGAAGCGGACCGGAAAAAAAAAGTGAGGTTCGGAAAATCGATCATACTGGGGCCATTTATACTTAGTAGGTATGAATGTAAACACAGCGATGCGATGGTCTAGGAGGGAATCTCAAACGTTTAGCTGCGCGTGCGAGTCTACAGTAATCTTCGAGTAAAGCAATCGTAACACCAATACGATTATGCGTTTGGACAAAATCATCTTTAAAACAAACAGCCATTTACTTCTCTTCTAAAGACGACATAGAACACCAGAGAATTTTTTTGCAACCCCGGTTTGATTCTACAGTCATGGCATTCGTGTGAAGAGGATCAGTTCTAGCAAAGATTTTAAAGTAGTAAAAATTACAAAATAAACTAGTTCTTGCATTGTGACAATAATGTTTTATGATGTTATAATTATTATAGCACACCAGTTAACCAAGACATGATGTTTAACGCACACCAGCCGATCTAAGCTAGCGTCAGACATCACGCCCATTGCGACGCGTGTGTACATATATCAATGTAACTCCTAAACTAATAGAAATCAGATTCAAAATTTTTAGGTTATTTTTGATATATGTTAATCTATATTTTGAATAAAAAAAATTAAAAAAAAATCGGTCGATGTGCATAAAATTTAAGTTTGAAAAGTTTACTTCCGATTTTGGACATGAAAACAAAATCTATTTTTTTTTATTGTTAAAAAGAACAGTCTTTTTCGATAAGTATCGCTATGATATATATACTTTATTGTAAATTTATTTAATTGAAAAAAAATACCTTCGTAAAAATTAATATTCCGATTACGGCAATTCTTTAGATACCCATAACTTGTGAAATATACATTATACAAAAAAATATATATATTCTGTGTTTACATTCATACCTACTAGAAGTATAAATTTCCCCAGTATGATCGATTTTCCGAACCTCACTTTTTTTTCCTGTCCACTTCACGTGAAATGCCCGTATAGTATATAACAATTAATGAAGAACATACCTCTTTTATATCATAAGATCTACTTATTTATTTTCCTACTTTATGCTATAAATATTAAAAATTTGTTGTTACTTTTATAATTACTGTATAATTCAAATTAATAACTTTAAATAAATAATGTAGACTAATTAAATTAAATGTTCTCATTATTTTCAGAAGTGATATCTCTTCAAGACATCTGGAACAAAGTTAAAGACAATTTAAAGGAACTTTTTTATATTGTTGTGAACATCTTGCGACGCTTCGACTATTCAGACTATGAAAGAGCATATTACATTATAATGGCTTGTGCTTCAAGCCGTAGGGAGCTGGTATTAACTATTATTGAGTTTATTGCTGATAAATTGAAACGACATGTCTTCTCTAGTATTCAATCTTATTAAACATAGCCTAAATGCATATAATGAACTATGTGAAATTTGTGATCTAGATTTAGGGTGCCTTAAAATCATTATGAAAAATTGTAAAAAATATTATATGTAAGATTTACATCAAAATTTTTAGTCAGCAATGATTTTTTTCAAGATAAATTTATTTTTAAATCTGTCCTTTATTGCTCTAATTAGAACATATGTGATAAGATTATATAAAGTGTGAATATTTATTTATTACCTGTGTTTTATTTACAATTCTTTTTATATTTCTTGTATAGGGATAAAAATAAAAAACAAATATATATTTTTTATTTATTGTACCGTTGTACACACCACTGAGATCTAAAGACGACTTCTGTTTAACTATTACTCAACAAGAGACTACTATGTAGTCTTCTAGGAATTATTGTCTCAAACAAACATCTATTATCATTTTAATATATAATCACTAGCCATGATTTAATATAGGAATGTCTATTTTTTCATATAATTGTCTACAAATAATTATTCTATTAAGTTTATTGAAGAGGTGCTATGTGAATAGCTGTTCTAAATAAGTACATTGATAGTGCATTTTGATAATATTATTTCTTAATCATATATAAAATATAACACAAACCAACACATATATAAATAACACAGTAAATACATAAGACAAGTTTTAAAGTTAGTAGAGCCTAACTGTGGTTAAGTAACTACAGCTCAAATATGGGCTGGCTCGACCGGGGAAGTACCATTTTCTCACAGATGGTATGAAGTAGCCTTTAATAGCTGTATTTCGTACGATGAGTGAGAGAGATGGTTGTCTATTCCCAACTCCTCTCTCTCCCACAATCAAGATCGACAATGCATCTACAAGATCTCTTATGTTGCACATGTCCACGACCGACAGTACTGCTATCTAATAGGCCATCTGCCCTTTTGTCGCCTTTAACATAATAAATATATAATAATACTATTAAGGACACAAGTTAAAGTTCTATACTAGTTGTAGTTTTCTACTATAACTATAGTATCTGAGTTAAATCACTGAGACAATTTGATGCTCCAACAAAGCAATTTAGTGAAAATACTATTATTCAGTAATGTAGATTGCCTATTACCATAAATACTACACTTTAATATATTGTTTACTTTCTATTTCTAGATTTTATTCTAGATCCTCCTAAAATACTCCCAAAACTAAGTTAATTTAAAACTCCATCCCTTCACAATAAATATTAAAACTAAAATACATTATTTTAGGAACTATGATTCAGATTCTCTTGCAATCCGCGCGAGGATCGAAGATTTATATTCCATAATTTTTGTCATGTTGAATAAAATAAAAATATTCGAATACAGTTTGCACGGAAATAAATTTTAACACTGGAGTTTAGTGTTTGAAATAGCAAACACAAAAAAATCTATATCTTAATGGCTGGTTGGACTTAGGCCCTCAACTATTATAATACTACAAGTGCAAACTGTCCTTGTAGTTGTTGGTTCACTTGTCTTCCTCCAGAGCCGTCTTCAGCTCCATGGCCAGCTTGTAGCCGAGCTCCGGGCGACGGTCGCGACCCTCCACCATCGACAACACCTGCAACATCCAATATGTTACCTTTGGAAACCACAATATGTATGTAGGTAGGCCAAAAAGGTTCGCGGAAGAAGAGGTATGGTGGGAGAAAAAGGTCAGTTTTTTGGCTATACTACTTGTCACACTCACTAAGGGAATAAATAATAAAATTTCACAAAAATCAGGTTATTATTCAGTATGATACAGTTCAATAAACAAGTGAATCTAGAAGAAAATTTAAAACATAGAGAAATTCAGTTTCGAGCAGTGACTAGTTTTCTTACTTAAATTTGGCTTTTTTTCCTTACATTCCGCGAACTTTTTGATACACCCTAATATTCGTATTATGTTTTATAGTATATTTAATATGGTCGTTTTTTAGTGATATTTAATTATTATAAGTGATTTGTTTTGATTGTTAAAACATTTTACTTTGTGTGCTAATCAATTCAACACTTCGTCCTAGAGTTTTTATATTGTTTCCTTGAACACGAGGCCGTACCTGATGAGAGTCTACTATGACTCCATTGTTGGACACGATAGTGTCTTTGGTTCGCTCGATGTCAGCGAGTTCGACGCCTCTCGACGCATCGTCCACTAAGACCGAACGGTAGCCTATGGCTAGAGCATCGGCTATTGTTGCACCTACAAAGATATATCTTAAATTGTATAAGGAATATTTTTTATTCTTTGGTTGTAGAAGTCGTGTAGTACAAGTAGAATGGGAAATGAAAAAAAAACCCCTTCACTGTGGTTAAGGTTATTTATTACTGGAGGATAGTTTGTCAAAAACAATAAATGGTTTCATATTCCTGCAAGATCTTGGAACTAAATTATTGTGCTGTTGTGATACTTACCAACACACACATCATAGGCCAGTCCACAGATGTAAATGTCGGTGACGTTCCTCTCCCTGAGTTGAGTGCTAAGACTGGTTTTTGTCAACTTCTTGTTGTCCCAAAACACCGAGTACGAATCCACCTCAGGGTTGGTACCTTTGTATACCATCACGGCTCCTTCCACAACCTATAACATAATAGTCTAAATTTGGCATATTCTTCTGAAAACCCTTGTTTTTATAAGTCTTCTAAATATTTCATTTCAGATCCATTAAGAAGATTTATTCTTCTGAACTAAAATATGAATTGTGATATAAAAACAAAATCAGTTTTAAAGAAGCTCAAGGAGTTATTTGTTTCGATAATGTTCAAACTATAAACTTTATTATTTTTACAATTATAGAGACGCTCCTTATTCCGTTGCTTCTTTTGTTCTTTCCTACCTTCAGATCCTTATGCAACTCCGCGCCCCAAGTATCCTGAACACAATGCCGTGGCCACAGCCTCTGCTTCATCGGTGGTGGTCCAGCGAACACCACCGTGTCGTAGGCCTGGGCTTTGTCTGCTGACACCTACAACATAGAAGATGGTTTATAACTCAGTCTTTTCAAAAGACCTTCCAGGGGCCCAACTGAACTGTTCTTTAGACTCAAAACAGATCAGTTGGGCCATCAATGTATGTTAAATAATTTTTGAATAAAACGTAAATGACCTGTGGACATTTGTACAGATATTAAAATTTTCTGATAGTTTAATACTGTAAACTTTAAGAGAAGGACGGTAGGATGGTTTTAAATAAAAGAATATTTGTCAAGTTTTATTTATAATATGTGCAGTGTTGAATGTACCTATTGTTTGTCTATTGTATGAGTTTATTTTCTGACTGGTTCATGTAATAACATTTTATAGTTAATACTTTGTTATTAGAATAAGTTAATGGTACTCTGTTTTTCCATGAGTCTAATAATAAGGTTTTCATAAGACGTAAGTGATCGATGCCGACGTCATTTGGTACCAACTTATTACATAATGCTCATATTTTTATCGTCTTCTTTTAACTGCGGCATCACGTTTACATAATAAACATTATATATATTGCTTTGTATAATATATTTTCATCTTCGTCTTTTCTCTAAGTTATATGTAATTATTAATTTGATTTTAAGCTTCTGGGTTAAGAATACGTTTGCAATTTTTTTTCTGGTACCAATGTGGTGAGATTCTCGGCACAAAATTAACCAATGATTTTATTAAAACTCTATCATATTCTCATATATTATTATACTAGAATATATTTCCCACCATTGTTTGTTATTAATCAAGGCTATTGTTATTAGTAAGTATTGTCAATGTTACGTCTCCGTTAGTCCACGTATATGTATCTCTGCTCTAGGTACAAGCTAGTACTAAAACACCGTTTTTTGGTCTTAATAAAGGTTTTTTTTTAAAATAAGGACGCGTTTGGGAAAGAAATTAAAGAAGTTGTGTGCTACGTTTTTATATGAGTGGCACAATCCGAGTGGCCAAATTTTCAATTATTCTTCGGTCAAAATTTGGGACTTCTTCCAAATGATTTGAAGCCTAGTAAGTGAACAAATTTTGTTGTATGTGGTATTAAATTTTAAGCTCTTGGGTCGGCTGAATCGTACACGGATGTAACCCTAAGTCTCACCGCAAAATACGCCAAGTTGAGGTTTGCGAACGACCGAGTTCTTATGTTCATCGACGAATTGACTGTCTCGGATCCTACTATACATATGACGGACCGCGGCGATAGTTTCAAATTTGGCCACCAAATGTTGAAGCGTCGACCATGAAGGGCTACCACGTCTACCGTAAAAAGGACGATATGCACATAATGTTTGAACTAACGAACACTCATTTTGATAATAAGGTATTATCAATTGTTCAATCGTGTAAACTGCCATGGTGATTTGGCATAAGTAACTGAATAATAAACAAAATATTTGACAAATATCATCAAGACCAAATGGCCGCCAAGGGGCGCTAAAATCTACCCGCCCATGGAAAACCCTTTATTACAGATCCCTCACGAGTCATGCCGTAAATTGGTCGATATTTCATGTAATATGACGGTACTCACCGGGCTGGAAGGATGGAGCTCCCTCATGTGAACATTATCGATGTATGACACGTGGTCTGGAGGATGCCAGTCCAGGGAGTAGAACACGCAGTCGAATGGAACAGTTGACAGCAACCAGTTGATGGGCTCCACGACCTATAGGAGAAGAGCTTGAAAAATATATCGAGTAGCCTTGATTTGTTAAAATAAAACGATGAAAAGTCCCAGAACGTGCATATATACCTGCAGGGACTTCCCCTATTTTGCAATCTATCTTATGCACTGATATAAGACGCTTATGGTGTTGTTTGTTGTCTTACAAATGTGACAATATTTTAAAAAATCCAATAAAATTTCAAACTCAAACCATTTTATTCAATATAGAAGCATTACACCTTCTTATTGATGGACTTGAGACACTACCACCGGTTCGGAAAAGAAAATACCCTGACCTGAGAAGAACCGGCGAAAGAAACTCAGCGGGTTTTTTTTAAATATATATTGGTCTCATATATTATATACACAATGTAATATGAGATAAAATAGCCAGGAGGCGATCGTTTCATTCCCAAGGTGTGCTATCGATCATAAACTCATTAATTGTATAGTAACCTTTTGCACACAAGCGTTCCTTAATAATTTTTTTAAATTTAGCAACAGAGGCATTTTGAACGCTTTCTGGGATCCTGTTGTAAAACCGTATACATTGAACCACAAAGGAGTTAAATTTTAAATTTGCATTATAACATGGCCAAACAATACAAAATATAAAAATATAAAATCTTGTTAATACGCTAATATATCATTGCTTACAAACACCTGTAAAGAGGAAATAATTATCTTTTAGGATATAAATAGCAAACTGCAAATATATATTACATTAAGAAACTTCTTGCAGAAAACAATATTTGTTAAAAGTACTACTGAAACCGCTCCCAGCACTGTAAGGTTCTTAAATCACAGACCTGACTTCAAACTAATTCTGTGATACACCATCAAACCGTTTCACAAAATAATTCACCATTGATGGACCGTTTACAATAGGACTATTGATTGAACTGGCTTCGGGTTCTAGCAGAATATGATGACCAAATTATAATCATCCCTAAGTACGTACAAAAAGAACGTTCAACATTTTTATCTTTATAACTTCAGTTGCTTTATTACTTTCAGTTACCTTCAACACGCGTGCTCACTGAAATTCGAGATGAAAGTGTCTGCTACTGACTCTTATCTTTTATCATCTACCGCCAATGATTTCTTAATTTTCTATCTCACTGATAAGGGTGATTTTTTTATAAAACGGGTATTATCTAGTCTTTTTTAACTTTATCATCTTATATTTGAACTACAGTTAGGTACATATTACTTATAGACATACTTTCAGTTGTCGATGCCTACATATGCTTTTTGTTAAATTATCTTTAACTAGCTTTTGCCGCGACTTCGTCCGCGTGGAATAGTGACTTCCGGCAGATTTTTGGTTCTTCCCACATAGTTCCCGTTCTTACGGGGTTTTCGGAATGATCGAGTTCCCGTAGAATTTTCAGGATAAAACCTATGTTTTTTTTAATTCACAATAAAGTACTCTTAACCAACAACATATTTATTTGTTTATTTGAATAAAGATTAATATAATTATGTTGATACAACTTAAACAAATTATTTCGACCAAATTAGGTACCATAAAAACGGTTTTTGTGAATTAATCTTAACAGATAGACATATACTGTCGCGGACTATTTTTTAGATCATTAAAAGAGCTATTATTCTTTAATGTATTAAAGTATGTATATTTTTTGTGTATTTTGTACCGTTTTCACGGCGCAACGGAAGGCTTAAAAGATGAAATAATTCCTCCCGTTTTTTACACATTTACCACTATATCTTTGCTCCTATTGGTCGTAGCGTGTTGTTATATAGCCCACAGCCTTCCTCGATAACTGGACTATCCAACACAAAAAGAATTATTCAATTCGAACCAGTAGTTTCGGAGATTAGCGCTTTCAAACAAACAAACTCTTCAGCTTTATAATATTAGTATAGATAATAATTGCTTATTACTGATGTACCCTATTCTCAGTTAATTGTTAACTTTAAGATTGCTACAAGTAGATTTACTTGTATTATAAAATATAGTTATAGTTTTCATCAATACGAGATCCGTATAAATAGCAATCTTATAAAAATTACAATAACAAACATCCTTCCTTATAGTTACTTGAACTCTTTTGGCTTTACTTGTAATTTATAATCCCTAGCAGAAAATTTAAGTAAAAGAAAAGCATAGATCTATTAGTTTTTAATTAACTAATAATAGCAAATAAAAAATCATAAAGCTATGGCCCGCAATATAAATGAAAGTAAATATAAGTCATACGTACTTATACTCGTATTGATAAACGCATAAGAAATTATTTGATAAAATTACTATATTAAGATGCACTTCGGATAATAATCAACAGACCCTTCAGCGATAAACACTACATTGATAAAACTATACTTTACAATAATATGAAGCAATGTTAACAAAATTGGTGAAAAAAAAAAGCCATAGAAACATCATTAGATTAGTTTCCAAGGACTATGTCTAATGTCCGCATATTTTTTGGTGCATTAAAACCGAACAAGCAGACCGCATTGCCCCAGTTATTTAACCAATAGCACTTAATAATGAGTCCAAACTCGATGGAGCACCAATTCTGTTACCGCATCCAACCGTGCCAGGTACCGCTGATAGCCTAATTGCTGTTCGCCACCTATAGTGTGAATGCCATCAATCCGACGCGACTGACAGACAATTATATTAGGGAAATTAATATGATCGTTTGTTATACTAAGGTTGCACTTTTAATGAATTGTTTTGTGATTGGCGTTTCTATTTCAAGGCTTTATTGTGTTTAAAATTAATCGGTTTTAATTTTCTTTCATCTATTTATACATGCAGTGATAAGCGTTGATTAATTTTGAACGATACATTGTATTTTTTTTACATAATAACATGCAGTTTGGTTTAGCTATTGGCACTATTTACCAAAAAACTGCTGCTCTATGCTTAAGACTTTGCTGAAGTGCGACATCAAAAAAATTCATTTCAATAACATTTTTGATTAAATCTTTTTTATTTCATTAAACGACAGAAGTCTAACAGATTACTTCAGTAAGACATATATACAGATAGTTTATCTCGACTTCAGCTGTTAAATCTTGACCATATATTATTTTACTTGTAAATACTGTACAAAAAGTAAGTTACAAAATTTTTATTTATGTTCTAAGATTCACAATCGTAAAACAACCTTGACATTTACGAATTGTTGTGACACAAACGTAAGGACTTTTCTGCAATAAAATATACTATATATTTATATGTATATACATTTTATATAAATATTTAAATTAGAGCTCGAATTACGGTTACCGTCACAGCTAATTGTTATATTAGGCATAGTTCAAAATGATTACGTACATAAGCTTGTTTTAGTACTGAATTAAGTAGTATTGATTATTACAAATACAAGAAAAAAGCGTAAACTCTACCAGAATTTCAAACTATTGTCCGTTAAAAGTTTGTCAGTTATTTTAAGAGGGAATTCCCCGACTCGCGAAAATCAAATACAATGTGTTTTGACAAATGGAATGACACTTTTATTCATAAAAAGACGTTGAATGACAATAATTTATTATTATTATTGTAAATTTACATTAACTTTAATCATATTCGGCGACGTCTCCATTTCACTTCGTAACAAAAAAACCGGGTATGGAATAACTTCATTTGGAGTTTTTTTTGCTACATCGAGGTCATGGCTATCGAATTCATTACTATATAACACAATCAATCGTTTTATTAAACTAACATATCCATTATTTTCATGTTAAATAAATATTTCTTCACATATGTACGGATAAATTAAAATATAGCACCAGTATGTTTACAAAAAAGATTAAAGTAGTAAAAAGATTCTTAAGCCAATCATTCACGTCATACAATCCATCGCATAGATAATTTCCCATTGATCAAACCAATACGTAGTTACGAGGAACACATGTACCTACCTATGTGTTATTGATTTGTTAACCTCATTCATATTAAACCTTCTTGTATCTCTTTTAATCTGTATGCTTTTTGTTGACTATTGACCGTTATTTTTCTTTAATTATGACATTTAATTTTCGCGCCAAAAATAACCGTTTACAAATAAGTAATACTTTTAAAAAAATCACTAATGGCTTTTTATATATCATAATAGTATTTTGAAGACTTTGTTTTGTATCTAAAAATAAATTCGTTACGGTAAAAGTTATACCGATTCCGCGGTATGGACTCCGGTCACGAATATTTTCAATAATGCTGTATTGATACAACTTGAGAGGTTTTGCGAATATTTTTCTTTTTAACTATTTTCCGTCAAAGGCCACACATTTATTCTGTTTGAGTTCTTAATTACAATTAATTCCATAATATTATTACCATTCATCGAACTTTTTTGACATATAGGTATGAAAAGTACGTCCTAAAAATAAACATATAACTAAAATCGATACAAATTGATTTGATGCTATTCGCATCAAGATGGTACAACTTTCCAAACTTAGTTAGTGATATGATCCTGTCATATAACTCAAAATTAAAGTTTTCTATAATAATAATTAAAGAAGGCCCTTAAAAAAACTTTGTGTTACAATTTAGGACTATTTCAAAGTTGTTGTTTATCTGCTACAATATTTAATATTGTAATTAATATCTTAGTAGATAAAATAATGTGCAACGAGAAGAAAAGGGGATATCAGTTCATGTTTAATAATAAATACAAAGAATCCATTTTAGCCTTCGCTGACGATTTTACAACACTGACATGTAGCCCCAAACACTGTCAAATAGTATTGGATGAAGTGGATTAATTCTGTGAGTGGACGGATGGATTGAGGACAAAACTAAGTAAATGTCACTGTCTGTGTCTGGGTAGGCGAAATACAACAAGGTCAATGCGTTTCTATGGTTACGGAAAATGCAGCATTTAAATTTCTCGATCGTAAGATGGATAATAAAGGTCGCGCTCCATCTTTAGAAGGAATAGTAGATAGCTTTTTAAATGATCTCAACAAGGTAGATAACAAACAGATCAGTAACGTCAATAGCTTCGCGTTTAAATTGACTTTTCCTTGACTATTATTTTAATAAAACATTTTTTAAAAAGCGTAAAGGGAAATAACCACAAACGAGCGATCGTTTTTGTGAGGAAAGGCACCAAGGCTATAAAATCAAACGTCAAGCCTTACCCTATCCTTAAAGCGGCTTCGGGGATTGTACTATAATTGCGGATACGTATGTGAAACAATATAAAATCCCCGGGGGCATTTGTGCGCCGCCTTCCATACCAGACATATTTATTTATTCGGGAATTTTAAAGCGCTTTGTGGTTATAGAGCTAGAAAGAAAGAAAGAAGAATCTTTCTTTCTTATAGAGCTCACACTTCCTTGAAAAACCCTGCCATCAAGGTCAATAAATATTTCGAACTCACTAACGAACTCACTAGAAATGGGTTCGTCGTGGATTTGTTCGCGGTAGAAATTGAAGCGAAAGCTATAACAGCTAAATTTCTCTACAACCTACTAAAAGAATTGGGCCATTTTTGGAACGTACTTCGAAGGCAGCTTTAGTAGGTTCTTCTCAATTTTAGTTAGGTAGGGAGAGGAGCTTGGACAGTGGAGCTGAGCGTATAACGCGCGTTACATAGGCGCCCTTAAACCTACACCTGGGTCTCAAGTCCCAGGCACTGTTGAAGCTCCTCTCCCTGCAACGATGAACCCGGATCTGTACGGTGCATCCTTTGAATGCTAAAAAGTTTCGTCTCATATGTACGTAGTTTGTTCAAACTCGACAAGATCTTTAATATGTTATGTTTTCCTGACATGATAACATTTTTTCTCTGTAGTAAATTTCGTGAACACAGTTATTCATTTGTCAGTACAAATTTGTCGATGGTTAATTAATAAACTAACTCACCTCAGATCCGTCTTGTTGGGCGTTACACTTGCTGATGTTGAGAGTGCCGGAGATGAAGTCGTTTTGAACGTCGACTATAAGGAAGGCGCTCGTCGGTCGTACTATCTGTTAATTGAGACAGGATTCAGATCATTCTGAGATGAAATGGATGCTGGATGAAAGATGATGATTTGAAATCATGTTCCTTATATAGCTCCCGTAATAAAAAATCCAATTATTCCTTTGTTTAAATTCTAGGTCTAGATATAACAACTAGCATGCGAAAAGAATAATACTCAAGGAAAATGCATGAATATTTTCAGAGACGCAGTTTTCCTCAATCATTGAAGTTTTTAAACGAACGACGAACGCGTGAAACGTCTAACTGTAATTATAGTTAGTGAATAAACAGTCGGTATGTGATCAATTAATATTGAAAAATTGTTCAGATCGATTTAAACTCAGTTTAAACATACGTATGGTTTTATTGATTCGTAACTTGTAATAATGGTTTTTTTAAATATAAAACGTAGATTTTGGAATGAAATTCAACAAGCATTTTGATAATATAGTTTTATCATTTGTACGGGATGTTCAATAGGTTAACCTGCCATGGTGATTTGGCATAAGTAACTGAATAATAACAAAAATATTTGACCAACGTCATCAAGATAAAATGACCACCACGGCCGCTGAAATCAACCCGCCCTTATTGGAAAACCCTTTATTACTCCTGAATTTCACCTTGAAGAAAATTACACATAAAGATACATAGACATAAAGTAATCGATAAGCGTGGTCTGTTAATTGATATATTTTTGTCTACATACAACTTTAATCCAGTGGTTCCAGCAGAAGGCGAACTCCTCGCGGTCGATGGCTCCGTCCCGGTTCCTGTCGAACACCTGGAACATGTGCCGCAGGCGCTCCTCGGACAGCGGGTAGATGTGCCCCTTGTCGTTACGGAACAGAGCCTTGCAGATCAGACGGAACTCCTCCAAGTTCAGCTGACCGTCCCTGGGTAGAGAACGCCGCGAATGTTTAATAATCGACTCAAACCAGGGCTTGATTAGGCAACGGAAAGCCGAGCAGAGACTTTTCAACTAACTTGTACATAAATATAAATAGTACATTTTCTGGACATACACATTTTCTGGTGGGACGTAGGGCACTCCTGGATAACGGCATATATTCGCATCTAAATGAAACTAATAGTTTTCGCATTATACTAAGTACGTGTACTTTATTATTGTAAAAACTACATACTCCCGAAGTTTCGGTTATTTTTCATCAATCGTGATCACGAAAAACGAGATGTGAATGTCTGTCAGTTGGTCTTATTTTTTAACATCTATCACCACTGACTTTTTAATTTTCTGTCGCTCTGCATGCCTCAGAATGCACTTACGGTATCACGAGGTTCTGCGGTGTGGTCACGGACATGGGATTTTCTATCTATTGAAAAAGGGACGTTATTTAAATTCAATAGCCTCGCGGATTAACCTCGGTATGTACCTGCCTTCATGAGTGAGTATTTGTGGTTTATGAAACCGAATGTCATCTTGTGGTTTGTCCATTGTGGGTTTACACACTGCTGACTTCGAAGGGCGCCTAGTTTAGATGTCTGAGATATGTTCCTTTACTCTTAAACCTATGCTAACGAAATGTCGTGAGTATGTATAGTGTTTTTACAACAATAAAGTAAGCTTAATATAATACGAAAAATATCACTTTCATTTATTTGAATACTCCCGAAAGTCTCTCAAAGATCTCTATACTCATATGGTCATAATAGGGTTAAGAAATTATATATGGATTGGTTAGTAACTATCTTTCCATATTCAGAGCCAAAATTAAGTAACCAAAAACATGTTATCAATAGGTTTTCTAAGAGAAGGCACTAGGGCTACAAAATCAAACATGAAGCCTTACTCTATTCTTAAAACAGCTTAATATATACACATAAATATATATAATATATACACACATAAATAAAATACTTGAAAAACATAAAAAGATAAAAGTAAATGGTTAAAAACTATCACCTTACAATTTGTCATAAAATAAATCATTAATTATTTCATATAATAAAGTTCTTTTTTAAATCTAATACTCTTTATTTTGAGTATTTTATCATACAACAACAATAAATTTATAAGTGACAATAAGTTTAGGGAAGCTTATTGTAACTTTTTTTGTTAGAAATTTGTTTGTATGTTTAAATTTTTTCATATTTAAAAATGATAAGAAATTGTAGCATTAATCATACTATAAAAGACATAAAATTGTAGCTAAATATGAATTTTATGAAAAAAATATCTATAAATTTTAATATTTTAAAAAATTACTAGTTCAGGAAAAGTTTGTATCAGTGGCCACTGGCTTTTTGAATTAACAAACAAATGATTATTAATATTAATAAAAAGAGTTTTTTATATTTGGAATTCAATATTAATATTCTTATTTCTTGGACACCTTTAACTTAGATCGTGTATAAAGATATTAAGTTCGTCCCACTCACCCATCTTTATCAAATGTTTCGTAGCATGCATCCATATCGATCAAGCAAGAATCTTCAACTGGGTATTCGTCAGCGACTTCCGACATCGTTGAGTAGAGCGGACTGAGCCTCCAGCTCGAGTCGCACTCTTTTATAAAGCATTCTAACATTGTTGCGTGACTACTGAGTGTTTACATAAACTGAAACTGAACCTTCGCGTAAAATACGTAAAAAATTGGATGAAAACAAATCGAAGCACACTAAAACAGATAGACAATGATTTATTTAATACATCTGATAGAAAAAAATGCAGTTTTAATCAACTTTTCATTCAAAGAATTGTGAAATAAATGTTTTATATTTCATAACATTGAATCATATGTAGTTAACAAGACGTCAAGTGTCAAGCTTCACATTGGTTTCAAATTCGAGTATCGTTTTGAAATTTAAAATAAAATAATATTATAATTATTATTTTGAACTAAATATGTGATTAGACTTATATAATATTTAAATAAACAAAGTATATTTTAAACTACTACACTTAGTTGAACATCAGAATTTCTGACTTTTTTTTTAGGAAGAAAAAGAGGATATTTTTATATGGTAATTATACAGGCTGACTGGTGAATTACTATCGATACTTGAGGACGTGATATTTGACGATCATATATGACAAAATAAAAATTAATATAACATAAATATTAATAAACTTCTAAGTAAAGTTAACCAAAAGTTATGTAATTAATTACGCATCGTATGAACACCCTACAGATTAGGTATACACTCACACTCACACATAAGCGAGCGGGGCGTGGTGTTGTATCAGCACGCCTCCGCACGCGTCCACACTTGGAACACTTGGAACGTGTCAACACTTTATTTATTTATACGGAAATTTTGTCAAAAATTAAGTACCTATTATTTTTTTAATAATTCGATGAGAATCATGTACCGAGTATTCTCCTTAAATATTGATAAATCGTTTTCGAATTACCAATTGATATAAATTATGGTTATGGTCTAAAAAATAAATGTTATTTATAATAGAAACCGTAATTTAATATTGGTGTCTTTAATGTTTTTGACAAGTGACATTATCAAAGTAATTTGAGTTTTGACAATAATAGCTTGCCGCTTGATCGCGGCGTTGTTGAAATATTGTAGTTTAAGCATATTCTGCTAAAAATATACAGGCATCAAATTCGATTGTAGTTTTCAAGTGACTGAATACTGTTTATTAAATACATTTTTCGATAAGTATCTGGTTGCTTCCTCTACTTTTAAACGAATTTGATTTAAGTTTTTGGTCAAGATGATTGAAAAAGTTCACGGTTTGCAAGCTACGAATATTTCTCTCAATGATCGGTTCACGTTATTGGCTAACACAGCACCCATCGCCCGCATCGCTAGACCGCGGAGACGGTCCTCTGGAATGTATTCGCTAAACCAAAACGCCAATCGGCTTCTGATTGAACAAATCGCACAACGTTTAGGACAGCAGTCAAAGCGGGTAGGTACAGATTTAAAAGCTTAATAGATAAGTTCAGCATAATTAATGTACAACTCCTTATCTGTTTATATCGCTTATGTTTATAAACTTACTTTTCCATGTTCAATTTTCTTCTCCACTGTAATGTCGAATATGAGATACAATATAAAAATACACGAACAATAATTTAAAAAATTTTTTTAGTAACAGTTTGCTTTTAATTTAGAATGTATGCCATCATTGTTATTGTATTTTTAGTATGCTGTACAGCAAAGACTTGGTTTGACTGGACTGCGTCGATTTGGAAGTGAGAGTAATCTAGCTCGTCTGTCGAGATCAAATAGCTTTAGCAATTTGAACCAAAATGCCAAGAATAGATTGTCTTGGAGACAGTCAAATGGCAATATAAGGTAAGATACATGATATTTATAACAAAATAGAAAAGAGTAAATATGATTGCACTCAATTTATTGCTAAACATACAGCAAAAAAAATATGTTTTGAATCACAATAGTTTTAAGGGTTAACAAACTGGTATGTGATACAGTTGCAGGTTTGATTCCTTACTAATTATGTAATTGTCCATTTGTCTTTGTTTTTTATTATGACTAGTTCACAATTATAATTTAATAAATATTATTTTCAGTTGGTCATCATTCCGAAGTGTCTCTCCAAGTCCGTGGCGAGGTCGCGGTTTCCGTCGTCGTGGTGGACGGATGGGACTCACAAGAGGAAGATTCAGGTACAACTACTTTTAGAATATACCTACTACAAGTTTGCTGAGGCTAACTACATAAGAACAGTTTTTTGGTGTTCACACATTTATCTTCATAGGTAGTTGTATGTTTCAAACTAGTGTTAAAGGTACAGACGTCCCATGAATCACAGGCTATTGTAGTTGAAATGAATACATATCTTTCAAGTTATCTACTTGCTTTAGTTATTTGCAGCCTATCCCTACTTATATTATAAATGCGAAAGTAACTGTAAAACGCATTTAATTCATCTCGAACAAGCCCAAAGATCAGTGCTCAAAACGATGTTGAAGAAACCATTCGATTATTCAACAACTAAGCTTTATCAGGAAATCGAAGTTCTAACTGTACGCCAAATATACATTTTAAAAATTGCACTTAAAGTTCATCACAAAACTGTATCTTCAAAAGACTTCAAAAATTTACTTAAACGTCGGGACTATAGGCTCCCCTTGCCCAAAATTAAGACATCTTTTGCTAAACGCTTCAGTTCCTTCATTGAGTCTTTTATTTATAATAAAGTAGCTAACGCTTGTGACATTAAACATTGCTCTGTTAAACAAGCCAAAACAAAAATTATTCCTTGGCTCTCCTCATTGACCTACAATACCACCGAAGAACTTTTCTTGCACCTTTTCACTAACATAAGAACACTTGTAACTTAAATTATGCAATGTATCTTAAATAGTTATGTAATTTATATTCTAAGCTGAGCGACAACAATAAACATGTAGTGTAAATCTATCAATTGGTACCCATGACACAGGAATACCTAGTGTGGGCACCACCGGACATTTCTTTGTATTATGTTGTGTTTTTTTTCAATAAACATTTTTCATTTTCATTTTCAACTCTGTCTGTCTGTTACGCTTTCACGCCTAAACCACTGAACTGATTTTAATGAAATTTGGTACAGATAGAATTGACCTTGAGAAAGAACATAGGATAGTTTTTATCCCAGACTTTTGAAAGTTTCTCTTGGAAACGCGATATAATCGAACTCCACGCGGGCGAAGCTGCGGGCGGAAAGCTAGTATAATATATATTTTGAATATTAACATACTTAGTATATCACTTTTACATGCCTATAAAGATCATTAAACATTTTAATATTTCAAGGCAACCCTTCAAGAGTGTATAGTGTATACTCAAGTAGTGACAATTTCTAGTTTAATGTTTCTATAATGTTTTTTATTGTAGAGGTCGCGGCGGTCGTCAGCAGCTAGTTGGTCGGTTGCGCAACCAACAGGGTAACCAGCAGGGTAGACAGCAGGGCAACCAAAGAGGACGAGGCCGTGGCAGAGGAAGGGGCAGAGGACGAGGCAGACAAGCCAGCGGTAAGATGGATTTTAAATACTATTGAGAGAATGTCCTATAAGATCCTCCAAGATTTAGACGAAACCTCTTATCATTCAATGAATTCACCTTGCGGGTGCCGGGTCAATCGCTGTAGTGAGAGGACCTTCAACAGTGACTGGGACTTGTGACCCAGGTGTAGGTTTAAGGGACCCTATCTAACGCGCGTTAAACGCTCACCTCCATTATCCAAGCTCCTCTCTCTACCTAACGAAATTTGTTTTAGAATTATCTACAATGGCTTTTTCAACAAATCAAATTGTTTTGAATCATTAAGTATACTGGTCATTAATTAATAATCATTATTTTAAAATTGTCAACTAAATATCAAGTTATTCTGATAATAATCTCATCTGGTTATCAATTCAAGGTACCCAAAACCAAAAACCGGTTCTGACGAAGGAAGAATTGGATCTTCAGTTAGATCAGTACATGGCGAGCACTAAAACGGCTCTCGATAAAGAGTTGGATGAATATATGAAGACAGCTATGGAGGAATGATGTTGTTTAGATTGTTACAGTGGACAAAATGTGAAGTGCCCGGGTACATAATGTGGATACATAGACAGTATGGAAAAAGTTGATTCATTATGTGCTGTCACATTATTTGATTTAGTCGGAGTGCAGTGGATTTCAGTGGATAATTTGTGACTTTTGAACTAACTATATTTTTTCTCCATAAATATCTATTGTGAGTTTTGTTCAGTGTTGAACTAAATTAATATTGCTACAGAGTTTAAATAGCCTGTTATAGTTCTTATTATTCTTATAAAGATATTTGGTGTCAAATAGACATTTACTTTCTCATTTGCGATTTACAAATATTTTGGTACTCATTCAAACTGTCATACAATTAAGTTTTTTTGTAATTATACATATTATATGTATTATGTATTGATTATCTAAGCATATATACATAATTACATTATTTCATATTAATATAAAGGCTCTTTAACAAATAAATAAAACAGTCCATACCCAAAAGTTCTATCAAAAATTTTACAAATATATAATCAAAATCAAAGAATTATTTAAACTGAAATCTACTGCTATCAAGAAAATTGTAAATACATAGATTAGTGATTGAAAAGATTCGTTTTTGTTTTTCAATTTATTTTCATAATTTTTTTGTTATTTTTTTGTTTTGCTAGTGCATTGTCATGAATCTTGATTAAAAGTGAAGACTAATCTTTCATACATGCTCATTTGATTTTTGTTCTTAAAGTGCAAGTAACTTGCACTTGTTGATTAAAACTTTATTATTTGACTTTGTTTTCATTTAGTAAATATTAATATGTCACTTCAGTTCCATTGATAAAAATATATTTTTCACATAAAGCACTATTGTAATCATTTAAGTAAAACGTTACAGTAACTAAATAAGAAAGATAAATAGATCAAAACAGATATATTTTTAATGATTACATATAAGTATTTTTTTTTCAAATTTATTAAAAAATGTTTCTGTTTACTAAATTAATCTTGTTTCATTGTCGTTACAATTCCATCCATATTTCAAGGTAATCATTTTTTCTTTCGTCAAATAAATTCATGATTATACTCACAAGTGCCTCAATAATAGTTGTAATAAGTTTAGTTTTTTTTTTCTGTGTAAATAACTCTATTAAAGATTGTTGTTTGCTATTAAAATATCTCTTTTTGTAAGTCTTATTTATTACTATCCCTTATAAATAAATAACAAACAAAGTTAATTGTGTAACCACTAATTAGCTCAACTAACAACCATGTGAATAATTTGACTAAAAGTCAGCCCAGTGGTTAAAGAGCCCGCCTCTTGTCACAGAGGGCTAAGTACCAATGTGATTTTTCCGATGACTTTCTAAGGGTATTTAGACATATTCCCAAAAGAGGGTTCGTAAAAACAAATAGCCAAAACTATTCACAACATGTAAGACAGACCCTGGCTATAGCTGGGAAATTGCCAGGTAGAAGAAGAAGAATAAGAAGAATAAAACTTTGGATTTTCTTTCCAGAGAGCCTTTAATCAAGCTACCAAGTCTTGCAAAAGAGTTATAGAAGGCTTGTCTCGGTCGTATAAATCATCATTATACAGCTTCTTTTTTTTCGGTCGTGTGTGGAAAATTACTGTAAAACCTCAGAAAAAATACTAATAGCCACCACACTTCTTTGGACTCAATGGAGAGACATCCAAAACAGCTTATTGGTTACTATAACTTGGTTAAATACATTTATAAATCTCGTTAGTCAGATCACAGGGCACAAAAACACAGCTAAAGAGAAAAGTAGCCAGCGTCGTGGTATTCTACGGGATAAATCCTGAAATTACACGACTTAATTCCCTTATCTCCTTTCTATCACTAAACAACCAGGTACACGGTCGGCCTCCATCTTTTCGTTGTATATTCTCTTCCAGAAAAAGCGATACGCTTCCTCCTTCCTCATGCGAAGAGTTAGAAGTTGTAACAGTTTGCCTGCAACTGTGTTTCCTTTGAGCTATAATCTGGGTGTCTTAAAGAAAAGGGTGAATAGGATAATACTGAGATATTGCGTTCACCACTTACGACTTCATTATCACCTTCCAACGGATGAAATGTCATTCAAGTACTAGCCAGTCGAATTAAAAAAAAAAATTGTCATTACCCAATTTTAAGCCAAGTGAAAAAAAGGATTACGACAAGATAATGTTAGTTACCTCCTTAAGTAGGGTGTGAATGTTAAATTCATGTTGACGTGACACAGACAATTTTCAATTTGCCGCCAAATCGTAAAACAAATGACAAATATATGAAACTAGCTTTCCGCCCGCAGCTTCGCCGCGTGGAGTTCGGTTATATCGCGTTTCCAAGAGAACCTTTCAAAAGTCTGGGATAAAAACTATCCTATGTTCTTTCTCAATAACTCTATCTCTGTACCGAATTTCATTAAAATCAGAGTGGTTTAGGCGTGAAAGCGTAGCAGACAGACAGACAGACAGACAGACAGACAGAGTTACTTTCGCATTTATAATATTAGTAGGGATATATACTCAGTAATTTTCTATTTTCAATTTTACTTATTTTTTTATTATATTGTTTATAAGTGGCCAGTTCTAAGAACTTTCAGTTTGACCCTCGTAAGTATGTATACAAGGGATATTTGAAGATGGAAAACTTCCCGATAACCGAAATACGAATACGAAATAGTCTTGCCTTATTAAAGTAATTTGAAAGTTTTTATATAATTACTGAAATAAAAAGAGAGTTAAAGTTCTTAAAAAATATAAATACTATCAACTATCAGAGACTATACCGTTAGAGACATGACTTTTAATAATTTAAATGCAATAGTTTTAGAAATTAACGTTATCGTCATCATATCAGCGCCCACTTGATATACAAAATAACTTTTAATAATTTAAATGCAAAACCCAGGTTTTAGAAATATTTTCTTATATCTGATTATGGATATAATTTATGATCAAACATGATAACATGTTGATAATCAGAGAGTAGCTTTGAGCCTACTATATTGTACAAATATCAACGCTGGTAATTTGTTACCTGAGAAGTTTAACCAAAGTTTATAAGAGTACATGAGTACATGAGTCTCCTGCTAATTTTGATTCACTAACACTGGAATGCTTGAACTGAGTTGTTTGTCTCTTATATAATAACCTACCTTCATACTGTTACGTGTGAATTAAAAACTGTTATAATTTACAAATGTCAGCTACTGAAACAAGTAATACTTATAACTACTTCATATTTCTGGACCATCGGATGTCATATTTTGCACACTAACACTTTTCCATCCATTTAAGATATAGTGTAACTTGTAAGTCACAGAGTTTCTACAGCTCTAGGCTAAATTTAAAAGACACAGGTCTCCCATTCAAGAATAAAATTGGACTTCAAACTAATGAAGACGTTAATAATTAATATTATGAAATGATTTCTTCTGAGAACAATCCTGATAGAAATTTGATTACATCTTCTAATTTTACTATCATAACAGATGTTCAACTGTGTATTTCTTTGTTATTATTTTTATCTTATACATTTTTCCCTTTAATGACAATATTTAAAGAGGAAGTGATATGTTAGATCAAAGAGGTATTTTATTCTAATATTGAAACATGATTTTTGTTCTTGCTCAGGTCCGCCAAACTCGGTGTAGATATAGTGAACTTGTGTAAGTGGTAATTGCTAAATAAATCTTAATGTCATTCACCTGTTAAACAGTTTGGTATCTAAGTAGTATTATTTTTAAAATATGTTTAAATTTCGTGTATCGAAAAAAATTGCTTCAAAGGTATTAATCATAAATTTAATTTAGAAATCATTTCTATTTCTTTTTACATTCTTAATTAGTATTCCTATATATTTAAGTATATGTTTTTATTTTTGTTTGTCATGACAAATAGAATTGTTCTCCAATCAATGTTTTGCTTCAAAATCCTCTTCATGATCTGGATATTTATCTGAATCGTTTATTTTAAGTGCTATCCTGCTCTGGAACGATTTACCCGAGTCTAGCAAGTAAAGGAAGTAAGCAAGTATAAAGTAAAGTAAAGAAGTAACTTAAGAAAAAACATTAATTCTAACATGTGTCAGTTGTCACCAAACATCTTTTATATAAATCAGTGGTGGCCTAGTAAGTCAGTGGTGGCCTAGTGGTTAAGGGGCCCGCCTCTCGTTGCCGAGGGCGCGGGTTCAAACCTGGCAAGTACCAATGTGGTGATTAATGAGCAAGCGTGGTGAATAATGCTCAAACCTTCTCCATGCGAGGAAGAGGCCTTGCTCAGCAGTGGGCTTCACATAGGCTGATAACCTTTTATATTGTACTGCATATAACATATTGTATACTGTTTTTGAAGATTTTCAGTACTTTTACAGTCATATATACTGTATATGTACTATTTTTTCTTCAACTTACCTCAAGTCAGCTGATAGGAAAAGAATTTTAGGCTTAAAATATTTTTCGTTCATCATTTGTATGTGAATGGAGTTAAAGAAATAACTACATACATACGGAGCATTAATAATTTTACATCCATAATTCTTTACACAATACTAAGCTCACAGAACTCGGAAGAGTTGCAATAATATAATATATGTATAACAAGACATTATAATATAGTAGGAAGTGGGTGTGTCAATACTCATTCATGAACCTGAATGTATATTATTTTAAAAATTAGTAACCTGGTTTACTGAAAGCTCCTGTGATTTTAAAGGTTGTCATTAGTTAAGATTAGTTTACACAGTGACCACTGAAATGGTGCTTTAATTATAAAGATGTTATCAAGTTCCCTACTCGTAAAAATAACTAGGTACCTGCTAACTATTCTGTTCCCAGCTGTAACGAAATATATTGGTTATTTAAAATAAAATTATATACGCTATCGTTACACTTAAGACTTATATTAGGGTCAAGTAAATTTGGTACTCTCAGAATTTCAAGTAATGTTGTCTGAATAATATATAAGTATATTAGTTATTTAATAATTTAATGGTAAACAGATTTGAACCGCAATTATTTATACAGGAAAGACGGGGAATAAAATTGGGTTAACATTGTTTTTGAACTCGAAAGGTACCGCTATAAAATATAGCGCCTTTTTATATATTTCTTAACATTACTAAAGGCTAAAATAAAAAAATTACAATACGATAACGTGTTTCTGTTTAGAGTTAGGTATAATTTCTTTCAAAACCTCAAACAAGAAGGTTGTATAGTAAGATCTGTAGAATGATCTGAAATAGTTTCACAACTGCGATCCTCTTTAGATCCAATCAACTAAAATTTTAATCCATACGTTCCTTGTCCGATGGTTTTCCCCGAGTTTGATTGGTCCTACTGCATTCGCGTTTCCTGTTTCTCATTCAATAACTTTATACTTTAATGTACGAAGATTTATGAATGAAAAACTTCTAAGGCTGTGTATGTAGTATCAAGTGTGACGATGAGAACTTTTGATAAGCATACAGTCAAGTACTACTACTGTGTTTATACTTTATAGCTTTAGGTTAGTGATTTACAAGCTATGTATTTGATCCATAATTTTTCATTAAGTATCAAGTCTCGATGGTAAACTATTTCTTTCTGTTACATTCCTGTGTAAATATTATTCAGCTGATAATCTCATCCTATGTTACAAGTGACGCTCTCCATGCTGTACTGATTATGATTTAATATAATCCTTAGAATTATTTTTATGACTGACTAGCTTTCCGCCCGCAGCTAAGCCCGCGTGGAGTTCGGTTATACCGCGTTTCGAAGAAATCTTTTCAAAAGTCTGGGATAAAAACTATCCTATGTTCTTTCTTAAGGTCAACTCCATCTCTGTACCAAATTTCATTAAAAGCAGTTCAGTTGTTTAGGCATGAAAGCGTAACAGACAGACAGACAGACAGAGTTAGGCCTCGGCCTCGAATTTTGCGGGCAGCGGAGCGGCAGCGGGAGCGGCAGGATCTTACGCGTATAATCAAATGGACCGACCCTCGAATACAGCGGTGCCCGCTGCCCGCTAGTTTGGAGAAATGTATGCGTTTCCGTGCCGCCGCCGCTGCCGCTCCGCTGCCCGCAAAATTCGAGGCCGAGGCCTTACGTTCGCATTTATAATATTAGTAGGGATTATAATTAATTATAATACTGAATCATTGTTATTTTGTATGCAATATTTAATTGTCAACTTGTATTTGAAAACTATAAATAGTGGCTTCAGTCATTTTGAACCACATAACTGGAAGTAACGCTGAACTTTTATAAACAAATCCGAAACTGTGTCTCGAACTTTCAATACATACAGAATATCATAAGAAGAACAAAAACATCCACTGCATTATGATCTACATACATAAATCTTTCATATATATCTTCCCATTTTCCTGTAGAAAGTGCGGAAACAAATGATCATCAATATTTCCTATGACTTAAAAACTACAAATAAGCCCTTGCTTTAATTGGTTCCACGTTAACAAATTAATTGGCTTGCAAAAAGCAAAATGGTTGATTCACTGTCACTTTGGTCTCGGGGTGAATGTACCATGAGGAAAGCACTTTCAATTTTTGGAATCACTCATTAGTCAGAGATATTCAGAAATGATTCTCACTTCCTGAATACTGATTCGTCTCATACCTATTTAAATTTTAAATAAAAGACATCTAAGATTTAACAACTAGTACTACAAATGTATAAACACAATCAGAATAAAATTATTTATTTATTTGTCGTACTCGGAGCCTGGAAATAGGTTTAATCTCGTTTTTAAGTTACAGCTGACTTTTAACGAGTTGATATGCATTATTTTGAAATCTATATACAATGATACTTTGATCTCATTTAAATATCATTGCAATAAAAAGATAAATTATGAGGGTTTAAAACTAGCAGAAAGAAGTAAAAAGATAAAAGAAGACAGAACAACTTATAATATAAAGAAATATTATTATTGTGTTGCAACAACTTCTGTTTACATAGTCTAATTAATATTTATATTTCTTTAGTACTAGTAAAAATGTAGGTTTATGAGTGAAAAACAATTAAACGTTAGGTCTTAAGTGTGACGATGACTACTCGTATTAAGGTCACTGTATCCTGTACAGAGCACGCGTGAAATAATTACAAACATCTAAACTAAAGTTTTGAAATCGTATAAGGACTTCTAATTTTTAAAGAAAGTATATAAAATAAATTTATACAACAGAAAATATTCATAATTAATGCTGTGTTTACATAATATATATATATTTTCACTTTAAAACCGTTCTTTTCATTATTTTATATATTCCTATAAAGTTTTAAAGTTGCGAAGGAAATTTTTCTCATAGATCAAGTCTACAGGAAGTTCGACGGCTTTTCCTTTTGAGGGAACAGCTTAGAGCAAAAGGAAAAGCGCTACTTATAACTTAAAGAGAATCCCTTTCAATGGCTGCGATACAAAAAAGTTAAACTAGGCGAGTAAACGATAACTGTATGATATTTTTCTTCTACCTGGCAATTTCCCAGCTTTAGCCAGGGTCTGCCTTACATATTGTGAATAGTTTTGGCTAATTGTTTTTATTACCGGCCTCCTGCCTGACATCAACCGTCTTTGAGAATGCTTTAATCAGTGATGTCTAAATACTCTTAGAAAGTACACATGACTCGGAAAAATGACATTGGTACTTGCCATGGCCAGGATCGAATCCGCGCCTTCATGCATGAGACCGGCCTTTTAACCAAGGCGACCACTGTCTGATATTATTCCCATTTAATGAGGATATCAATAACATATGTTATTATATTAGTGAGTTAGTAAGTGAGTTTTGAGTGAGTTAAACTTCTTACGATGTTCATTCACTGTTGGAGCGGAACACGTACACTATGTCCGCTAACCGTGAAACTGATTCACCAAAGAATATTTATTACAGATGGGACACATTCAGACTGGTATAATGTGACTACATTGTACAGTTTTAAACCAGCTGTGGAAACTTGTGGTATATCACAATAGTATTGAAAATGACGAAGAAAAGGTGCTAGTAGAAGAAGTAGGTAGAAAGGTATAAAGTGATCAAATTCTTGAACGTTTTATAAATATAAAAATAATCTTTTAAATTCTATGTTAATAATTTGATTGTATTACGAAATTACACCTATAGATTTTAAATTTAAAATATTCAAAAGCCTGTAATCTTTTTAAATAACTAGTTCTAATATATTTAAGTTTACTACATATATATCCGTGGAACACATCTGAATCATAATCTTGGAGTCCCCTTTCTCTCTTCGACGCCAGTAGTGTAGCACGCGACTCGGCGGTCGGTCGCGCCATGACACTTGATACTTGACACTTGACACTTGACAGTGACCATGAGAGTGCTAGCTATATTCATCCTCCTGGCTTTCCCCATCAATGGCCAGGATGAATCGTTCGCCAGCTCCTTCCTATCAGGTCAGTAGAACAAAAATAGTTTTTGTTATATATTTTTAACCGCTAACCGTAACGGATCTATGTAGAAGTAAACCTGTGTATCTTGTTTTTTGCAAAATTGGAGAAAGTTTTTAGTATTATCGTCTAACATATGCCATATTGATTTTGAATTATAAATACGTATATTTTTATACAATAGAGGGCCTACTTTTAACAACTGTCTCCGATGTTTTGTCATATTTTTTTATTTATAAAAGCTTTGCCTTTGAAGTTGTTATCATAAAATTGTTAATAATAAAATTTTTACTTTTGTCAATCGCTCAGCAAAAGTTGGGTATGCATTGCTTTCGTATTTTTAAGGATGGACAAACTACGTAGACTTAAATTTATTATCAGAAATTAATGCAAATTAGCTTCATTTGTATGAGATTCAAAAATAAAGTTATACAACTCACATATAAGAAAATCAGACAGAATTTTATAAGGATTTAGAAATATCAGGAAAAGTTTCACGAGAACGCGATCCTCCAGGAAATATCTAAATGAGAAATAATATAAATACAGGAACATTATAAATATCAAGAGTTTTCATCTTAAATTATTATTATAAGTACAAATACGTCTCAATAATATTGTCTATTGTAAAATGTTTTGACACTCGTGTGTATTTAATTGTGAGTAATTCTCGAACGCCAAACAGATTTCTAATTCCTCTCCAACGTCTAGTTAGAAGTCGTGTTCAACTCTTAATTATGTGAATTTTAAATCCGCCGAATTTAGAAAACTAACTGTTTGATTCATTAATAGTAATTATGAGAAATTTTAACAAGTTTTCCCTCAGTGGAATGTATTTACGATACTTCTGAAATATTATTTAATAAAATGAACACTTATAAATGATTATTTTCGTATAAAGACATGTCAATGTATTTAATTTAAAAGGAATAGATTTTTTATTAAATTCGTAATAAAAATATTACGGTACTTCTTAATTGAGATAACAAACTTGTATAAATACATCAGTTATTTTAAACGCTTTAAGAATATAGTACTTTTGCAAGTTTTTCACGACGCTATCGGATAATACTCTCATCTTTATATTATTTAAACATTAGATAAACTGTAAAATGTATGTATAAACTGTATCCTCGTTTTACAGTTTGTAATACATTTGAAACATTCGGATGTGCTGAATACCAGCACGTATTAATATTGGACCTGAATAACAAATTAACAATTAGTGTATGAATCCTAATTGTATTAGAAGACGAATAAAGTGTTACAAGTACAACTAAATATAGTTGAATTTTACTAAAAAAAACTATTAAATACAAATAAAATTACGAAAAATCATACTGCTGTTATTTTCTTATTGGTTTTTTGACAATACTTTTGGAAAAAAAGATATTCCTTTGTAATAAAATCTTGGTACATAATTAAATTTATTTTTTTGTAATGAATGAGTTTAACTCTCGTATGTGCCGCAGTAAACGTAGAACACTATGTATGGGAACTTAACCATAACGGTTTGTTGCCCGTTATCTGCTTAGGTGATAATTATCGTTAATATTTTTAGAATGTACTGTGAATTAATATATGTATATGTTACTGAAGGAAACGTTTCTTATATGACATATAGAAAGCTAATTGTTGCTACGGATGCGATATTTGATCAAAACTATTATTTAAATCGGTATTTTCGAGAATAATTTGAATTTATTACAAAATTTATTATATTTTGTACATTTTATCGTAAATTTTAATAGCGATGTAAAACAGAAATCGAATTCGATTATTCAACACAAATCATCTTATCATGTTTTACGTATACCGTCGGCGAGAAAGGTCCGGAGAAAGGGGAGGAAAGGGGGGGGGGCAGAAACAGGGTAGAGAGGGGACAGAGAAAAGGGGGGGTAGAGAAAGTTAACAGGCGATTGACGATTGATCTGAATTATGTGGTCGTTGTTTGCATTTCGTGTGATGCAATTTTGTTATAATATTCTTTCACCTTTTTGTTCATCTGGAGATTTTATGAATATATGATTAAATAGCAATAAACAAGCGTTGATTTTCATTCTATCTTAAGATATGACTGATAAAATAGCTTTGGTTAATTTGTGTATAGATATTTAAAAAGTTTAGGCTATGGCATACATTGGAATGAAATTTAATTTGACTATTATCATTCAGTCGTAAACAAATGTATATACAATATGCGGCTAAAATACAAAAAAATAATTTAATAATAATTAAAAAATCGATATATTTTCGAGATATGATTTCCTTAATGCACGGAAATTGTTTTACTCCCGTTTAATAAGTAACTGTCATTCAATACTATTTTTTACGTTTCATTATAATGTATAATAATCAAATTTATTACAGATAATATTAAATTATTGCTTAATATCATTATAAATGGGTATTAGACGAAAATTTCTGATACTATTACTATATATACGTATTTTTAATGCTATGCTTTATTCGTACTGGAATTTTGGAATATTTTGCAAATGGCAACGTACTGATTCTATATACACATTAACAATATTCTAAAATATTTTTTAAGGAGGAGAATTTTTTGAAAAATTTAATAAAAAAATTGTTGTCATTTATGTTACAAATATCTCTAAATTTTTTATAAGGATGACACATCATCGGGTATATTAAAACATCATAACATGGCGTAATAAAATTTATATTAATGACCATTTTGGGAACTTAGCCAAAATCTGATTAAGTCGCCTCAAGTGTATAGTAACTAATAATATACTATATATGTATAGTAGTTTGTATTATTTTCGCGTGTCGCCACGTCAGTGACAGTCGGTTCGTTGTATTCCCATGAATGGTTGGTCTGCAGGACATTCACCTTCGTGAAAGCATTACATTAGCACCGACTTCTACATTGACCACGACAACTTCTTTTCAAGACACTTCTACAACTATTAATCGCTTCAACTAGAGATTACAATTAACATTCATATAGAGAAGGATTTTTTTCTTTTATATATTCTACTTTGAATGTTTTAATGGCTAAAGATTTTATATATTTTTTCATAATAATATAGTAGACTGTTTTAAAAAGTCGTAATTATAAGACAAAACACACGAGTAGTATAATAGATACAAACGTTTCACTACTTCAATAACAAAGTGGACCACTGTTGCGAAAGTAAGTACCATATAGCACTATTACAAGAACGACTTGAGAACTGGATAAGAGGAAACTAGAAAGTACATACAACATTTTTTACTATATTAATTGATATACAGACTTAAAACAAATAAACTAAGATCAGTTTAAACAGAAAATGCTTTGATTTTTTTTCATAGTTGGTTGATTTAACGTATTTCTTAGCGTTTGATACGTGTAACTTACAGTTTATAAGTCAGCGTCTGTTTAGGTATGTATTTACTAACTAGCAACGTACCGGCCATCCTCACGACGATGGTACTTTCATTTTCTGTGACGATTTCACCGCGTTAGGTCATCGGGTAACGGTGCACTACAGTATGGTACAAGTAAGAAAAACCCGATAACTAATACTATAACTTAAATAATATATTTTATAATATATATTTTGAGATATATATGAGGTTTAAAATAATATATCAACATCATTATCAGCCTATCAGAGCCCACTGCTGAGCATAGCCTCTTCTTACATGGAGAAGGTTTGAGCATTAATCACCACGCTTGCTCAAGACGGATGGTGATTTCAAACTTATAATTTGAAATTATCACTCCAGGTTTCCTCACGATGTTTTCCTTCATCAGTCAGTAGTGTCTAAATACTCTTAGAAAGTACATATGACTGAATAATCACATTGATACTTGCCAGGTTTCGAACGAACCCTCATGCACGAGAGGCCGGCCTTTAACCTCTAGGCCACCACGACCTAAAAAAAACTATTAAATTTTATAAGCGAAATGAAATTTTGATACCTATGTTTACAGAGCGAATTATGTAATGTGATTATTGTATATTTTTTAATATTAATAACATATTAATTATTAATTGTATCGTTTTAAGTTAATCGCCAAATTCCCTGTATTGGAGCACGGATTGTTTTCCTTTCGTTCGTCTCGGTTAACTGTGCCAGGGAAGTTAACGGTAACCCCTGGATAGGAATGCGGTCCGACAGGTATATTTAGGATCGTTATTGTTAGGTAATAAGGTCGAGAATCGCGTGCAGGTGCGAGGTGTACGAAGCTTCTCTGAAGGCCGTAGTAAAGTAACGGTGAGCACCAAATACAGAACCATTTGAGATACTTAATAATAATTAACGTATAGATGATATAACTGTCTCAGCATCCTAACAGTTTTATCTTTTTGAATATCATTATAATTGTAATATAATTAATATGTTTTTTTATGTAACATAAGTCGTTTTCGCTAATATAATTAAATTAAATCAGTATTACTCGAATTAATACAGTAAATATTTGTGGAATTTATATGAATAACTCGCGAAATTCTTAGATCTCAATTATGGAATTTTATGTGTTTTATGAGAAATTAACGATATGAAAGAGATAATTATTGATCAAATATAATATATTCAACTTTATGAAAACATTGGCTGCCGGTATGGTTGCCATTCATCAGACTAAGTTATGTCTCCAAGTTCCAACTGATTTATTGGGTTTCAGTACATTATCCGATGAAGACGTGTAAAGGACGATTCTTAACAGCTGGTTGTGAAAGTCGACACGATTTATATTTTCGTAGTCATATGCGTTGTTATAGAATTTAGTTATTACAAGCTCTCGTTCAATCTCCACCCTCCATCAATCAATCAATCAATACATATAAAACAAAGTCCCCGTCGCGTCTGTCTGTCTTTTCTGAAACAGAAAAACTGCCTCACCAAATTAACAAGCGGTTTTCACTATTCGATACCGTGATTTTCGAAAAAGGTTTTAATATATAATTTCTTAAGGTTTTGTATTGATTTGTGTGTACATTAACTATATTTGTTGAAGATTTCGGGAAAAAATGTGCCGTCTGTTATCTTGAGATATAACAAAACAATGTATAGTGGAATGGCATATGTCTCTTAAGGATAACATACTATATACATTTGACTATGTACTTTTAAAAATTTTAATTCATGAAGCGTTTATAAGAAAGCTTAATACTTTAATTATTTACATAATTACAGTATTAAGTTTTATCAAAATAAATTACTTCATTTTCAAGCCTACATCAGTATCTATAAATTACTTTTTGATTATTTAATTCGGACGTACCATTTGAAAGGTATCATAATTTTAATAATTCTCAAAATTAAATCCATGCAATAGCTCACTTTTTCACATGATCAATTTTGTATACAAAATTTTAGTAAAAATAGTATTTTTATTATATTTAAAAAAAATATTAACATAAAAATATCCCGTTTTTTTAAGTTCAAACTTATTTTTTGTTTAACGAAGAAAGATGATGAAATTTTTGTTTGGCATTATACGCAACATAAGCTATTTTTTATTTTTTATAAAGTCTCTTTCGAATATGGGGTGGGTAGTTACTAAAAAATATTTGATTTTTTTGACATTTGACATGACGTTTAATAATACGTTGCTAATTTGTCATCGTGGGACGTAAATATTTTAACAGATATTTATAATTTTGAAGTTTGGTTAGTAAATGCTGTGTTTAGACTTAACAAATATTGATTGGTGGAACTGGGTCTTAGTCCACGTTTGAATAGTCAAATTATCAATGAAAAAACACCATTCATTGTACTAATATAATATGATTGATCAACGATCGAACTGTCGGTTTATTAAGACAATTACTTACTAGTATTGCAAAAAAAAGTATTTAAAAACTTTGTTGTTTTAATTATTGGAAGTGTTTTTTTCACAAAGCACTAGAAATTTTAGAAATTCAAGTATATCTTGTATTCTCTAGAAACAAAGCTTCTACAATACTAAGTGTTCTGTAATTGGAATAGACCCCCAAACAATTACTACTCCCTTTCTACTGCCCTCGTGTATTCGTATATCTTTCAATGAGACGATTTTCTATAACGAAACTAACTCATCTCTTTCAAATTCCAGGTCTCCTTGACACCCTGGACACTCAAGTCGACGCGAAGAACTGTCCCGGAGTGTGCATGCATGCGCTGGCTTCACTTATATGTTCTAATGTCCTGGAGGAAGTTGAATGTCCCAAGCCATCCATGAAATGCTGCGTTGATGAACCACTGGGTAAGAACAAAGCTACCTTTATCAATTAGCATCAGCATAATTCTGTTTTGCTATCTTTAGTATTTAAATAAATATCATAGATAAAAGAGTGTATAATTTAAAATAGAATTTCATCAGATAATTTAGTTTTATTTGTGGATCCAAAATTAAGTTAATAAATTGTTTGAGAAGACGAGGATTTAGACGGATCAGGATTTTAAAGTCAACAGAATGCCTTTAAGGAGAATGTTTCAATGTCCAACAAAATACCGTTTAAGCAAAATCTAGATCCAGCACATGGCACACGTCCAAACCCCTGATTGATTAGCGAGTTATGTTAATGCTGTAAAATATATTTAAACTTCAAGGTAACGACACGATCACGACAACTCGGAAGCCCTTCACGACACGATACACGACGACAGAAGCTGATGAGGAAGAAGATGTTACAACGAGACCTGACAAATACAAAGACAGTGGTAATTATTAGGTACACTACATATTAGGTTATCAATAAATATAAATCAATGGTAGTGAACAAAACGTTATAATACATATGTCTTTATTGGTTTTAAGATACTTTAAAAAGGACAATTAGTAAAATTCATGGCATATGTCCAAAAAATACAATGTTATCTACCGATAAAATCAAAATACATTAAAATGTACGAAAAATTTAAGATCTTTTAGAAAACTTTGACTATAATACTAAAGAGACCTTAAAACGGCCGGTGTTTTATTATGGCATCTTCTATTAACCACATTCAGTGTCCTATGAGAAGTTTTGTTAATCTAAGACATTTCTAAATATTGTAGTAATTTAACCACGCTAACTATTATAACATAACCACATCAGGTAACATCGCGTGTCCGGGCATGTGTGTTGAGTCACGGTACAGTCAATATTGCGAGGCGTACCTAACTTCGAGTGGACTGTGTGTGTCTGGGAGACAATGCTGTGTCTCCAGGGATGGATATGGAGAGAAGAGGCCGCCTGACCTCGTGGTGCCGAGCGAGAAGAAACACTCTACTAAACGAGGCCAACAACGGCGGTGAGTTGAAGTGATTTGAAGTGGGTAGTATTTGTGTTCTAGGGTCCAAACGAATAAAAATTCCTCCATAAGGCTGATGACTATAGCTCATAGAAGCTGTACCTCCCGATTATTTTAGCTGGGAGTTTTGATTTTAGAACATTAGTATGAGAAATTAATACGATTGCTTATATTCTATTCACACAGTTCAAAAAAAATATGATGCTTTATATAGGCTAAAGTTCTATAAAAAAAACTCGTCCTATTCAAGTCGAATTTGATCAAATACTTGGATAATCTCTGGTCCCATAACTTCATAAAAGTTTTCTTCTAGTACTCATACTATCTCAAATATTCAATCTGAACTAATCTTTCCAGATGACGACTACCCCCCAACCAAAGCAGAGGCCAGGTCACAAATGTCGCGGTGACTGTATCACGGGTCTGTTCGCGTTGTTGTGTGACCACGTGGATGAGGACGCGACCTGTCCGTCAGACGGAACCTGCTGCATTACAGAGTCCAGCACGGAACAGGTCACCAGGAGACCAACTACACCTAGACCTACCACTCCCGTGAGTATTATACGTATTCTGGATTCGTGAGAACTAAAACTTTAGCGAATATTCCTTGAAGTGAAACCAATATTTTCTGATAGACTTATTTTATTATTTTTTCAAACTACATACTCCCCAAGTTTGCAAAGTAACCTAACGTCCGGAGTATGTAGTTTGTGAAAATAATAAAATACGGGTGCTATTCTATAAGAAATTTTTTATATTCTTGGTAGCCGCCCCAATTTATATGAAATAGCATTTTATAATGCCTTGATATTATTATTAGTCAAAAATTCCATCTATCTTTGTTAAATAGATCGTTTGAACTTAGACACTTATTTAATACTTATAATTCAAAACCTATTTTAAAATTGTCTCTAATATTTTGACCATATTCCTCTTTCAACAGGCGCCTCTTCCGCGATGTCCTGGCTATTGCTTGCTCAACCTCATGTCCGCGTTCTGTGAGCGACCCGCCGTGAGACTTCATAACACTCAGTGTAAACTCAGCGGCTCGATATGTTGTGATAACAGCAGGTAGAAAGCATACATATAAGATAAATTACTATCGATACTTGAGGACGTGATTTTTGACGATCATATATGACATACATACATGCACACAGATATACACACACACGCGTGCGGCGGCGTAGTGTTGTATATACCGCACGCGTCCACACTTGGACATGTCCACACTTTATATATAAACGGAAATTGGTTTTGATCTTACCGAGTATTCTCCTTAAATGATATATTCACCAGCACCCTCTATAGATAAAACATACAAGCAGATATTCCATATCCAATTCAGCCAAAAGATCGCGTTTCCTACTTTGTTGAGAGTGAACAGAATTTTTATAATACTCGTACAATCGAAAAGTCTTTTCGTATGGGATGACATTCATCTGATAACTGATGCAGATTACATTGATATATTTATATAATAATATAATACTAAGCTACACATACGTTGTTTCTATGACACAATCATAGGACTTATTATCTTTTTGGCACAGAGTCCCCCCATGTGATAGTAAGTCGTCATAATAATGAACTTATAACGTTTTCCCACAGAGTTCCTCCTCGTACCACACCCCGGCCTACCACAACCACCACAACCACCACGACCACGCCGGCGCCACACGACTCTCGCCCCGACTGTCCCGGCTCTTGTATTGTGTCACTGCTGTCGTTCACGTGTTTCCGTATGTTTTAGCAGTATTATTAACTATATCCTTAAATAATTTACTTGTTATTTTATTTACTTGTTTTGTAGTACATTTAATAAAGCTTTTGGAAATTTGATTAAACATGTAAAATATTAGTATATAAATACGATACATTTTTGTCCAATCGACCTAGATAAATAGCTTTATAAGAGTTAAAATAGAAATTTATTATTGAATTTATTTTTCAATATGTGACTAGTATTTTAATAGTTTATTGTGGGTTATCTTCAGGAAACGCTGAGATGACGGACGTCTTCAAATGTAAGAAAGCTGGGACACAATGTTGCGCGCCAAAGTCGAAGGTTCTAGAAGCTATGGGCATCAGCAGAAACGACACCTTCCCACTAGCCACCACTCATTCACACACACACGCATACACTCCACACACATACACACCACAGACATTACCGTATACGACAGCCATGAGTGAGTATATATGATAACAAAAAAGTTTTTGACATTTTTGATAAATAGGACCATCTTTTTGATATGTTTTATAAATTGTTTCAGCTCAGTACGAACCCAACTACGTAACAACTTTGAGGACTCCTGAAAAATACAACAAATATGTATGCGGTGTCAAAGGTGAGTTTCAACATTCGACAGATCAGTTTTCATCAACATACTGTAATTCCTTGAAAGGTTTCATTTCTCATTTCATCCATTCCATAATAAGGTTCCAGTTGTGGGTTCCGAATTAATTTGTTTCATTTTTTGTGACTTAGGTCATGGGTGTCCAAACTTGATGGGACGCAGGGCCAATAAAAAAAAACTACATTGGTAGGCCGCAAAATATTTATAAAAATACTGGTAATAATAATATCGTTATTATGACCAGTATTTGCCGCCCACGTTTTGACAGCCGTGACTTAGACATATTTTGTGTCATTGGAAAGGCGTATTTTCTCCTAGCCTTTAGCTCCTAGTCGCGACCTTGTTCACTCACAAATATCTATTTACATAGTTCAGTATAATATCGGTACACGACGTTGGCGAAATCTATAAGGAAACGCCATTAACTAAAGAAGAATAAGAAGGCGTATTTTCTACCTGTGTATAGTATAATATTACCGTTTCCAGGTACATCAAGTCGTGCCGGTCGGGTCATGGGCGGTGAGGATGGTTCTCGAGGCGAGTGGTGCTGGCAGGTCGCTCTCATCAACTCCTTGAACCAGTACCTGTGCGGCGCCGCGCTGGTCGGCACGCAGTGGGTCCTTACAGCCGCTCATTGTGTCACTAAGTATGTCAAATGTTTTAAACATAAAGATATAGATACTAGAATAATAGAGTGTAAATTAAGAACAAATTAATATATCGATTCGTATAATAATGTTTATATTAAAGCAATGTGAGGTTATATTATTATTGAATTGAGCAATGTACTTGAAAATTCATTAATGAAAATCCAAGTCGTATCTACCACCATCAAAATATCTCATTTCTGCTGCTTTACCCACCAAGACATCATGTATTCAATACTGTAAAGTTAAATTTAATTTCATCACCATTTTCTATCCATTATTTCCAGCATCGTTCGTTCTGGTGATGCGATCTATGTCCGTGTTGGTGATCATGACCTGACGAGGAAGTACGGGTCCCCGGGCGCGCAAACTCTTCGCGTGGCGACCACATATATACACCACAACCACAACAGTCAAACCCTGGATAATGACATCGCGCTATTGAAGTTACACGGGAAAGCTGAGCTTAAAGAAGGTAACTTATACGTTTGCAAAAGAAATTGATGCTAAAGTTTTTTTCTCTGTGAGGATATGTCCTCGAAATCTGTTTCTACAATACTATGTCAAAAAATAATAATAAAATTACCACTAAATCGTAGTCAAAACAGGTTCTTTATTGAAATGAAACTAATATTTTTTGGATGTTATACGCGTGCTTTATTATTGTAATCTCCCGACTCCCGAAAAATATTAGTTTCATTTAAATGAATAAAAAGCGCGAAAGTCTTAGATCTCATTAAGGTTTTTCTTTTTATTGTGATGATCTTTCTACAAATACTTTTCCTATTATTTAAGGCTAATTTTAACAAGATCGTTCTATAATAATATAAAGATGACAGGAGATTGTCCTTGATTAAAAATGTGGCGATTATTGCTGGATTATATTAAGTGGTTTATGTTGACTTTATGGATTACTAAACACGTGAGGTGAAGATGAAATAGTCAGATAAAATATGTGACTTTATATATAATTACTTATAATTATCATAATTACGAGTTGTTATAATTTTTGTCTAATTATGTTGAATAAAAATTCTATTGCTGTGACCACGACCTGTAACAACTTTATTGAGAATTAAGTACATAATAGAGTATTTTTCCGTTCATAACGAATGTTGTATTTTCGAACATCACCGCTTCGGGGCGCAGGTATGAAACCTGGCAAGTACCAATGTGATTTTTCCGAATCATATGTACTTTCTAAGAGTATTTAGACACCACTGATAGCTAAAGAAAAACATCGTGACGAAACCTGGACTTATAATTTCAAATCATAAGTTTGGAGTCGCCGACCCGTCTTGAGCAAGCGTGGTGAATAATGCTAAAATCTTCTCCATGTGATAAGAGGCCTTGGCTCAGCAGTGGGCTCTGATAGGCTGATGATGATGATACTTTTAACGTATTTAAACTAACATTTTAATATTATTGTACAGGTGTATGCTTGGTGTGTCTGCCCGCTCGCGGCGTCAGTCATGCAGCTGGTAAGAGGTGCACGGTCACTGGATACGGATACATGGGAGAGAGTGAGTGTGAACTCATTATTATAACAGTCATTAAGTTCATGATACATTTACGACAGAAAAAGTTGCTTATGAACAATATAAGTCGACTGCCTATAGATATTGTTTGGAATGAAATCAATAGTTATAATATCTCAAAATATATAAATTCCCAGCTTCCTAATTCAAGAGTGATAAGTAATAATGAATGTGATACGAAAATATTGATTAAGTTTCTAAGCTGTAATCAGTGACGTTCTTCTTATCTAAGAATCGAAGCAGAACTTAAAATGTTTTTTAATAAAAAAATATATATTATGCTTTTTATGTACGTGTCATTATTATCTGCATTAATACTTTCTGATGGAATATGTCATATTAAATGTTTATGTCGTGTTTCTCATTAATATTCTGTATGTAGCGGGTCCCATCCCACTGCGGGTCCGTGAAGCTGAGCTGCCGATCGTGAACGACGCGGAGTGTATACGGAAGGTGAATGCAGTGACGGAGAAGATCTTCATCCTCCCCGCCAGTTCGTTCTGTGCTGGTGGAGAAGAAGGGAATGACGCCTGCCAGGTAAAACTTGTATACAAAAACTCAGACAAGTAAATGAAACTAATATTTTCTGATAACTACGCTATAGACTAACTGACAGACATTTAATTTCGTCTTTATGATCACGGTTAAAGTAACCAAAACATGGAGTATGTAGTTCATTTAAAGACTCACAAAAGTTTTTGTACTCATTAACCTGAAACAAGTGTTCAAATTGAAGATACACATTATATCATTTTTACCTAAATAGGACTATTTCGAATTCAAAACTATTTCCTTCTAAATCCCACTCAAAGAAAGTCCATTTTATTGAAATCCTTATCCAAATCCTTACCATACGTTTTAAAGTAATCTCTTCTCTATAGTACATATGTTATATATCGTATTATTTTTTCTTCAGGGTGACGGCGGCGGACCCCTCGTTTGTCAGGACGATGGGTTTTACGAGTTGGTGGGACTCGTCTCGTGGGGCTTCGGCTGCGGTCGGCGAGACGTACCCGGAGTATACGTGAAGGTTTCCTCATTCATTGGTTGGATCAATCAGATAATATCTGTCAATAATCAATAAGTATCCTCATATGTCAAATTCTTCTCATAAGTATAAGTTTTGCTCAACAATGTTTTAGTACGGCCATCATTAACCTAGTGACTACTAGTGAGTCCAAGAACATTTTTCCACTGTGTCATGAACTTTTAAGCTTAGAGATTATTATAATTTATTTACGAACCAAATGTTAGTTGTTTTCGTTTAATTCAGTTCTTATTTTATATGTACATGCTATATTTTTCCTCAAGACTTTCAACTAATGAATTAAATAATCAATAGAAAAATCCTTTTTAATTTAGTGATGAATCTTGATGTTCTAAATTATTTTACATTTCAGTATTTCTAACGCATTTACTTCCCTTATATTTTATTTATTCTAAGAGAAGTAACTGTAAATAAAAGATTTCTTTTAGTTAAGTTTAACGGTGACTAATGTTTGAGTTTACTTCATTTTGAGATCTGCGACTGGACATTTAAAAAAATATCATTTTTCACCCACCATTTTTATTTCTTTTTGATATTTTTCAATGTATTTCAAGTTTTCTATACAAAAGCTTAATGTACACCCAAAATAGACATTTCTTTATGGCTATGCAGTTTTCTGAGACATTATAAAATATTTTTTTTTATGTCAGAGCTCTCTTTTTGGAGAGTTGTAAATATTCTTAACTTATTATTATTATCTTAAGTATTTTTAAGACTTTATTTATGATATGAAACGCATTTATATTTAATCTATTTTGTAAAATGTATTTAAGTTTTATAAATAAAGAAAATATCATAAATTTTATGGTTTTCTGTTTGAACGATCCTGATTTTTTTTAAAGAGATTATATTTCTATCAAGTGTAAGATAACCTTTTACACAAGTCAGTTATAGTTTTTAACCTTACCAATGTACATCATCATACTGCACACACTGCGTTTTCCGTTTGTCACTCATAAATCTCCGAATATTATAGTATAAACATAGGTTTATGAATGAAAATAATAATCTGATATTGACACTTGACCTAATATATTTAGCTATTTCCTTGTGAAACGTACAGACAAAAAAAAAATATTTACATACGTACATTAGTCTACTTCTGTCTGAAATTTAATTAAGATCGAAACAGCGATACTACGAGCTATTTATATAATAACTATAGAATACACTAGGAAATAAGTATATTACTCTTTAATTTATATCATCACACCATCAGCCTATCAGAGCTCACTGCTGCGCAAAGGCCTCTTCTCACATAGAGAAGATTAAAGCATTAACCACCTTATTTCAAACTTATAATGTGAAATTCAAACTTGATTTCAAACTTATAATGTGAAATTATAAGTGGTTTCTTCACGATGTTTTCCTTTACCGTCTGTTAGTGGTGTCTAAATACTCTTAGAAAGTACATATTACTTAGAAAAATCACATTGGCTCTTGCCAGGTTTCGAACCCGCGCCCTCGTGCATGACAGGCGGACCTTTAACCACTAGGCCACCACGACTGAACTATACGACTATACGACGCCGATTTATATACCCACATATACATAAAAGTATAAATTGTATCTTACTTATATGTGATTCATACATATTAAAAAGAACTAAAACACAAAATCTAAACTAAATCAAGGTTCATTTGTGTGTAGAATGCGTAATTTGAGTAAATTTTACTGAGTATATAACTCAGGCGGAATTCCCTTGAAAATAACCCCATTTTCATATCACTTAACTTATGAGTAGATCATATAAGTATTGAAAAACCTTTCACCAGTGTAAAGCTAGGACAAATGTGAGTTATTACTCACAAAGCAAGCCGGAATTATTTGAAACACATGTAGGGTTATTGCTAATTATGATATACACTCAATCAGTAGAATATAATTGTAGTAGGCGGACTTTTAATGATTAATTGAATTTTAATATTAATAACATAAAGCAAGCTAGTTAGAATTCAGTCGGCAGCTTGTGAATCAGTTTGAGAAGGATCTCATCTAAATTTACCTTGAGTCACTTAACAGCTAGTGGTCACTCTGTCAATAGTAATGTGATTTGACCATGCAATGATATATTTATTTTATGTTCTCTAAATAAAGTTATGTTCATTGATTTTGGACTTTTACTCTGAATAATAATAATGGTTTTTTAATAGAATTGTTGTTTTTTGCAATTTTAGCCAATTAATTTTTGCAATTTTATCTATGCATAGTCCTGTGTGGTTCAGCCATTTAGGCCAATAGATACATATAGCAAATTTTGGTTTTTATTTTATTATTTTAGGTTAATGTTTCCCAATTATAAAACTTAATAATTATAAAGCCATTATATTGTTTATGTTTAAACGAGCAGACGGTCTATCTAATGCAGGTTAAAATGATTATATGTAGATATTTGTGAGATATTATTAAGATTTTGCTTTAAATTTTAAATATTAAGAAGGTTTTTTTTAACTAAAATCTGGTTTAACCAAGAACTTAATATAACAGTCGTTTGGTTTATAAACTTGGTTTATAATCTAATAGTGTAAAGAAATTTAACTGTTTTATTTATTATTTTTATAAAAATTAAAATCCAATTAAATATTATTCCGTCTTTAATATTTAGAATTGATTATTATCTCGATAACTCATGAATATGCTTAACATAGTTTAGCGATTGCGTTACAATCCTTGATAGAGGAAGAGAAACAAGAGAGGTTGAGAAAATAAAAGGGAGGTAAAGGGAGGGGTGGGAATAAGGAAATATAAGGAAAGGTTGGGAACAGGGAAAGGGCAACCGGCTCTCTCCCTCATCGGACGAAACGCAGTAATTAAAGACTACTTCACGCTGATCTTCTGCGAGGAGGTGGTACTTCCACGGTCACGCCAGCCCATATTCGAGCTGCAGTAACTGACCACAGCTACGTTCTACCAGATCAAAAAAGTATAAATTAAATAGCAAGCACCAAACACTGCTCTATAGAGGTGGTTGTAAAAGGATAAATAAATATTCCCACGAGATACGGGAAATAACATGATTCAATATAAGTTTTATTAAGACATAAATAATATTAATTTATGTACATTATACAACGTCGCGTGTTATAAATGAATTACTGTGCAAGTTGTAGTATTTTATTGATAATTTTGCGATAGTGGTCAGTATGTGTTTAATGACGTATGCTTCTGGTACAATAATTCCAATATATATAAAGTTTTATGAAAATAAAAGGTATTTATACTTGGAAAAACTTATATAACCGAGAAAAATTTATTACCATTTTGATTACTCATGCATCAGAAGGCTGTACTAATTACTATGACACACCAGATTTTGTCGATTTTACGTTTCACTGAGGTTATTGATACTAAGATCTTTAGCAAGGCCGTGTTAACTACCTTATTGATGACGTCATAGGCCTTTAACTATTTTAATGATGACGTCATATATTTTCCTCTTAAATTATTCGTAATTGTTTGATTTTTATATTTAAAACTATGATTAGTATGAATAATGTTTCCAATTTTTAGTTATTTTGGAAAAATTTAAGGTGTTAGACATGATATTGTATTTTGATACAAATTTAATTAAATTATATATATTGAATAAGTAAATAATTCCTAGTTTTATATAAATAACTTTATTTATAGTATTTCAAAAATATTCAATCACGAACAGACATTCTTTTGATTACAATATAGGTACTTAGATATAATTTCAAATCTATCGTACATATGACGCGTAGTATCTAAAAGGTTAATTGATGGAAACCACAAATAACTATTATAGTTATTCTGAATAAACACTATATTATAATTGAAACAAATGAATGGATAACATGAGTGAAGGCGCCACTACATTAGTCAGTAAACTAGAGGACATATTTGAAGTCGCTACAATTGAGTAAAAAATAAAACTGACAAGTCGTGACTTTATAACTATAGTAGTTATTATTAATTGTATTATTGAAATGAAATAATATGAATATATTTTTTGTTCTCAGATATAAATAGCAATCGTTTTTTAGGAAACAAGGCGTGTTAGGACTTAAAATACACATTGAACTGATATTAAACTTTGTTTTGACATATAAAAAAATAAGGGTTGGTGATAAAAAAGTAAATTTTTTTTTTAATGATACATTATAAAAAATAAAAAAAATTCGTTCGAAAATAAAAATAATAAAAATGAAGGGTGAACAACCCTTACGACTTATGGGTATGAAAAAAAGATATTAGCCGATTCTCAGAGCTACTCAATATAGTCACAAAATTTCATCAAAATCGGTCCAGCCGTGTTTAAATGCGGAAGTGTTTAAATTTTATTGAATCATGTTATGTCTTCTTCTTCTTATTCTTCCTGGCAATTTCCCAGCTATAGCCAGGGTCTGTCTTATATGTTTGAATAGTTTTTGGCTATTTGTTTTTACGACCGGCCGCCTGCCTGACATCAACCCTCTTTTTGGGAATCAATATTAATCAGTGATGTCTAAATACTCTTAGAAAGTACATATGACTCGGAAAAATCACATTGTTACTTGCCCGGGCCAGGATTGAACCCGCGCCCTCGGCGACGAGAGGCTGGACCTTTAACCACTGGCGGGCCCTTTAACCACTTTTTACCACTGAATCATATTATGTATTATGAAATAAAACTAAAATTGTCTTAAACAACAATGTACACAATTAATAATATCACTTAATTTAAATCTTTTAAAACCTATAAATTAGATCATTATAAATTACATTGTAATAAAATCGTATGTACTATTATAAAATTTTCTTTCACTCTATGGTCAGCTATATGTTCTTATCTATGGCATCAAGTTAATAACTGTGAAATTGTATTATTGTGTCCATAATAGCGTTCAGTTTTCCTTTATTGCGACATACTGATGATTTTAGATGAAAATCTCGTTGGATACAATAATATGAATGACCCTGGTTACGAGAATTATTAGAAATTCGACAGTATTATTTCAACTTTCGAAGGGTCAACTGATTTTGAAATTGATTGTCAGTTACAAAAATAGGTTTAATTCTTTAAAATGACGATAGATGGCAGCACAATTTGTAGCATCATCCAATCATTCCCAGTGCTATTAATTTTGGCCCAAAATTCCAAAAAATGTCTCCACACTCCTCTTATTTATAAACCTCCACACCCAACCTATTCCCCGGAATACTACGCGGCATATGACGCCCTAATTCAAACTTTACTTCACGATGATAGTTGCGGCCACCAGTATGGCATTCCAAGTTATGGCCATGGCTACAAAAAATGTTATAACAAATACCCCGTATATAACTTTCCAGTGAGCGCCCATTTTCCCGTTCATACAGATTTCGGGTACCACTACCCCAGCGTGGAAGGCCATTATTTTCCTAAAGCCAGTATAAATGGTACAGGTTACGCGTACAAAAGTAATTATGCCCCAAATCAAGTACACAACGTGAAAAGGAAATATAAGGTTGTGGTGAAGAATGGCAAGCGGCTGCAGAAGCTGAAATTGAGAGGTAAGAATTGAAATAATACAAATTTAACATGGGAATATTAAATATGACATTTTTTAAAACACGAATGTTGCCATAACTTTATAAGTTTTTAGAAATTTCAATATATTGGAATTATTTTTTTTTTTGTCTAAATTATAATTAAATTTACATACTATAGTTTTTATTGCACAAATTCTAATCACTTTATCAAATTTTTTATGCTGATAATATTTAATATATAAAAAATTATCACTTAGTTTTTCTGCGTTTAAATTTTTAATTAAAATCAAATATTTTTTCTTTTTCTTATGCTTATAATACGAACACTTGTATTTTGGTTTCATGTTTATGAATGATTTGAATATTTTTTAATTAAATAAAAACTTTTTTTCTGTTAAATAATTTTATATAATTTCGTGTATACAATAAAGTGTAAAATAAAATTAAAATATATTAGTTATTTAATTATGTTTTGCTGATTGTACTGCCCTTTTTTTTCAGTGAAATAATTCTCTGTATTTAAACGGTACCACCATAGTAACTGCATATTAATTTTACATGAACTTAATTTCATATATAATTTTGTTGAAACTGTCATTCATTTCGCTGTTCAAAGGATATTAACCTCACTTCGTATTTTTTACGGCTTTTTGTTGATTTTAGCAAAAAATGGTCAATAGAAAATAACTTGCAGAACTCGTTTTTTACGAAATTAAATTGTATTCAGGCTTGATTCGTATGATGGAGGATTCTGTTTCCAGGTACAGAGATGTTTATAGGAGAAACAACGAATATGTCTGAGTTTAAATAAATAATATACTCGTTACGTAGTGCCTACATTATAGTAAGGCTACCTTAAAACAAAGGAGTTTTCTGTAATTAATGCAAGGAGGCTTAATTTTTAGGCTTTTTTCGCTATTATTATATATTTCGCTATATATACTAACTTTTATTGAGGATAGGTTCTGTAGTAAAATTTTAAAGACGTCTTAACCTACACATAAATAAATGTAGTTGTCCATATGTGTAGTCATTTCAATCTAAAAGGTAGAATATTAAATAAAATCATTATTAGTCATTGAGAATAATTTCAAAACATCTTATTTGTTTTGAATTGTTTAGTCAATGAAGCTATAAAAGTTCACATGACTACTTCATCTCTTTAATAGACTGTTTTGTGATTTAAAGGTTTTTAGTTACATATTTTACGGAATAAATGCGACATAGTTTCTGTACGACATATTTTGTTGAATCACAATACTTAAGTTAGTTTTTTAGGAAGATATTGAGGAATATTTTATATTTATTTTTCGGGTTTTGATCTGTATGCGTATTTTTTTATTTATTTAATTAGACTTAAATATTCTAAATCCAGAATGTTCTTTGTGACTGTCAAATAAAAGTTTTAAAAAATAAACAAAAAAAATGGTTTGAACCTTAAAAATATGGCCTCAACATACAAAAGAGATTAAATTCTAAATTCATTATTTATATGTTATTCTAAGTAATCCAAAAGTATTTTTTTTTCGATTAATATTTTACATATGTGTTTCTTGCTTGTGTTAATTAGGTACATAGGATCTTTTATAATACCATGAGTAAATAATGTTAATGTGTTTACTTATATATTTTTCCATGGAGAAGATATTAATAATGTTTATTCCGAACTTAATAATTAGTTGTTTTTCAAGTTTTATATCTTTAAATCGTTTTATAGTTGTACGTTAGTAATTAAAAATGACTGTTCAAAATGACCTTAAATCACAACTTTTGAAACGAAGCCAATACTCCAAATACGATATATGTTTTGAATATCTCCATGATCGTGATCTGGTTATGAAAAAAAATTATTAAATAGAATAATTCTGTTAAAAAACTTATTTAACTGAGTTGCATAATATAAGTCGTGTGACCTTCAGTGGTTACGGAGTTTAAACAGCAACCAATTGAAAACCGGTTAGCAATGTAACGGCAAATAACGAATGGTTTTTAGAAGAGCAGTGATTTCCAAAAATCATAATACCTAACTTCTTTAAACCGTAAATTAAAATGTAATTACTAAACAGGTTATAAAAGGGTACAACACTTTTGACGCAATCGCAACACTAATTACATTCTGATAGATTTTAAAATCATTAGAATCATAAAATCAATCAACCAAATCATTGAATGAATCGGTCTAGACTCAACTATTGTCCAACACGAGTAAGTAATAGTAAGTGATCATTCATCTACCTTTCCACACTCATAAGACTTCCATCAAGGATATAAAAAGCGATATAGATCCGGGAATCCCATGTAATTCCCTTGGAAGTAAGTTCCGGTCAGCAGTGGACATATGACGTATACATCTCAGCACATATATTAAATGTTAGTCGAAACCCAGCTCCAGTCGCTAGCGGTGCTTGCTCGTGCTTGCTTCACGAGATGTCAGCTCCTGACATAATGAATAGTGTGTTGGTGACAGTGGTGTGTGTCTGTTTGTGTTTACAAACTGTTGCTGTGTCAATTCGGTGAGTACCTTTTACTTATTTGGCTTAATATTTTTTAATGCTGTACATATTTTAATTGTTAATCTACCTGCATTCTCATTTTATTTATGTTATTGTTTAATTAATAATTATTATAAATTATTTTTAATTGACATTACAATGTGTAATAAAGGTAATATTAATTATACTTGCATATATTATAATTAAGATTTTGCGATTGATAGCTTTTATATTGGTTTTTAACACATTTCGGTGATATAATTTTGATAGAACTGAATCACAAATGCCTAACATAAACCTTGGTCTTGTGATACGAAACCTTGAAGAAATAATTATATATTTTTTTCATAATGTTTTTACTTGTGGAACATATTTCAATATTGTATAAGAAATAAAAACTGCACTTTTAATAATTAAAGCGTTTAATTGTATTTAGTTGTAGCAATTAAGGAAGCGTTGCATACGACGGTAATGATAAGGATTGAAATTCACTGATAAGACAATTTTACTTGAAGAAAAAGTTTAATTTGAAATTGAGGATTACAAAAAGAACTTAAAAGGATTATAGATATTTTGAGATATTATTAAGATTATTGCTTTAAATATAAATCATTAGGAAGGGTTTTTTTACATAATTTTGGTTTTATCACGAAATTAACAGCCGTTTAGTTTCTGAATGTTTAAAGATATTTAACTGTTTTATATCTTATTTTTATAAAAATTAGAACCCAATTAAATATTAATCCGTCTTATAATATATAGAACTGATTATCATCTCGATAACTTCTCGTGGAGCAAATATTTCAAAGCGACTTGTCAACTAATTTTTTTCGTACCAAACTCGAAACATATCTTAGTAGCTGACATATTTTAGTTTGATCGAATCCGCCTCGTCACGTCAATTTAAATCAATCAAATACTACACCCGGATCTGGCATTCATTTTAATTGTACCTTGAACAACAAACAAAACAATTTTAAGTTTTATTAATTTAATTGATCACAAGTATGTTACTAAAAATCGTAGTTTTACGTAAAAATATTTTTACCTTATATGTTAAACGATAAAACGAGTTTCTAAGTTGTTCGCCGTGATAGCATATTAAACAAATTATGTTTTAAAAATCTGATCTCGCTTGAAATAATTAAGATAAATATTTCGCTAGTCGAAATATATATACGTATTTATTATATAGTATTTGCTTGTTACTTCTATTACAGTATTTACTTAAGAAGCCAATATATACTTTTTGCTTTGCGCAATTTAAGCGCGGTTTATGTACATATATGTATGAATATTAAATAGTGTAAGAGCCTTCACTAGTATTAATGATTATTAAGTATAGGCGAAAACAAATAAATAGTTTTTTATATATTTCTTATTATATCAAGTGAAGTAAAGCTTAGATATTTTTATTATGAATAAAATGTATTTGTATATAACTATTCATTTACGACACAACAGATCTGAATCAACAGAATTGTGTAGAAATATTATTTTATTATTATCTTTGCCATCTCTTAAACTATAAATGCGGCCGTAATAACAAAATTTTATGTCGTGTTCTTGTTTGAAGCCAAATTTTGACCTGTGGATCAATACCGGTAAAACCAACAAATTTTTCTGTTGGTTTTACCGGTATTGACCATCACAATGTACATATATCTACATATTTATAGGCATACAACTCGTAATGTTATAAATCTACATGTAATGTCAGGTTTTAGTTTAGAGTATGTTTTACGTTAGTGATATTTTGTTAAACGTTTCGTTTTAAATTGTATGATAGGTGATAATAAAAACATATTATTTTCTATAGGGCTCTTCCCGCAGCGAGAGCAACGACGCTACCCATCACCGTTTGGATTTTCCCAAAACTTTTTTCCGAACCCAAGCAGAATTTCCACAACTATTTCCAAACTTCTCCAACTGGAACACGAAAACCCGTACAGCAACCCTGCGTACATTTATCCCTTTCAGAACAACCCAATAACAAATCCCAATCACAATCCTTATAATGTAAGATTTCCAAATCAGGGACAACAAAATAATTTCGGAAACCCAGAGTATAATAACGAACAAGTAACAAATCCTCCAAATTTCCAAAATAATCAAAATGTCAACGGAGATTTGACGTCAGGTCAACAGGTTGGGCCTGTTTTTGGACCAACGAATGAAGGTTCGGGTGGTTTAGTCTCTGGACAGCAAATGGGACCGGTGTTTGGGCAAGATAATGGTGATAAAAGTGGTGGCACACTAGTATCTGGTCACCAAGTAAGCCCTGTTTTTACGACGGAAGCACCTAATAATGAAAATCCTGGAAATTTAATTTCTGGACAACAGAATGGTCCAGCTTTTAGCACAGAACCACCTAGTAATGGCAATTCTGGAGGTTTGATATCTGGTCAACAAAATGGTCCAGCTTTTAGCACAGAAGCACCTAGTTTCACAAATTCTGGTAACTTAATTACTGGTCAACAAAATAGCAATCCTTTTAGCACCGAAGCACCTGATCAAATCAATACTGGTTTAATTTCTGGGGTGCAAAACGGTCCCGTATTTGGTGCAGATGAAAATAAAAAAGGAAACGGTGGCACATTAATTTCTGGAACACATTCAGGTCCTGTTTACAGCCCAGACGCAAACGTACCGGCTTTCGAATCCCGAAACAACTTTAACGAAGGAATATTCAGTAAATGCTTGATATTTTTCATACTATTTAACATATCATAACAATCAGATAATAATAAAGTTAAACAGTACTGTATGTGTAATCATAGGTGTACGAGGTAAAGGTCGTGTTTAACACTGGCAAAATATCCACAAAAGTTTCACTAACCACTGATTTATATTTATCAATATGCGTTTTTGTGCTAAGTTAAGGTGCTTGAAGGTAAATTAACGACTGTTTGTATGCACGTATGGTGTTTAGAAATAATAATTAAATAATTATTTTATTTAAAACAGAAAATAACTATTACTACATTATATTTTTACTAATTATTATAGTTTCAAAATTTCTCAAACATATATAATGTACAATTAAGCAAAAGTACAAGAAATTAAACGTATAATTATTTTACAAGTTAAATTATACTACAAAAATCATGAAGGAAGAAAATGAAGTTTAGATGAAACATTTATACATATTTGTAAGGATTTTTAATGAAATTATCAGTAACTAGCTTTCTAGCTTTCTAGCTTGCTAGCTTCGCCCGCGTGGAGTTCTATTATATCTCGTTTCCAAGAGAACCTTTCAAATGTCTGGGATAAAAACTATCCTATGTCAAGGTCAACTTTATTTCTGTACTCAATTTCAATAAAATCAGTTCAGTGGTTTAGACGTGAAAGCGTAACAGACAGACAGACGGACAGACAGAGTTACTTTCGAATATATAATATTATCAGTAAGCAGGTTTTTGTATGTCAGATGGCAATCGGTACAGTAATCATAAACCCCAAAGCCAGATTTTAGATATATATAGACTGACCCCATCACCATGTGGGATACGCAGTAAGGAAGAGAGAGAGAGAGAGAGTAATTAATAAATGAAACGAATTGTTAACATATAGGTAAATTTGATACGAAAAATAACAACTATATCTTTACATATACATTGTACATTTCCTAGATTATGAGGTTTCGTCAAATAGAATACATTTTGATCAATGAATTTAAAATGACTGACAGTCAAGGCTTATTAAATAATATTAAAAAACTTGTATTATTAATATAACAGGCTTTATTTTTAAATTTTTTTCTTTATTTTTTTCCGTTTTAAGTTTAATTTATCTCGTTGTAGTTATATAATGATAGCAATTATTTTTCGATTGCATTACTCTCATTATCATACAGAAAAACGATTGCGTATCAAACGTATTATTTTTCCTTATACTCTTGAAGGTCTTCCTTCGGTCAAACCACGTTTCATTAATACTAGCTTGACCTTACATAGAAAATATATTTATTTTCAATCCTACTTGTATGTAATTTCGTACATTTTATCAGAGTTATAATTATTATGAGTAAAATGAAGATTTCATTTTTGATTACGTTTTCTATTTCGTCTTTATTTAAAATTTAATTATATTAGATTAAAATAAAATTAAAATAATGTGGTAAATAATATTATGGAACTAATTATTTCCTTTGGTTGTAATAATGTTTTGGATGCAAGTTATCCTTATAAGTTATTTAATCTTTTAGATCATCTTCGCCACGATTGTTTGCGGTTAGAATTTTACGACAACCGCATAGTCACTGGTTTATAAATAATTCTACTACACTTTATATGTAAATGCAGTATTTAGAACACATAATTTAATCTATTTATTTAAATAATTCACTTTGTTATATAATTTCACAAATGTATGCCAAAATAGACACATATGCATGCTGGCGAGTTATATGCATATGAAACATTTTCGCAATTTTTATTTTTTATTATCATTCATTCTTTATTAAAAAAAACTATTCTGCATCAGGAACAAAGCGTTGTTTCTTGATGTTTTCAACAAAATTTTATTTTCATCATACAAATACGTACACACACACACACACACATATATACAAATATACTCACACACATTCACACGTAAGATGATGTAAACAGGAGTGTCGTCACAGCTTGATGCCACATGTCATTAAAATGCCATCACAATTCAGATGAGATGTAATTATATCATTCAATTGGATGATATACAAATATTTTGTAAATCACCAAATACATGTTGCAAAAACATGGCGCGAAAAACAATGCGATAAATATTTATGTCCTAAAAATTGATTATTCTTCAAGTATAGAAAGTTACAATACTATTTTTTACTGTAATATTTTTATATTATGAATATAGGAAGCATACAAGCCCTATTATTATTTTGACTAATACTTTAAAATAAAAAAGTTAAAAATAATACTGCTACTCGTTTCAAAATTCAGTAACTTTGTACATAAAGTTCCCACTTTGTTTTCAATTACAATTTAACAATATATATCTTTAATTCTTAGTTTTAACTATTATAAAACAGTACTTATTTTTATGTTTAATATAATTTTAAAGTCAAATAATACATTTATAACGCATGCAATAACTTTGTTTGCTTTAACTTCAATGTCGGAAGTAAAACCATTGAGAACTGGTTCATAATCTGTCCGTTTTGTTAATCTATTAGGAATAAATCAATGAGTTGTTCCTTTACTTCTAGAAGAGACATGCAACACGGTGGGAGGAGGTCTTGGAAGTTGTATAACAATAGTCTCGTGTCCCGTCTATGTGAAGTTACTGCAGCAAGCCAGAACAAGTCCGTCTGCTGTCCAGGAGTTGAGAGCAGCTCAATGCGGCTTTGAAGGAAACTATCCCAAGGTGAGCAGTTCAAAAGCAATAAGGAAACAAAAACCGAAAGATAGAAATTGATTTTAGAACATTACTAATATTAAAGTAAAAAAATATCGTAATCTCTGAGATCAGTATGCCCAAATAAGGATTTTAATGAAATTCTCGCAGGTATGCTGTCCTCTTCCTCCACCCCCAACACCCCAAACACCTCCAACACCTCCAACGCCTCCAACACCCCCAACGCCCCCTACACCAACGCCATCAGGGAAGTCCATACCTTCGGACTCAGACTTCATCACTGCCTTCCCTGAACCACCCGTGTGTGGAGTTTCAAATGCCTCGTTCAGCAGAGTCGTGGGTGGAGTAGATGCTAAACTTGGTAAGATTCCTTCGTATATTTTAATAAGCTTAAATAATATACAATAAAAATATTGTAAGGGCCTTACATAAAGTAAATATATACTTTTAATATGATAAATCTTGGAATCTTCTTAAAATTCCAAGGATGGAGAACTTATGTCAATGTATTTCATAAAATCTTTCCATCTCTTGTTATGTGAATCATCTTATATACATATTCGTTCAATATTTTTCAAAGCACAGACATCCTATACCTCGGAAGCTCAGTATATTTTTCACTGTTATCGTTGTATATATATAATGGTGTTTATTTAGGTGATTTCCCTTGGATGGCACTCCTGGGCTACAAGGGTCGTAGTGGAGCTGGTACGCGCTGGTTGTGTGGAGGTTCGCTCGTCTCTCATCACCACGTCCTAACAGCAGCCCATTGCATCCACAACCACGAACACGATTTGTAAGTAACTCATTATAATAGCTTACTGAATGAAATGAAAAATATTGTATGAAGAAAATCTAATTTGATCTTTGTACGATATACGTATTTGCTTTGTAAAAAGTTTGGAGTAAAATATGTCATTTATATATATTTGTCATGGTCAGAATGGATAAAGAATCTAAATTATACTAAAGAGTCAAAAATTGATACCCCTTTTGAATTGCTCCATAGATGTACAGTGAAGCGTACTAACAAAAAAAAATCGAAGTTGTTTTTGTTCATTCATATTTTTTAAACACACCATGACTTTGAAAAGTGTTTTGAACTTAAATGACTATTAATATATATCATAACAAACTATCAGGTAATTGAAGTAAATCACTTAAATGGTTTACAACTATATGTGACGGGTTTGATTTATAGCTAATGATGACACAGAACGGAAACTCTGTTGTATAAAACATATAATGATCCTGAAAAATAACTTGTACAACAGATTAACGTTTACCCAGAAAATATAAAAAAAATCTATGAGTTATTACAGATTTAGTAGAAAAAATCTAATGAATATGTGGTACGGTTTTAAGGATGATTTCATCCCTACTATAATATTATAAATGCAAAGTAACCTGTACGCTTTTACGTGAATGAAAAAAATAAGAGATAAAATTGACGAGATTTTTTAAAATGAAAAGTTCTCTTGGAAACGCGATAATCCATGTGCGGGCGGAAAGCTAGTTGAGAATAATACAGCCCGTATTTTACGTGAATGAAAATAAAACGAGATTTAAAATGAAAACCTAATTGTAAACTATTAATCTACATATAGTTTTAGATTCAGAAATCAATCTCCATATTGAAAGACATTGATCACTCACTTAATAGACAGTAAAAAATATTGCACAATAATAATAATTAACACTAGCTAATGCCGGCCACACGCTACCGTCTACCGCAGAGGTAATCTGTGCAAGTATGCCTGCGCAGGTAAACCGAACAATGGTAGCGTTCAAAAAACTGCACAGGTCTATTTCCACACACATTCCGATGTACCTGCACAGGTGAACCTCTCCGGTAGACCGTTGTGTGTGCATAAGAATAACATCAGATCTTTGATACTTTATAGAGGCTTTGAACGAAGACTAAGTTTTAATATAAAATGTACACAGATACGTTGTTCGTCTTGGTGAATTGGACTTGGAGCGAGATGATGAAGGCGCTACTCCCATCGATATCCTCATCAAACAAAAGATCAAACACGAGAAATACAACGCGACCTCATACACTAATGACATCGGACTATTGATCTTACAGAACGACGTGGATTTCACAAGTGAGTCTCAGTAATAGTGCTAATGAGATTCTACGAAGTGTTATTCATTTACTAAAGATAGGAAAAAACTTGCAATGTTTACATTAGTAATTAGAAAAACTAAAACCTTTTTGTGAATATTAGCGTCGTTTTATTATTTTAGATTCATATTTAACAAAATAATAACCATAAAATACACATACATTAGTAGATGTTTGGTTAACAAATTATACGTGATATTATTTAGTTAGACAAGTTGGCATATATTGCAAATATCTGACTTATTTCACGATCATACCCGTTTTTATGTATATTGTTATAATTTTAAATGAATGTTTAATTATTTCAGATCTGATAAGACCAATTTGCATCCCAACGCGTCCTGATCTTCGCGCCAACTTATTTGTTGACTACAACCCACTTATAGCTGGGTGGGGAGACACAGAATTCCGTATGTAGAACTTTAATACCTGATATGATTACTCCATTGAATTCAGTATAAAACATGTGACGGCTTACGTTGAGAGAATCCAAATTCCTTAATAATTAATAAGCTTTTTTCAAAAAGTTGATATGTATTTAAATTTGGTGAAATCTCTATTTTCCGAAAGTAAATATATAAATTATGTTAAAATAGTGAATCTTCTAAGAATATTCCAGAAATCGAAGTTGTCAAAGTCTATATGATGATGAGACTGCAATAATTACATTTAGTAGTTCAAGACACAAAAAGAATGGTCATTGTAATACTATATCTTTTCAGTTTTTATTATTTTTAAAGGCTTCTAACCTGGTCAAATACCCTTCTAATATTGACGATTATATTCCAGGTGGTCCGTCAGCGTCACACCTGCAAGTTCTTCAGCTGCCAGTGCTGGACAACTCGTTCTGTCAGAAGGCCTATTCGCGGTACAAGGCTCAAGTGATCGATGAGCGTGTTATGTGCGCTGGCTATAAGAAAGGTGGTAAAGACGCCTGCCAAGGTGACAGCGGTGGACCGCTGATGCAGCCAGATGTGAGTAGTAATAGCGTTAATATTCCCCGAAATTAGAAGCAACTTAGCGCCTACTATCTGCCTGTACTTGGAACGTAAGAAGTTATAGGTTTGGAATAAAAGGAAGAGAAAGATTTTAATGGTATTTGCTCGTACGAAACGTAGACAAAAAAGAAATTTCATATAAGTATTTTTGGAGAAGATGGTTCCTAACACTCTGTTCTTATACATTATCGATTAATTCCTTATCCAGGCTGCAAACCTTTAACTTTAAAATCATATCTTATTATGTTCTCTCGTTTGCAATAAATGTTTCTATTTCCAGTACAATCCATCGACGCTTACAACATATTTCTACCAGACCGGAGTGGTTTCTTTCGGTCGAAAGTGTGCAGAGGCTGGGTACCCAGGCATCTACACGAGGGTGACGCACTTCGTTCCCTGGCTTCAGAAAACCATGCTCGGTATTGATGGATGAACAGAGATTCTTAGTTAAAATACTGTAAATTACAGTTATTAGGATAATTTATTTGATGAAGAAATATATTTTTGTAGAATTTACTCATTATTATTTTAATATTATTTAATATGTATATTTAATTATCGACGACATTTTTTGTGACAGATATTGATAGGACTCTTATAAAACTTAATTACTGTTAAAGGATTAACTTATTATTATAATATACTATGTAGTAAACCCGGCGAACTCCCTTTCGTCACCAGCTGGCTTCGTTTTATGTAAAAGTTATGTTTAATGTTTTATGAAAAATTTTATTTCATTTCATAACATTAATGAATTCATTTCGATTACAAAAATGAAGTGTTATTCAGTTGAACTACTCTAAGTAAATTAAAGTGCATCCAAAGTAAATACTGAATCGAAGCGCGGACACGTATAAGTCCGCAAATTATCCGTTTCATTGAAGTGCTCTTTAGTAAACCACATTTTTTGTTGTTTGGTCTAACGTTAACAGAAACCAAGCGGATGGTTTCCCAACTCGTGAAAACGCAAAGTATAACTGCCCATGTGAAAAACAATGATTTTCTAAATTTATCCCGCAAATATTAAAAGGTTTTTAATAGTTTAAACTACAAACACAATACCACAGTTCTCTCAAACATGTTGGGTAGAAGAAAACTTTATTTAAAATTAAAGAATCCTATTGGTTCGAAAAAATGAATAGCATCATTCGCATTTTTGTAGACAATTTTATAATTTGCGAAACGTCTAAAAGTTCATCAGGATTAACGCAAGTCCGATTGCATTCCATACCAAAACCCTCTTCGGCTTTTGAAGTTCTCCACATGGACATTACTGGCAAACTTGGCATACCAACTGTCAAGCAAAACGTTATCGTGACTATTGATGCCTTCTCCAAATATTGTATTATTATGTCATGTCAATGACAAAAGCCACCATAGTACCTTGGCAGCTCTAAAACAAGTGGTACACCTTTTTGGTACACCAGGAGAAATAATTGTTGACGGTGGTCGAGAGATTTTAGGAGAGTATAAATCTTTCTCTGTTGGTTATGGAATTAATATTCACGCCATTTCATCAGGTATTAGCCGAGCAAATGGACAAGTAGAGCGAGTCATGTCCATCTTGGAAAATGGATTAGTGATGATCAAGAACTATGAAACTCCATGACACACTGCATTAGGGAGCTTACAGCTTGTGTTAAATTGTACAGTTCATAAAACATTAGGCGTTTCTCCCTTAACTTTACTGGCGCGATGTCAGCACTGTATTCCGACAAAATTAATAAACTTAGTTAACATTGATGAAAATAGAATAGATATACAGAAATTGGAACAACACATTAAAAAAACGAACAATAGAATTTGCTTTTAAAGCTAAAAAACGATTTAATGAAGGAAAAGCTAAGGTTAACCATTTCAAGCGTGGAGATTACGTCATGATTAAAAACAGTCCAAGGAATCAGACTTCATTAAACTTAAAATTTAGTGAACCATATGAGATTTATAGAATTTTAGATAATGACCGTTATCTTGTTAAGCGTGTTATAGAAAGAGGAAGACCACGAAAAGTTGCTCACGGTCAATTACGGAAAGCACCTAATCCACAAGAACAGATGGCAGTGTCGCAAATGGATGAGCATGATGACAACAGTCAAGAGGACATCAATACAACGGTATCTACCTCTCCAAACTCATAAATATTAGCCATGACACGTGTAGTGTATGCACATCACAACATCACAACATGTAAAAAAAATATGCAAACCGATGGCATGACACGTGTAGTGTGTGCACATATCAATGACGCCTCCAAATTTCTAGCTGGAGTCAGATAATGCGATTCAAAAGTATTTATAAATATAAATAATTTCAGATTTGAATCCGAAGTCACAACTCATACGAGACGGTGGCGCTGAGCACGCACCAACCGTCAGTATGGCCGTGTCGCGTCGAGAGATTCGTGGTATCAAAAATATTCCTTTACGTGTATTCGTTTATTGTCTAGTTGTAATAATTGTTATAAGTATAACCATTATAATTGTTTTCAAATAACCCACTTCATCAATGTAAATAGTCTTAGCAATATATCAGGTGATTATTTTTGTTCAAGTATCCACAATTGTAAAAGAGAATCTACCATATGAAAGATCGAGCATAATCGTACTGAATTCATTCTACATTGGTCGCTCTTAGCAGTCCCTATGGTAGAATCTCTGCTAAACAATTCTTGAGTCATTGTGAGGATTTTTTAGCAATAAACGAGTGTCATTTTAAGTAAAGACCATCTTTTCTTTAAAATGGAAACCCGTGTTACGTCGCCAGGCACTGAAAGACAAGATCCGAAGGACTTCTAAGGAACTAGGGTCTCGGTTCCACGAGGATGCGATCGCTCTCATATATTACTATAATAATAATGTTATTTTCAACAAATCTTAACGTTATCAATAGGATGTGCATTTTTTATATATTACTTCTGATATACATAAATTACATACGAGTTTTCATTATAAAAGGAATCTCTAACACTATACTCCAACCTACTATTTAAGATCAACAGAATAAAATTTAAACTCAAAGAAAAAGTTTAATGTGACTTAAAATAAGTTAGTCTTAAGTTTAACTAAGTGTTATAACTTGGTATAAAATATATGACAAGTTTTCCCATAGAGGGTTGATGTCAGGCAGGCGGCCGGTCGTAAAAGCAATTAGACTAAACTGTTCACAACATGTAAGGTAGACCCTGGCTAAAGCGGGGAAATTGCCAGGAAGAAGAAGAAAATATATGACACGTGGATATTTATTGATATATGTATGAAATTAATTAAAAATTGTCATTAATACAGTTTATTAAACCATAGATTATGATAAATCCGTTTGTTGACTAATCTAGATAGTCCACAGTAACTTATTTCTTCACATTAATTAGTTTAAATGTATGTAAATAAGGAAATAAGATGTTTGTCTCTTTGTGTTTTAGTTATTCTTGTACCAATGATTTCTTTTTTAAATATATACTATATTTTCTGTAAACATTGATTATAATTTTCACTCCTTTATTTATGGTAACTCCATCTTCATAAGTTAAACGAAAAGTTCTTTTAGGGCAATAAACCCAAACCCTGAGTTTATTTATTAAATTTCTCTTCTAGTGTACTCCCTGGGTTAAATTCTCTTCTAATGTACATCATCATCAGCCTATCAGAACCCACTGCTGAGCAAAGGCCTCAAATGTATGCAAAACTTTTAAGGTACAACAAAAGTTTCGATGTGTGGTCACGAACATAAGATTTTATTTTTTTCATAAAAGCTTCGTCTTCAATTAAATAAGGCATACCTACTCTAATAATAAAGATAAGTCACTGGACGTTATACCTGGCTTGGTGGATAACCTTTGTATTTGGAAGAACTTGCTCATTTAGTAGAGCGGATAATTGGTGCGGCGGGACGTAAAACATGAACTGTCTTTGGATGCTGATGTTAAAAAAGGTATCTAAAGCAATTCTTCGACGGTATCGTATACATGAAATCGGAACCAAAATATTCATAAACCATATCTCCCTTTATACCTTTTATATATCTCTTCACACCAATATTTGACAAACAACTAGTAGTTTAAATGTAATGTTATAAAATTATGAAGTTGAAAATGAAAGACAAAATTTAACACTGAAATTTCGATCGCCTACAAGCAGCACACTTAAGTTGTATCCATATTATACAGGGTGACTGGTGAATTACTATCAATATTTAAGGAGAATACTCGGTACATGATTCTCATTCGAATTATGTAAAAAAAATAGGCACTTAATTTTTGACCAAATTTCCGTATAAATAAATAAAGCGTGGGCACGTTCCAAGTGTGAACGCGTGCGGCGGCGTGCTGATAGAACACTACGCCGCCACGCGCGCGCGTGTGTGTGTGTGTGTATGCCTAATCTGTAGGGTGTTCACACGATGCGTAATTAATTACACAACTTTTGGTTAACTTTACTTAGAAGTTTATTAATATTTATGTTATATTAATTTTTATTTTGTCATATATGATCGTCAAATATCACGTCCTAAAGTATTGATAGTAATTCACCAGTCACCCTGTATATACCTATCCTTACTATTTTAATAATATCAATAAATTAAACTTACAATAATATATAAGTACACTACGATCTAAACACAAAAAATATATGTGAAGAAATGATCTGGTTTACTATGAAATATGAATCTAAAATAAACTCATACTTGGGATGTTACTAAAATAAGTGGGGTCGTAAAAATATTGAATATTAACATCAGACAACGAGCCGACAAGGAAAATCAGTTTAAAAAGAATTTAACCTTTGATAACTGCGTCGCCTACAATATAACGTGTTCATAAAAGTATGAATCAAGTTATATAAAATGCTATGGAGAAACCTAATTTAAAATACCTCAGAATAATAAAATGAACTTACGAAAATATCAAGTTATCCTAAAAAAAATAATTAAAACACTGCCTTGTAAATCAACTACGAGACGAGACGAAACCTCTCAGCATTTAATCTATTCAGTGTCGGGTCCATCGTTGTAGTGAGAGGAGCTTCAACAGTGACTGGGACTTGCGACCCAAGTGTAGGTTTAAGGCGGCCCCTATCTAACGCGCGTTAAACGCTCACCTCCACCTCCTCTCTCTACCAAACTAAATTCGAAAAGAACAAGAACAAGAACTTATTAAATTCAAAAATTAGTAGAATTACTATTCCATCTACAGAGTTTATAAAACATACTTAAACACAGGTTACGACCATAATTATTGTATAATTAAATGATTAGTTTATTTATAATACTTACAGTCTTCCTTAGTATGAGGTATTCAAATAGCAAAATCATCTGAAGTGAATCTGGCCTTACTAAAACACGAAAAGTCGGGATACAAGCATAGTGATATTATGTGATGCAACTAAATATTTATAGGAAACTAAAAATGTATTAAAAATAACAATTGTATGAATATATTTAAAAAGTATTTTCATTAGAAAATATAAAAGATATTTCACTTTATTTTAATTTATCTAAAAATAGATATACTCGTAGGTATTATAATTACAAAAATGCATCCATATAAAATAATTTTAGATAATGTCGAAGAAAAGTGAATTATATAGAATTCTGTTTATAAATATGATAAAGAAGACTTTAATTTGTTAATTTGTCGAAATATAACTGTAAATTTAATATTTATAAGTTAAATTTAAATGTTATATGTATGTAGGAGATGTGTTCAAGTGACGTATCTATTGCATCTCAGCACATATATTAAATGTTAGTCAAGACCCAGCTCCAGTCGCTAGCGGTGCTTGTTCGTGCTTGCTTCACGAGATGTCAGCTCCTGACATAATGAATAGTGTGTTGGTGACAGTGGTGTGTGTCTGTTTGTGTTTACAAACTGTGCTGTGTCAATACCGTAAGTTCATATACTACTTACTAGTATTAAATTATTTTAGAACGTAGTAAATAGATATACAAAGAAAATTATAATACCGAAAATCATCTTTGACTTTTAAGAAATAATTATTTAATTATGGTCATTATTGTTTTGTTGGGTGGAATTTTTCGAAAACATTGTTTTATTTTTTGTTATGAATAAATATATAAAATAACTGCATATTCTATATATTATATTCCAAACATGACAAGCAAGGTCCTTTAATGTCGTGTTTAATTCTGTTTCTGTTACGTTTATGTAAATACACATCGTATATTTATTAATTTCATTACAATTTTTTTTTCTCGAAACGCTTCCCTATACTCGTACTAACATCATTCAATAAAAACACCTAACACTTAACTACCTATTATTATTATTTTCCGTAATAGTAAATTTAATAGACGTTAGAAATTTGTGTATTTTATAGTAATTGAAATTATTCAAATTGTGTTTTAAAACTTGAAGAATAACTGATGTATACCAATGTTCTTGACTATCGTCAGGCTCTTGAAGGAAACCTCGTAGACGGTTTGACGAATCCTAAACCTAGATAATACTGGAAGTGTTTAGAAAATGAAAAACGATTTGATTTAGAATGTTTTCAATACTTTTATTGTTTTTCGAAGTATCTCCGTTCCTCTCTACACATCGTCGCATTCCATGGAACCACTGAATATAGCACCGAGCCATTCTTCTTTAGGGTCTCTTCTATGGTGTACGCTTCCACCGCATCTTGAGGGCTCGTAATGCGAATATATTTAATTATATTTTTAGTTCTTGCGAATAAATAAATAAAGCTGGGCGCCAGGTCACGACTGTATGGCAAATGACTCATTAACTCGACACCTGACATCGTCAAATATTCAACAGTCCGTTTTGTGGAGTGGGCTGAAACATTGTGGAGGTTAAGGAAGATCCTGCATCAAATTTTGTCCAGGACAGTAGGCAAACAGTCTTCAATAACTGTCTTTCCATCTTCTAACACAACTGTCGAGAAATGACTTTTCTGATGAAAGAATGAGGTAGTCATCTTTTTTCTTTGACTTCTTCCTTCCCTAACTTAGTTGGCCGATCCTCTGATAGAAAAACCCACTGAGCTGATTGTCTTTTGGTAACGGGTACGTAGCAATATATTCAGCTATAGCCATAGCAATATATCATTAAAATTACTATGTCCATACTAAAACTCGTTAAACCAATGGTAAATAATGGCACCAGATGATGAATGATGCCATTAAGAAATGCTAATCTCAGCTTACCATAGCTTCGTTGTTGAGTAAATCCACAACGAAAGTCATAATAAATCATTGGTCGAAATTTTTCTCGAATTAGGTTTATTTTCACGTATAATGAGACTTTTAGATGTGCTGCTAATTTACAAAAACAAATAAAAATGTATGCAGTACTACAGTAGGTTACCAAAGAGTTGTAAAATTAAAATTCAAAAAATATTTTTGTCAGGAATGTCTTGCCAGTTCTAAACAGTTGTTTTTTTTTCGACTTTACTGTAGTTAAATTAATTAATTTTTAGCTGACAGCTAATTTGAGGCTTTGACAGCGTCACCAGGAGGGGTATTTAATATGTACCCTCGCCTCAATTTATACCAACCAACATTCACTGTTGTGACTTCAGTTGCACAAGTGGCTACGTAAGTTACGCCGGTGATACCTGACAATTTTAACTAAATTTGTAAATAAGAGGTATTTGCTCCGATATAAATAAAAATAAATTAAGGATGTAAATTAAAAGAAAACTAAATAAATTTTATAAATTTGAAGAAGATAAATTCATTATTTCAGAGGACACTTGCACCACATTGGAAGGTGGCATCGGAACATGTACGCCAGCAGTCTCATGCGCTGCGTATTTCGATCTTCAGCGACAAGCCAAAAGACTCGATACTTCTTTCCAGCTTAGAGATACGCAATGTAAATCAAATGAATATGATGTCATGGTAAGTATTAAGATTAACACAGAGAAGAGTACGTAGAATTTAAAACAATAGTATTGAAGTAGAGGTAAATTATTTTTGAACAATATAAGTAATTATAGAATTAAACCTATAATTTAAATTAATAATATAGTATATGTATGTCGGCGCAACAATATTTAAAACCCTTATAAGGGGTAGTTGTTTCATAAGTATTTTACTTTAGAGGCTAGATGTGATATAAACAAATCACTAACGCCATTCCGATAGTGATTTCTTTAACAAAATTATTTGTTCTAGAGATCGTTGCATGACTTGTAATAAATAACAGTAAAAGTTAATTCGTAAATTGTAATATGTGACTATTAATCATTCTGTAACTTTAAGTAAAAAGAGAACTTATTTAGTAACCAATTTGTAATAAATGTTAATCAATTGTTTTCTATAAACTATTAAGTTGCAATATTAAGATTGGATGTTTTAATAATTAATTACTAAAACTAATACGATTGTCACTGACTCCAAAGAATTATTTACAATGTTCTGATGACAGATCTGCTGCCCAAATGAGAGACAAAGAGAAACGACGCTACCATTTTGGGACTTTGACAGCGAATATAATTGTGGAGAAGACCAAAGAAATGCTGAACTTGGTAAGACATTACTGATCAAAGGTTTCTCGTGTCCTGTAATATAAAAATTTCTACGCAATACGATTTGTGTAACATCCCTGCGTTCAAGTATTACGTAATGCAATTTTGGGGGAGGGGGGGCTCGTAAAACGTTACGATGCGTTACAGGGGCGGGAGGGGGTGTCTCTTACAAAACGTTACGTAGCATTGTTTTTAAAAAATATTAATAAAAACCCCTAAATTGGCAACTCTTTTCATATATGTTACATTATGTTGACCAGATTGTATTTGTCTGGTCGATATTTTTATTTGTTATCCCAAGTTTGCAAACCTATTAATTGATATTTTACGGCGAATACCTAGATTGCATTGTAAGTCATTTAATGTTGCTTCCGTGGTTAGTAGGTATTCGTTATTGTTCATCCGTTAGTTCATAGTGTTCATACTGTAATTTTCTTAGAAGAGGGAGATTTGTATCAATGATCTTTTTTCATTTAATAGATTAAAACTATACCAAACTATTACATATTGTTTTACGACTTTAGGATGAAATTGATCACTTGAGTGTTACATAACGTTTTGAGAAGGGGGGGGGGGCTACAGAAAAACATTACTGTGCGTTACGAGGGGGGAAGGGAGGGTCAAAATTCTTCAAAAATTGCGTTACGTAATACCTGAACGCTTCCATATACAAAATTAGTCATATTTGTATCTTTGCTTTAGTGTTTACAGAGGAAACGTGCACCACAATTGAAGGTGGTATTGGCAAATGTGAGTCGCTAGCAGCCTGCGAACCTTACTCTGATCTGACGAGACAAGCCAAACACGTTCCCTTGACTATTCAACTGAGAGATGCTCAGTGCGGTTCACACGGAAACGAACAAAAGGTAAACTATTGACAATATTAAAAATATATACATAAAACTTATATTTTGAAGATATACTACGCAACTTTATTTTTACTACAGTGCTGTAAAGTAACCGAAACGTCGGGAATATATAGTTTTTATCAAAAATAAAGTCGCGTAGTTTATCCTCAAAATATTAGTAAAAAAATGACTCGCGAGAATCTCAGATCTCATTATATAAATATATGTATTTATTTACATTTTCCTTATTAATTAAAAAAACATTTTATTACCCTTTTTTCCTCAATTAGTTTCAAACATACCATACATTATATTATACATACTATGTACCTACCTCTTGACAGCTTTAAGTGATGCAAATTTAATGAGAATATTTTAATGGCTGTGTTTAATATTTTGAATAAAAATAAAAATAAGTGAACGAGCAAGATATAGAAAATGAAAAATTACTTAAACTTATTTGTTTAATTAGGATTATAAATTTAGATATTGCACATTCAATACTTCATCAATCGGTGTCTTCGCCGTATTCTCGGTATTTACTGGCCCGAGAAAGTCTTCAATGTGAATCTGTGGTAATGCTGCGGTGAGATACATATTGACCTGCAAATCAAACGTCAAAAGTGGAAGTGGATCTTCCATACGCTCCGAAAGGACCCGGAACACATACCAAGGCAAGCCCTGGACTGGACTCTTCAAGGAAAGCGAAAACGTTGCCGCCCTAAGCAGACGGCCGACGATCACAGCAGAAGCTAAATACATCGGGAAGATTTGAAGCGACATGAAAGGCGAAGCTCAAGACCGAACGGGATGGTGGCGGACTGTGGCCCTCTGCCCTATCTGGAGGACATAGGATTAAAATGAAAGACTTTCAATACTTCGTTAGGTACTGACCCTACCGAATCCTTGCTTTATTACGCGCATGTTTTTGGCAGGCACTTTTAGTCAATTGTCCGCTCCAATAATAAAAATAAAGTTTAAGAAACCTTTATAATGATACTTCAATCTTTGGCAGGTCTGCTGCCCTACTTCAGTGTCGTCTTCATCAACAACTGAGCAAGCTTCTTTCAGAGTAATAGCTGAGTCAGATTATATAACGGACCTTCCTGAACCACCAGAATGTGGACTCGGCTTAAGTTTTTTCGTCAGAGTTGTAGGAGGTGCTAAGGCCGCGTTGGGTAACAATCTTGCTTAAATATTATAAAAACAAATATAAATACTTATTTTAATTGATAGATTAAGATATTTCAAGATTATTTCGTTCAGTAAAGTGCTTACGTATTTAGAAGGTTAAGATAGGACTTACCAGTTGAAGATGATAAACTTCAACAATTAATTTATTATAGTCCAGAGGTCTAAAAGGAAACGAGCGATATTTCATATTTATTTTTATGACGTAACCAAATCGGGAAAAATGTTTCAATGAAACTCGCGAAATTCTTAGATCTCATCGGGAAAAATATAATTAGCGCAAGAATATTTGGAATATTCTAAAGAACTATAGGGAACTATCACTGAGATAAAACGACTTATAAGTCGTGCTTATTAAAACCGTGTTTTATTTGTAGGCTAATTTACAAACAGGTTACTTTCCCTGGATGGCACTTCTTGGTACCAAACAAGAAAACTGGGACACGGCGCGTTGGATATGTGGGGGAAGTCTGATCTCCCACCACCACGTCCTGACCGCTGCTCACTGTATAAAGAATGAATTGTATGTGAACTTAAAGTTAGCCTCAGCTTTGATTATCTTTGCTAAATAGATTTGTTTCATTTATATAATGTTAATAGGAACGTGGTTCGACTCGGTGAGCTAGACTTCGGACGAGACAACGATAGCGCTTCTCCCATAGACTTATCCATTAAAAGAAAAATCAAACATGAAAACTTCGACTACAGTTCCTTTACTAATGACATCGGCCTTTTAATATTGGAAAAGGACGTGGAATTCTCTGGTAATTTATTTTTTTGTTAGTGTAACTTTTACTTTCAGCCTTAAAACAGTCAACTGCTGATAGTTTTTTTTTAATATTTGCCGTGGTCTCTTTCTACAATCAAATAGTTATAATTTGATTTGAATTCACTTCCTAAGTGATCGAGCTTCTTGAATTACTAAATGTTAATAAATAGTTACATAATGTTTATATTCAGAAACATTTTCAGAACTCATCCGACCGATCTGTCTACCGAGGACTGGAGATGTGAACTGGAAATCTCTCGTAGGCTTCAACCAGTTTCTCGCTGGCTGGGGAAACATCGACAACCGTAATTAACAATTTTTTTCTAATCATTTCTATGCATAAGCAATATCATTATAAATTTATTCAGAGATGAAACGTAGACCCTCTTTGTCTGCACCCACTCATCAAACGATAGACTGACATCTGCCTCCGACGGAAAAGTTTCATAGCTCCTTAGAAACTACAAAACACATTGATCGACACAGCTACCCTTGTTCCCTAACCCTATTAAATTATTGTAATTGGTCAGGTGGTGCTTCTTCATCTCACCTGCGATATGTGGAACTGCCTGTTGTGAACAACTCGGTTTGCGAGAAAGCTTATGAGTCGCGGGTCATAGATGAGAGAGTAATGTGTGTTGGCTCCTACCTGAAAGACTCCTGCTCCGGCGACAGCGGTGGACCACTCATGGACACTATAGTAAGTAATTTAAACGATCATGACATCACGCCTGTAGGACGGTTCGTTCTTGCAACAAAACAGTGAAAAAATCAAGGAAGATACAAAAATTAACAATATGACACGGTCCCTTAAAATTTACTGGGACGTGTGTGGAGTAATTAATGTTTTAGTAGAGAAACTAATAAATAACAAGAGAAAAATATAGGGTTTTGGGTTCATGTTTAATAATAAATACACAGAAACCATTTTAGCCTTCTGTAAGAAAGTGGTATTGCTCCGGTCGTGTTAACCCAGGTTCGAGCTGTAGTGACTGACCACAGCTAGGCTCTGCCACCTGAAAAATTTTACCACAATGAAGTTGTTTAAAAAAACAATATGTAGATTTTTTGACTCCTCCTCCAAATAACCGTAGTAAAGAATTTACACTTTATATATGGCAAACTTGTGCATCAACTTTTTTGAAATATTCCTTTTTTAATGTTCGTTTATATATATTTTATACACAATAAATATTTTGTTAATTTTCAGAGAAACAGTACAACTTTTCGTCTTCATTTCTATCAGACCGCCGTCGTGTCGTATGGTTACACTAAATGCGGTGAAGAAAATTTTCCAGGAGTGTACAGTTCACTGGAGTATTTCCTGCCCTGGATAAAGGAACGTGTTCTGGGATTTGTTGAATAACTTCTCTTTGTATATCCGTTATAAGAAAAAACATGTTTAGAATATTCTGTTCATATGGTAATAAAACAAACACTAAGAAATGTATGACATTTTATACCTATAACAACATAAGTTTAAAGTATTGGTTTAAGTAGTCTTAGTATTTTAGTTTTATGTGCAAAGATTTTTGGGTGTTTTAATAAAACGATGCCATACTATATCACAATCTTTATTGTGATAATTGATTAACATTTAATTACTGGCTTTAATATTAATAGCTTTCATATATTTTAATAAAACAATTATATTTCTTTATCACAATTCGTAGGTATATATGGATTAACATTCAAGATCTCTTCACTATATAATATTTATTAATTCAGTTAATGAAATGATAGTAGCTAGAACAAGGTATAAGTACAAGGTACAAGGTAGAACCTTGGTAGGTAAGAACAAGGTACAAGCTAGAACAAGCTACAAGGTATAAGCTTAAGAATGAGGATTTCTTTGAAAGCAATAAAAGTTTTTCGCCACAAATTGTGTATGTAACATTCAAAATTAGACTTGTTCTTATTTACACTTGATAATATTCAATGAATAGTTTATCTTATGAGATTCAATGTAACAACTGGACTGAACTCAATAGGGGAAGTTTCTCAATAAAAAACAACGTCCTTGAATACTTATAATTAATTATCATTTAAGAGTTTAAATGTACTTATATAGTTATCTAATAAGTGAATTTGTTTTATACGGGTATTAGAATGTACTAAAACTGGTTAGTTCCTAAAACAAAAACTTAATGTCGTTACAATTTTTGTTCATTTCAATTTCCGTTCAGTTCCACTAACTGCCATCTAGCGAGGAAAACTCCAAACTGGCTATTACAGAGTTTTACAGATACAGAGTATAGTTTAAATGAAAAAAAAAATAAGACTCTAGGTTCAAGTTACATAAAAAGTACATAGAATCCATTTTAGCCTTCGCTGACGATCTCGAAATACTGACACTTAACTCCAACATTGTTTTGTACTATTGGATGAAGTGGGTAAATTCTGTGAGTGGATGGATAGATTGAGGACAAAGCCAAGTAAATGTCACTACCATCCCTAACAAAAATACCGAATAGTAGATAGCTTTTTGAACGAACTTTACAAGATAATAATTAATTTAACCAATTGATAAAGTCAAAAAAGCTTATATAATATTTACGACAGTTATCTTATATCACGTTTGAATTAGTCTTTCCTCATCTATCAATTAACAGATTCCATATTAAGTTTACAATAGGAGCACAAAGTAACAGAGAATCTCTCTACAACCTTATAAAGACTTGGGTCTGTCCAGGAATAATATCACTTTGTTCTTGGAACGTGCATCGAAGGTCAGTCGGTGGTTTAAAATTTGGTTATGTAGAGTGACGATGAGAGCTTGGACGATGGAGGTGAGCGTTTAACGCGCCTTATATAGACGCTCCTTAAACCTACACCTGGGTCACAAGTCCCAGGCACTGTTGAAGCTCCTCTCACTACAACGATGGACCCAGAACCCGCACTTTGAATACATTGAATGATGAGAGGTTTCGTCTCGTCACGGGATTATTGAGTTAATCTGAAGTAAATTTGGTTTTACTATCACACGAAAAGTCGGGATATGAGCATAGTGATACTATCTGATGCAATTAAATGTTTATAGGAAACTAAAAATGTTTTATATCGAATTATATATTGTTATGAATTGAATTAAATTTCTATGAATATATTTAAATTGTATTTTTAATAAAAAAAAATTGACTTTAATTTAATTTATCTAAAAAAAAGACATACTCGTAGGTATTATAATTGTTTAAAATATTATAAAGAGAACTTTAGTTTATAATACTCTTTTTCATTAATTTGCGAAATATAACTGTAGCTTTAAAATTTGTAAGTTGAATGCAAATTTTAATTAATGTATGTCGGAGATATGTGTGCGGTATACATTGTATCTCAGCACATATTAAATGTTAGTCAAGACCCAGCTCCAGTCGCTAGCGGTGCTTGCTCGTGCTTGCTTCACGAGATGTCAGCTCCTGACATAATGTATAGTGTGTTGGTAACAGTGGTGTGTGTCTGTTTGTGTTTACAAACTGTGCTGTGTCAATACCGTAAGTTCATATACTAGGATTAACTTGTTTTTTAGAGCGTAGTATATAGATTTAAAATACGTTTTAAAATCGGATATTACCTTTGATTCTTTAGAAATGATTATTTAATAATACATATGTAGTAATTATTGTTTTGGTGCATGTAATTTTTCGAAACCTTGAGAAACAATCTTTTAATGTCCAGTTTAATTCTGTTTCTGTTATTTATATAATGTAAATACATATTTTTATTTCTCGAAACCTTTCCTTATACTAACATCATTCAATAAAGACTCCTAACACTTAACTACCTATTAATTATATTTTCATTTCGAAATTGTGACGTAATAGTAAAATTAATAGACGTTAGAAATTTGTGTATTTTATAGTAAGTAATTCAAGTGGTTCAAATCGTGTTTTAAAACTTGAAGCATAACTGACGTATACCAATGTTGGTGACTATCGTCAGGCTCTTGAAGGAAACCTCGTAGACGGTTTGACGAATCCTAAACCTAAGCAATGAAAGTGTTTAGAAAATGTAAATCGGCTTAATGTAGAAAATTGCCAATACTTTTTTGTTTTTCAAAATAATTTCCGTTCCTCTCTACACATCGTCGCATTCGATGAAACCACTAAGTAAAGCAGACCCGCCATAAAATTAAATGGGCTTGCCATTGCTTTTACCGCATCTTTGTAAAGCGAATACTTCGAATTATATTTTTTGTTCTTGGGAATAAATAAAAGTCATAGAGTGCCAAGTAAGAACTGTATGGCGGATAACTCAATAACTTCAACAGTCCATTTGGCGGAATGAGCTGAAAGATTGACGTGGTGAAGGAGGATCCTACTTCAAGAGCGCGGGTATCGAATTTTTCTCAGACAATAGGCATACAGTCTTCAATAACTGTAGTTATTATAATAGCAGTCTTCAATAACTGTCTTTCCATCTTCTAGTAGAACTGTCGAGAAATGACTTTTCCCATGAATGAGGTAGTCATCTTTTTTCCTTGATTTCTTCCTTCCAAACTCAAAACTCAAAACTCAAACAACTTTATTCAATATAGAAGTATTACACTTTCTTATTGATGGTCATATTGAGACTACCACTTCCTTAACTTAGTTGGCCGATCCTCTGATAGAAAAACCCACTGAGCTGATTGTCTTTTGGTATTGGGTACGTAGCTATATATCCAGTTATAGCTATAGCAATATTTAATTGAGTTTACTACTATGACCATACTTAAACCTTTAAACCGATTATAAATAATGGCACGAGTTGTAGCTTCATTATCAAATGTTAATCGCAGCTTACCATGGCTTTGTTGTTGAGTAAATCCACAAAGAAAAGTCCTATTAAATTATTGATCGAAAAAATTCTCGCGTTCTTGCTACGGCTCAAGTAAGAATGTATTTAATCTTTTACTATCTGTAGCTTTTAGCCCTAATGACTTTGACAGCGTCACCAGGAGGGGTATTTAATATGTACCCTCGCCTCAATTTATACCAACCAACATTCATTGTTGTGACTTCAGTTGCACAAGTGGCTACGTAAGTTACGCAGGTGATACCTGACAATTTTAATCATCAATAATAATTATTTATTACGTAAATAAGAGGTATTTGCTCCGATATAAATAACAATAAATTAAGGATGTAAATTAAAAGAAAACTACTTAAATTTTATAAATTTGAAGAAGATAAACACATTATTTCAGAGGACACTTGCACCACATTGAAAGGTGGCATCGGAACATGTACGCCAGCTGTCTCATGCGCTGCGTATTTCGATCTTCAGCGACAAGCCAAAAGACTCGATACTTCTTTCAGCTTAGAGATGCGCAATGTAAATCAAATGAATATGATGTCATAGTAAGTATTAAGATTAACACAGAGAAGAGTACGTAGCATCTAGAACTGTGGTGTTGAAGTAGAGGTAGAGGTAAATTATTCTTAGACAATATATGTAATTATAGAATTATACCCATAATTTAAATTTATGATATAGTATATATCGGCGCAACAGTATTTAAAACCCTTATAAGGAGTTGTTGTTTCATAAGTATTTTACTTTAGAGGGTAGATGTGACATGAACAAATCACTAACGCCATTCCGATAGTGATTTCTTTAACAAAATTATTTGTTCTAGAGATCGTTGCATGATTTGTAAGAAATAACAGTAAAAGTTAATTCGTACCGTGATTTGTAATATGGGACGTTCTGTAACTTTAAGTAAAAAGAGAACTTAATTAGTAACCAATTTGTAATCAATGTAAATCAATTGTTTTTAATAAACTGTTAAGTTGCAATATTAAGTTTGGATGTTTTAATATTTATTAACTAAAACTAATGTAATGTGATTGTAAATAACTCCATGGAATTATTTACAATGTTCTGATGACAGGTCTGCTGCCCAAATGAGAGACCAAAAGAAACGACGCTACCATTTTGGGACTTTGACGGAGAATATAATTGTGGAGAAGACCAAAGAAACGCTGAACTTGGTAAGATTAATAAGTTACTGATCAAAAGATTCTCGTCTCCTCTAATATAAAAATTTCTACGCAATATAATTTGTGTAACATATACAAAATTAGTCATATTTGTATCTTTCCTTTAGTGTTTACAGAGGAAACGTGCACCACAATTGAAGGTGATATGGGCAAGTGTGAGTCGCTAGCAGCCTGCGAGCCTTACTCTGATCTGACGAGACAAGCCAAACACGTTCCCTTGACTATTCAACTGAGAGATGCTCAGTGCGGTTCACACGGAAACGAACAAAAGGTAAACCATTGACAATATTAAAAATAAATACGTAAAGCTAATATTTCGCGGATATACTACGCGATTTTATTTTTACTACTGTGATCACGGTTGCTAAAAAGTAACCGAAACGTCGGGAGTATGTAGTTTTTATCAAAAATAAAGTCGCGTAGTTTATCCTCAAAATATTAGTAAAGAAATGACTCGCGAAAATCTCAGATCTCATTATATAAATATATGTATTTATTTACATTTATTAATTAAAAAAACATTTTATTACCCTTTTTTCCTCAATTAGTTTCAATCACACCTATTATACATACTACCACTTGACAGCTTTAAGTGATGCAAATTTAATGAGAATATTTTAATGGCTGTGTTCAATAATTTGAATAAAAATAAAAATAAGTGAGCGGCAGGATAAAGAGAACGAAGAATTACTCAAACTTTTCTTTTAATTAGGATTATAAATTTAGATATTGCACATTCAATACTTCATCAATCGGTGTCTTCGCCGTATTCTTGGTATTTACTGGCCCGAGAAAGTCTTCAATGTGAATCTGTGGGAGTGCTGCGGTGAGATACAAATTGACCTGCAAATCAAACGTCAAAAGTGGAAGTGGATCTTCCATACGCTCCGAAAGGACCCGGAACACATACCAAGGCAAGCCCTGGACTGGACTCCTCAAGGAAAGCGAAAACGTGGCCGCCCTAAGCAGACCTGGCGGCCGACGATCACAGCAGAAGCTAAAAACATCGGGAAGACTTGGAGCGACATGAAAGGCGAAGCTCAAGACCGAACGGGATGGTGGCGTACTGTAGACGCCCTCTGCCCCACCTGGGGGACATGGGATTAAAAAGAAAGACTTTCAATACCTCGTTACGCACTGACCCTACCGAATCCTTGCTTTATTACGCGCATATTTTTGGCAGGCACTTTTAGTTAATTGTCCGCGCCAATAATAAGAATAAAGTTTAAGAAACCTTTATAATTTTATATCAATTTTTGGCAGATCTGCTGCCCTACTTCAGTGTCGTCTTCATCAACAACTGAGCAAGCTTCTTTCAGAGTAATAGCTGAGTCAGATTATATAACGGACCTTCCTGAACCACCAGAATGTGGACTCGGCTTAAGTTTTTTCGTCAGAGTTGTAGGAGGTGCTAAAGCCGCATTGGGTAACAATCTTGCTTAAATATTATAAAAACAAATATAAATACGTAATTTAATTGATAGATTTAGTTATTTCAAGATAATTGCGTTCAGTAAAGTGCCTACGTATTTAGAAGGTTAAGATAGGACTTACCAGTTGAAGATGATAAACTTCAACAATTAATTTATTATAGTCCAGAGGTCTAAAAGGAAACGAGTGATATTTCATATTTATTTTAATGACGTAACCAAATCGGGAAAAATATTTCAATGAAACTCGCGAAATTCTTAGATCTCATCGGGAAAAATATAATTAGCACAAGTATATTTGGACTATTTTAAAGAACTATAGGGAACTATCACTGAGATAAAACGACTTATAAGGCGTGCTCATTAAAACCGTGTTTTATTTATAGGCTAATTTTCAAACAGGTTACTTTCCCTGGATGGCACTTCTTGGCACCAAACAAGAAAAATGGGACACAGCGCGTTGGATATGTGGGGGAAGTCTGATCTCTCACCGCCACGTCCTGACCGCTGCTCACTGTATAAAGAATGAATTGTATGTGAACTTAAAGTTAACCTCAGCTTAAATTATCTTCGCTTAATAAATTTGTTTCATTCATATAATGTTAACAGGAACGTGGTTCGACTTGGTGAGCTGGACTTCGGACGAGACAACGATAGCGCTTCTCCCATAGACTTATCCATTAAAAGAAAAATCAAACATGAAAACTTCGACTACGGTTCATTTACTAATGACATCGGCCTTTTGATATTGGAAAAGGACGTGGAATTCTCTAGTAAGTTATTTTTTTTGTTAGTGTAACTATTATTTTCAGCTCTAAAAACAGTCAACTACTGATAGTTTCTTTTTAACATTTGCCGTGGTCTCTTTCTACAATCAAAGAGTTTATAGTTACACTTCCTAAGTGATCGAGCTTCTAAAGTAACTAAATGTTAATAAATAGTTACATAATGTTAATATTCAGATACATTTTCAGAACTCATCCGACCGATCTGTCTACCGAGGAGTGGAGATGTGAACTGGAAATCTCTTGTAGGCTTCAACCAGTTTCTCGCTGGCTGGGGAAACATCGACAACCGTAATTAACAATTTTTTTCTAATCATTTCTATGCATAAGCAATATCATTATAAATTGATTCAGAGATGAAACGTAGACCCTCTTTATCTGCACCCACTCATCAAACGATAAACTCACATCTGCCTCTGACGGAAAAGTTTCATAGCTCCTTAGAAACTACAAACACATTGATCGACACAGCTACCCTTGTTCCCTAACCCTATTAACTATTGTAATTGTTCAGGTGGTGCTTCTTCATCTCACCTGCGATATGTGGAACTACCTGTTGTGAACAACTCGGTTTGCGAGAAAGCATATGAGTCGCGGGTCATAGATGAAAGAGTAATGTGTGTTGGCTCCTACCTGAAAGATTCCTGCTCTGGCGACAGCGGTGGACCACTCATGGACACTATAGTAAGTAATTTAAACGATCATGACATGACATTTGTAGGACGGTTCGTTGTGGCAACAAAACAGTGAAAAAATCAAGGAAGATATAAAAATTAACAATATGACACGGTCCCTTAAAATTTACTGGGACGTGTGTGGAGTAATTAATGTTTTAGTAGAGAAACTTATAAATAACAAGAGAAAAATATAGGGTTTTGGGTTCATGTTTAATAATAAATACACAGAAACCATTTTAGCCTTCTGTAAGAAAGTGGTATTGCTCCGGTCGTGTTAACCCAGGTTCGAGCTGTAGTGACTGACCACAGCCAGGCTCTGCCACCTGAAAAATTTTACATCAATGAAGTTGTTTAAAAAAACAATAGGTAGATTTTTTGACTCCTCCAAATAACCGTAGTATAGTAAAGAATTTACACCTTATATATAGCGAACTTGTGCATCAACTTTTTTGAAATATTCCTTTTTTAATGTTCTTTTTTATATATTTTATACACAATAAATATTTTGTTGATTTTCAGAGAAACAGTACAACTTTTCGTCTTCATTTCTATCAGACGGCCGTTGTGTCGTATGGTTACACTAAATGCGGTGAAGAAAATTTTCCAGGAGTGTACAGTTCACTGGAGTATTTCCTGCCCTGGATAAAGAAACGTGTGCTGGGATTTGTTGAATAACTTCTCTTTGTATATTCGTTACAAGAAAAAACATGTTTAGAATATTCTTTATTCATGTGGTATTAAAAGCATCCACTAAGAAATATATGACATTTTATATCTAAAATAACAAATAACTCCTTTGAGAGCTTACAAATAGGATTTCTTTGAAAGCAATAAAAGTTTATTAACTACAAATCGTCTCTGTAACATTCTATAATTCTTCTTCAGCGTATGTCTCTATCGCTAAGTCAACTGCTACAGTTTTTTAATATTGAAGTGTATTTGAAAGTCAACAAGTATTAGCTTAGATTTATTCTTATTTATACTTGATACTATTCAATTAATAGTTAATCTTATGAGATTTAATGTAACAACTGGACTGAGAAGAAGTTCCTCAATAAAAAACAACGTCCTTGAATTCTTGTAATTATCATTTAAAAGTTTAAATATAGTTATCTAATAAGTGAATGTGTTTTATACGAGTACTAAAATGTAGTCAAACTCGTTAGTTCTTAAACAAACCCTAAACGTTGTTACTATTTCTTTTCATTTCAATTTTCAGTTCAGTTTCACTTTCTGTCATCTAGCGTATAAAAACTCCAAACTCGCTTTTACAGAGTTTAATTTTAATGAGAAAAAATTAGGCTTTCAGTTCAAGTAAGAAGAATAAGTACACAGATTCAATTTCAGCTCTCATGTAGCCCCAAGCACTCTCAAGTACAATTGGATGAAGTTCATAAATTCTGTGAGTGGACGGATGGATTAAGAACAAAACCAAATAAATGTCACTTCCATCCTTAGCAGGAATACCGAATAGCAGATAGCTTTTTGAACGATCTTTACAAGGTAAATATTATATTAACCGATTAGTAACGTCAAAAAAAGCTTAGATTTATGATAATTATCATATATCACATTTGAATTAGTCTTCCCTCTTCTATGAATTTTAAAAAAATCTTTTGTTTAAGTTTCTAAGCGTCTATTTCATAAACAGTTTGTGATAGGAGTACAAAGTAGAGATCAAGATTTGGGCCTGTCCAACATAAGTTCTCTGATGGTTGAGGTGAGCGTTTAATGTACGTTATATGGACGCTCCTTAAACCTACACCTGGGTCACAAGTCCCAGACACTGTTGAAGCTCCTCTCCCTGCAACGATGGACCCGACACCCGCACGGTGAATACATTGAATGCTGAGCGGTTTCGACTCGTCTGTATATATTAAAGGTAATGTCCATAATACCTTTCACCTGTATACTTACAATGCGTTTCAATTGTCAAGTTTAAGTTTAACATTTAAGTTCCGAGTAAATCAGATGATAAATTATCGCAGACTGTTGTATCAACGAAAAGGTTTGCTAATAAACGATTCTCTAGTAAAATATTATTTAATAAAGTTAATTTAGAGTTTGTTAGTAATAAATTTAATAAGAAATAAATACGATGTTGTTTTATGTGATCATTTTGAAATTAAACTATTTGAGTACAAAATACTAATAGTCCCTCTAAAATATGCACTAAAACAAGTACTAAAATTCTGTTTGTAATTAAAATATTAGGTGTACTAACTATACAAAAGTATATATAAAATTATAAATACAATAGTCGTGATGTAATCAATAAAGTTTGATTGCGAAGTAATTGCTTGCACCATCACTCATCTGCTTGTAAATTTTATTAATAATATTAACGTAAACGTGAGAATAACAACGTAAATTACTACGAGCGTAAGGAAAATTATATGCATGATCAGGTTGTATAAATAAAACAATACTAATTGTAACAAAATTATATAGGAAAATATATATAAATAATTAGCTCATAATATTTTAACTAATTTGTCGAAATATAACTGTAACTTTAATATTTGTAAGTTGAATGGAAATCTTCTATATATATAAAAATGGATTGCTGTTCCTTAGTCTTCTTAGCTAAAACTCGAGTACGGCTAAACGGATTTACCTTATCTTAGTCTTGAAATGTTCATAGAGGTTCAGAGAAGGTTTAAAAGCTGAAAAATTTTTATTAATTTCCGGGAAAACCCTAAAAACAGCGCTTTTTTATTTCCCATACAAACGGTTTTTTGACATTAAATTTGACAACTAACTAATATGTCAATCATTTTGTCGCACTTCAGAACACGGAGATTTATGGCTTCAAGGTAAACACCAAAAAAATAAATAAGACATAATTTATTTCTTGATTGAGGCAGTACGAAGTCTGCCGGGTCAGCTAGTATTAGATATATGTCGGAGATGTGTTCAAGTGAAGTATCTATTGTATCTCAGCACATATATTAAAAGTTAGTCAAGACCCAGCTCCAGTCGCTAGCGGTGCTTGCTCGTGCTTGCTTCACGAGATGTCAGCTCCTGACATAATGAATAGTGTGCTGGTGACAGTGGTGTGTGTCTGTTTGTGTTTACAAACTGTGCTGTGTCAATACCGTAAGTTCATATATTAGGATTAATTTCTTTTACAGCGTAGTATAAAGATTTAGAATAAAATAGTAAATTAGAAGTATTAGATATTTTAGATTGTTATATATTATAATATAATAATGATTAGTGTCAAAATGCTAAGCTTTACGAACTTGATAAACAGGTTGTGAATTACTCGTTCAACTTGATGTGTATTGTATAATATATTAAAAATATATATTTATTAATTTTATATGAATGTTTACAACCTCGTCGAAATATTTCCTGTTCTGGAATTGGAATAGAGTATAAATATTTTGGCAAAGTATATTAAAAACTATTAGACTTAATATCTAACTTTGGAATTTAATTTGGATAGAATATATTTTTAGATTTCATAGACATAAATATGTGTTGTATGCAAAATAACTTATACATGTAAGTACAAAGATACGAAAAAGATCTGTAGATATACAGGGTGACTGGTGAATTACTATCAATATTTAAGGAGAATACTCGGTACATGATTCTCATTCGAATTATGTAAAAAAAATAGGAACTTAATTTTTGACAAAATTTCCATATAAATAAATAAAGTGTTGACACGTTCCAAGTGTTCCTAGTGTGGACGCGTGCGGCGGCGTACTGATACAACACCACGCCGCTGCGCGCGTATGTGTGAGTGTGTGTGTATACCTAATCTGTAGGGTGTTCATACGATGCGTAATTAAATACATAACTTTAGGTTAACTTTACTTAGAAGTTTATTAATATTTATGTTATATTAATTTTTATTTTGTCATATATGATCGTCAAATATCACGTCCTCAAGTATCGATAGTAATTCACCAGTCACCCTGTAGAATAAGCACACGCTTCATTAATAAAACATTAAATTTAGTACAATATTTTATATAATTATAACATGATTTTGGATACGAAAAGTTCGTTGTTGTAATAGGAATGAGTTCTTATGCGGAATTATTGTATAATAGAGGTTTTTTAAAGTAGAATTTTTATGTTATACATACAAGCTTTCCGCCCGCAGCTTCACCCGCGTGATGTTCGGTTATATCGCGTTTCCAAGAGAATTTTTCAAAAGTCTGGGATAAAAACTACCTTATGTTCTTTCTCTAGGTCAACTCTATGTTTGTACCAAATTTCATTAAAATGAGTTCAGTGGTTTAGGCGTGAAAGCGTAGCGGACAGACAGACAGACAAAGTTACTTTCGCATTTATAATATTAGTAGGGTTATAAACAGTGCTGTTCTGTAATCTTCTTCCATCTCTCAGGAAGCCTCATTATGATTTATTCACAAAATCGTCAATACCTACTTTCAAAATTTTAATCAGCGTGCTGTTTTTGTCGCTTATTGACTTAAAAGCTGTATAACTTGCAAGCTTTTTAAAATCGAGGCACAATCAAGAAAAGGATGTTGCAAAGTTTCTGCAAAACGGAGATGGAGGCAGAATGTCAAAATTAAATTGTAATAATTGTTGCCTCACAGTCAATCTTATTTGTCGTGATGAAATGCAACAGCTACATATGTAGTTTGTTAACAAAATGTTGTGGTTTTAGGCAATAATATTTTCTTGTATTTCCAAATGATTTGTCACCGGTGATTAGATCACCTTGTGGAGATATTCCAACAGATGTGAATCTGAAACTTAATAACACTCGCATTTATTTTATTGAAAATTCCTTATATATTGTAATCTTGGAAATTTTTAGGGGATTTCACTATCTCACGCAGGCTATATAGAAGGTTTTTTAAACAGCACACTCTTAAAAGTTGCTAGCCGGTCCTATCGGTCTTCATAATTAAGCACAATATATTAATTTTAATTTTTTAATCCAGTTGCAGACGTTCTATAACTCGTAAAATCATTTCCGTATACGGTTCAAATGTCGTTAGCAGTGTCCTTGTCGCTATTGTCTTTTAAAAGTCATTAAAACAGAACATCCACAAAATACTCATTTTAAATCTTCATCTTTACTGAGTTGTATAAATTTTTTAAAAACTTTGTCACAAATGAAATATTTTTGAAAAGTTTTGAGACTACTGAAAGCGATGCCATAGGTAAATGAGTAAGAAATAATCACGCATATTTAAATAAATTCATAGCATTTAATGCATGTTTAAATAAGTGCTTCATAGCGTGGCACAGACGAAACTTATGTGGAAAACAAATGTATGAAATAATTTACTAATATTAGGATTTACATGCATTGTTAATAGTTTAATGTTCATTGCTTAAGAGGTGCAACTCCCTAGTAACTATGTATAATCAACTTTCAGAGGAAACTTGCACCACAATAGAAGGTGGCATTGGAACATGTAAGCCAAGTATCTTATGCACTCCCTACTTCAATCTGCAGGGAGTGGCCAAAATCCTCACTGCTTCTTTTCAACTTCGCGCTTCTCAATGTAGTTCCTTTGGTATCAATATCATGGTGAGTACCAATTAAGAAAAAATAAGTAAATATGACATAGGTAGTATTAAATTAGACAGGAGGTAGGTAGTAATAGGTAGAAAGGTTAGGGTTTAATAAAAATTGTCATGATAGTGGTGGTACGCATTTTAAATTTGGATAAAATTTTATAAATGTTTAGATAAATACAGTTGATAATAAAAAGAGGCTAAAACAATGAACTGTAAACATAATATTAGAGATATATTTATTAAATTATTGGTGATGATGATTTTATATTGTAATAAGACGTAATTATTTCCAATCCACGATCATTTTTAATTTAAGATATTGTTCGATTGTAACCAACTCCAAAGACTTATTGAAAACTAGAAGACCTGGCGAACTTCGTATCGCCCTATAATCAAGAAATATCTATTACGTTTTTTTATTTATATTTTTGGAGTTTACCTATTAAAGCCATAAATCTCCGTTTTTTGAAGTGCGACAGAATGATTGACATATTAGTTAGTTGTCAAATCTAATGTCAAAAAAAAAACCTTTGTATGGGAAATAGAAAAGGGCTGTTTTTATGGTTTTCCCAGTAATTAATAAATTTTTTTCAGCTTTTATACCTTCCCTGAACCTCCACGAACATTTCAAGACTATGATAAGATAAATCCGTTCAGCTGTTCTCGAGTTTTAGCGAGACTAAGGAACAGCAATCCATTTTTATACATATAGAAGATGTTTTGATCCCAGATCTGCTGCCCCAAATCAAAATGAGCCATCTCCAGAAACAAAGCAATCATTGACCTTAAACGCCTCCGATGACTCTAGTGAGAACCAAGGGATTACTCAACTTGGTAAGAGAGTGGTATTATATATAACTTTGAGCTGGATAAATGAAATGAAATATGTATACAAATACAGAATCATCATCATCATCATCATCATCATCATCCAACCCAGGGCGGGACAACCCAGGGTCCGCTTTCATTATTTGTAAAAATACAAAAACAGAATGAAACTATCGATTGTATAAAAGTTATAAAGAAAGACCTGCTGAAATATTTTCACTTCGTTTATTGCCCTCTAGCATGCTTATCTAGAGACCACATTTCTTTTAAAATATACATTTAAATTAAAATAATTTTCGTAATTTTTTTTGAATGGGTCCTAAAATTTTAAAATATTGATATAGTGTAAAACATACTGTATGCTTATTTTAGAGTATCATTATAAACTTATGACATTTTTGGAACTTGTGTTCGTCAAAGTAATTTTTATACTCAAAGCAAGTCCATATAACAGATATGTATACAATTTACCATTTGACTATTTACTATTTTTGCACAAATTTAATATTTACAGAGGAAACGTGCACCACAATTGAAGGTGGTACGGGTAAGTGTGAGTCGCTAGCAGCCTGCGAACCTTACTCTGATCTGAGAAGACAAGCCAAACACGTTCCCTTGACTATTCAACTTAGAGATGCTCAGTGCGGTTCACACGGAAACGAACAAAAGGTATCTTACAAAATCTTATACCATATCGTAAAGCATTCTTAAGTTTTCGTATTAGTTAATTTCAAACAAAATCAATACGTTCTTACCCAGCTTTTGCACATAAACTTCACAGTACTTTTAAACTTATGCTTATTTTATATTGATATTATATTTATATTAAAGGTTCGAAATTAAATCTAAAAATGAGAATAAGTTACTAAAAAAAACTACACAACAATTCATTTTTATAGGTCTGCTGTCCTACTTCAGTTACCTCCATTTCAACAGCTACTGACGAACCTTCCTTCAGGTCACTAGCAGAGCCAGACTACCTAACTGCTTTACCTGAACCACCAGATTGTGGAGTCAGTTTAGCACACTTAAACAGAGTTGTGGGTGGAGTGAACGCTAAACTTGGTGAATATTATTGTTTTTTTACCTAAAATATACTCAAAATAAAACGAATATTAAATTCCGCCATAAAAAATAAAAAGTTTGATTTTTATTTTATTGTTAAATTCATGTTTTGCGTTTATATGAAGTCAAGATTGTTTGTTTTTCAAAATAATTATTTCGATGATTGAGGATAGATGATGCCCATTTATGAAGCTTAATGTAAAGGTTTTATTTATTATATTTTGATCAGACGGAATTATAAAAGGAATCACAGTTACATTACATTCTTTATTTATTTTCTCCTAATTTTATCATATTTTTGCACTATTCCAAAAAAAAAACATCCCAAAAAGTCCAAAAAGTAATGATGTTTTTTATGAAATATTTACGATAAGGTGACTTCCCGTGGATGGCACTTCTTGGTATCAAACAAGAGAACTGGGACACAGTACGTTGGATATGTGGGGGAAGTCTGATCTCCCACCGCCACGTCCTGACCGCTGCTCACTGTATAAAGAATGAATTGTATGTGAAATTAAAGTTACCCTCAATTTTAATAATTTTCTCTAAATAGATATTTGTTTCATTCATATAATTTTTATAGGAATGTGGTCCGACTTGGTGAGCTGGACTTCGAGCGAGATAACGATGGCGCTTCTCCCATGGACTTGTCCATTAAAAGAAAAATCAAACATGAAAACTTCGACTACGGTTCCTTCAATAATGACATCGGCCTTTTGATATTGGAAAAGGACGTGGAGTTCTCTCGTAAGTTATGACACCAGTTAATGTTATTTCGATTGAAATTTATATTCCCGGATAAGATAGGAAGTCTTCAGCTCAGAAAACTCAAAACTGTTACCAATATTTCCGTCAGAACATGACATCTTTGTAAAAATTTACAGCGAAGTAGTTACATGACTTTGGAAGCGATATAGTTTATTTAAAAATAAGTTCACAAACATGCATTATTCCTTCAAATTAAGCTCTATCATTCCTTTAAACCAAATGATTTGTTAGCCTCTCAGTTTTGGCCTATTTTACATATAGCAAACTTATATTATATCTAAGTTATTACTTTAAATTTAATCTTATTCCAGGTCTGATCCGACCGATCTGTCTGCCAACTCGTGAAGACCTACGTTCAAAATCTTTTGTTGGCTACAATCCTTTCATCGCCGGTTGGGGAAACGTTGACAATCGTAATAAAACACTCAATAATAATTATTTTTATACAACACTCTAATTCAGAAGTGTATTTTTCGCAGCCATGTAATGTAAAAACTTTAAAGCCCAAAACAATTCGTACTCAATTTCGATTTTCACTTGCAGTAAAAGAAGAGCATAATTTTTTTAAGCTGTGTTAAGCTATATTATATTACAACTTACAAGATATCATAGGAAATGAGACATGAATCTTTTCCTATTTTGGCTTAGAAACCGGGTGTCCATTTACAGAAGATATTTTTTTTATATTATAGATCAAAAGACTTGAATACAGTCAATTGCCTAATAAAGTTGTGCAGATTCCTCTAAACTCCTGTCCATGTCCTTGAAATCGTAGAAAAAAAAAAAGAAAATAGCTTTCGGATAGAAAACTAGATCTTTCGATTCAAGCTGACACATTCTTATCAAACTAAAAGCAAATAAAAAAATTCGACAGTAGAATGTGAACCTTCTATAAAATAAAAGAACCTTGGTATTTTTAGCCTTGAACGAACATTTGATTGATTTTTATAACTATGCGTAATTTATTGTAATTTTTCAGGTGGTGCTGCCAAATCTCACATGCAAGTTGCGCAGCTGCCTGTGTTGGAAAACTCCAAATGCAGGAGGGTTTATGAGTTACGAGTCATTGATGAAAGGGTCATGTGTGCTGGTGTCAATGGCAAAGATTCTTGCAACGGTGACAGTGGTGGACCTCTCATGCAACCTGATGTAAGATATTCTGCTGTTACCATGAGCGGTAGTAAGATTCTTTGTTGGCTTAACGAAAAGTACTGGGCCTAATCCTAAAGCTATACAACATTGGAAAATATAATATGACTGTAATATATGACCCAAAGAAGCCTCTTTAAAAATCTCTCATGACGCTGTTGTAAAAAAATATTGGTGTGAGGTATATTGAGTATTCTGTATATTTTCAGACGAACCGGACAACACGTAAAATATATTTCTATCAGACAGGCGTCGTGTCGTATGGTCACACTAGATGCGGTGAAGCGAATTTTCCAGGAGTTTACAGTTCAGTGCAATACTTCCTGCCCTGGATACAGAAACAACTACTGGGTTCTGAAGAATAACTTCTAGCAGCTAATTATGTATATAGAAAAATTAAACATAGACATATGCAGTTCTCAACACATTATTCTTTGTTTATAAAGATTTAATATATGTTTGTATAGATATAAAAATTGTTATCTACATAATCCAATCTTAATTCTATATTTAGTCATTAATTAACTTCAAATGATTTAGGAATAGGATTTCTTTGCAAGTAAGATAAGTTCATTCGCCACAAATTGTCTACGTAATCAACCGTTTAATATCTAAGTAGTTAATTTAACGTCTGTGGTTTAATAATACAAGAGAATTTGAAGCTTAATCACTATAGATATAACTAATCTTTTGAGATTCAATTTTAAAAATTTATCTTGTGAATATTTTAGTAGTGGATATATTGAAATTTTTAATAAAAACAAGGCTGAACTCAATGAAGGAATTATTATTCAATAACAAGCCTTGACTTCTTTTATTTATAAGAGTGTAAAAGTTGTTTCTGTGTTTATTATAAGTGAATGTATTTTATAAAAATATTAAAATGTAATTTGTTATAAGTATCAATATTAAAACTGACAAAGCTTGTTTTTCTTCCTTTCCGTTAAAGTTTTATAAATATATGTTCGGAAACAAAATATGTGATTTTAGAAATTGATTTAGAATTACGATCATACTTTAAAAAATAATTGTTTCTTTATAACTTATACCGAGTATAATTAGTTTTAAATTTCAGAGTTTATCAAACACCAGAATAAAATTACAAGTATTAAGTACTTACTAAGTTACTACTAGTAAAGTAATAATTGTGTCTTAAGACGACCACTAGGTGGCGCTTTTTGTACAATTTATATTAAGAGTACAAAAAACACCATCGTTAAAACACAAAATATGAGGATTGAAAAAACTTATCATTTCTTTAATTTAAGATATTTTTTTATGCGAAAGGTGGCAAACGAGCAGACGGCCAGTACTTGATGGTCAGTAGTTACAGAGATGTTGCAGATGCGTTGCCACTTGCCAACCTTAATTGTTGAGAAAAGGGAGGGGTGGGTATAAGAAAAAGTTGGGAAAGGATGGGAACATTGAAAGGGGAACCGGTTTTCCAACTCATTGGACTAAACGCAGCCATTAAAGACTACTTCACGTCTTTCTACTGTGAGAGGGTGGTACTTCCTAGTTCGACCCATTCATTGTTCGAGCTGTGGTACTATAGCTAGGCTCTACCGCCTCAAATAATTTCTTTACAGTTTAATTTTTATTCAATATTTATCGTTTTTATTTTTATCTAACCTTCTCCTATCATGAATTTAAATTAATAGACTTTTGACAAACCACTACTATGTATTTCAATTAATTCAATAAAATATTAAAAATATAATCAACCAAATAAAGTTTTAATATCGAGTTCAGTTTTCCAGTCAACAATTTATTCTGCTATATAAATGTATAGATACATAATTATTATAGATGCAATACATAGTTGTTTGCGTTAGTTAAACTCAAACATCACTAACAGAACAAATTTTTATTTCCTTTTTTCCTTACTTCTAGCTTGCATCTATAAATATATGAAATATAAAAAGAGCATCGAGTTCACAACCTAAACGGTAACATTTTTTGAAGGGTTTTGGCATTGTCAAAAACAAAATTCGTAAATAACAGTAAAAATCGAAATTACTATGAAGTGTTAAATTACTAGTTCTGTGGTTAGTGTCACGTCCAAGTAACTAGCTGAGTATTATCTCAGACTTCCGAATATCAAGAAATTCATAAATAATGAAGTTTTAATAAAGAAAAACATACGGAACACAAGAAATTGAAATATGTATGGAGATCTTGAATTGATAAACTTATAAAGCGCCATCTATCATCAATAGTGAACAACTTAAAATAAATCGACTGATAATAATAGATGGCGCTATTTTTAAATATTCTAATATTTTTTTTCTTATCCCTTGATGACAGATAACAGATAAAAAACATCACTTGAGATGAATGGGAACCTTATAGTTTTTAAATTGGTTGTAGGTGGCAACGGTCTATGTTTTTTATAAATAATAATATAAATATTTAAATATTAAAATCAATTTACTTCATACAAAACTTTACTTAATAAACATGTAGAAATGAATGAATTTAATATTAACTATAGAAAGTAGTTTAGTCATATATTTATAAATTCATAAATACAATTAGTTAATCGATTAAAAAATAAGAATTTTGGAAATGAAAAAAAAATATTAAATAGAAATATTCTGCAACACCACTCACTAATGGAAATAGAGCATTGTAATAAACTACATTACATTAATAAGAAACAATGCTCAGTTATGGATTACTTTTCCTGCTTCTTCAAATGTTTCCACTGATTCCGGAGACTACATTACTCAATTTAAAAGATTCATTAAAATACGTAAAACCACTTTGGTGTCGATTTCCTAGTAATCGTAAAATAATATCAGCATAATATTTAAGACAACATTTGCATTTGCAGACAAACCTTTTTTTAAATAAGTATTCACCGACTTCTCTAAATTGGCTCTTAATATTTAAAGATTATTTTTCTTAATATGTTATAATAAGTAAAATTTAGTTAAGTTCCCTAATTTAAAATATTTATTACATAGTTAATGTAATATTTATAATCTACATGAGTGAGGATGTGTTCTTTAAATTCACCAATACAAAATTATTAGTGAGCTTCGTGTGTTTTTTAGATATACATTAGGCGTATCATTAAGTGGAATTAATTAATTACATATACTAAGTGAATACAAAAATCTCTTTTTTCTTTTGTACAAATCTAAAAACTCTTAAAATATATTTCCGTAATTTAAAAAACAACAAATACAAAATATCATTAATTCTTCTTTTATTATGAGTGCTAGTTAACATTTAATCGGTTAGTTAAAAATAATTTCTTCTAGAAACCGTAAAATCAAAATTAATAATAGCAGATTATTTAAGTTATGGCAACACCTGTCAACTGCCAAGCTATAGCCAAATTCAAATTTGTTTGAACGATCTATTCGTAACGACTCGTTTGGCATCAAACGTATTTTTGTTGATAAAGTTTTTAAGTGTGAGATATGCTCATGTTATTGTGAAAACTAATAAAACATTTGTGAATTTTGATTTAAAGTTCATTTTATGTGGTTTATATCAAGATGACGTCTGAAAAAGGATGCAGGAAAGAAAAGAATCAAAACATTCAAGTGTTCGTGAGGCTGAGGTAAAAATGGTTAATAAATCACATGGATCGTTCATTTAATTATGATATATATGTATGATATATCATATACCATGTACAATGCATACATCATCGTTGAGAAGTCAAAAAATCTTATTTTAATAGTTATGACCCTTTACAAGTAATACAGCATCTTTATAACAGTGTCCGGAAGGGAATAATAGATTAGCAGTGTATAAAAACGAAATTCTTAAGTTTTATGTACACATTTTACATTAAAACGATAGTTTTTTATATTTTTGTCATTAACATTACATACATATACTATTGTTCCAGATTGTTCAATGTTTAATTGAGTGATGAAATTATATTGAATTGAATTTATTCGTTTTGAGTATAACTTAAGTAATTTGTATAATTAAACTAACAGAATAATTTCAGTATCTGTTATTCTCTAACTTTCTTGAAAAGAATACACAATTGTCGTTATCAATCCAATTAAGTTATGGGTCATCCTTAGTATTTAATGGTTCAAAAAGTAATTTAGGTCAATTATAATTAATGAATATTTTATAAAAAATGACAAAAATACTTATAAATACTTAACACATTTTCTTAAAACAACTTCATTAAGGCATATGTTTAATATAATTTATTGTGTAATTTTATATTCCTAAATCATCGGATTTGTCATCATTGAACAATATTAATGTCTATAATGAAAAGCATAGAATTTAAGACAATAACTCTAAAAATGTTAATAATTTGTCTTATATTATTTATAAAAGTCATTGTGGTCTGAAGATTAAAAGGTTAATCTCATGCATGAGAGTGCCAATGTGATTTTTCAGAGTCATACAAACTTTCTAAGAGTATTTAAACATTAATGATAGGCAGTAAAACAATTTCTAATTATAAGTTTGAAATTACCAACCCGTCTTGAGCAAGTGTGATGATTAATGCTCAAATCTTCCCCATATGAGAAGAGGGCTTACATCAGTGGGCTCTGATAGGCTGATGACGATGATATTATATAATAAAGTTATGTTCTATTTTCCATCAGACCTCTGAACCAAAGGGAGAGGGACATCAAGTCTCTAGGAGTCGTCGAAGTGGTTAAACAACAGGGAGGTGGTCGTGCGTCAGTCACAACAGAACTCATTAACTAAGAGATTCACCTTTGATCGAGCATTCCCACCTCACTCTAAACAGGTAATATTAAGTTACTATAAAACATACAAAAATGCTTACGAAGCTAGCTTAGAGGTTAAAGTCATTCTATACATGCTTATGAAAACAAAAAAAAACATTTATAAGGTTTAACTGATAATAATAAAAAAAAAGTATGTGCAAAAAATCTATTTAATTAAGGATCCTATCCAAATATCAGATTGTTCCCGGTATTCAATCTAAATAATGGCAAAAGTTGTGATACAATCTTATACTTTTGTGTTTTAAGATTCTTATATAAATTATAAAACTCTTCCATCCAACCTTATAGATTGAGAATAAGAATTTTGGCAGAGAAAATCAGCTATAAAATTCATAAAAAAAAAAAAGAATTCAAATGATCCTCAAACTACTATTACTACTTGGTAATAGTATAAAATTATACTGAAGCTTTTCTATCCAACTTTATACTCTAAGAATAAATCTTATAAGGTCAAATAGACAATAGAATTAATTTAATTCTAAAAAGAAATAAAATGGGCCTCTTAATATTATTTTTTCTATTTGAATACACACTTATATTTAATATATTTTATATAGTGTTGTTATTTTGTCAGGTGGAGGTTTACCAAGAGGTGGTTAGCCCTCTCATTGAGGAGGTATTAGCTGGTTACAACTGTACGGTGTTTGCCTACGGACAAACTGGCACTGGTAAAACTCACACTATGGTCGGAGAGGCAGCACAAGATGAAACTACGTGGCAAAATGTTAGTATAGTAGAGATTACTCACTTAAATACTCACTAACTTAGTAGGAAATAGTCAATATGTGCTTAATGAGAACTAAAACTTTGCGTGTATTCATTTAATTTTTTTTTTATTACACTTATGTTGATATTTTTTACAAATATGTCTAAATTTTCACAGTGTCCCATAAACCAATATTGGTTTTTCCGTACACTGGAATTCATTGTCGTTAACTCACAATTACATTAATGTCTTAATACATTTATATTTTGTACTAATAATTTCGGATTATGTACTTTTAAAATTTATTGTGACAAATTTTTAAGAAACTACATACTCCTGACGTTTCAGTTATTTTTGGTACATCAGTGATTATGGGTAAATGAAATTCTGCAGAGTAACCGAAATGTCGGGCGTATGTAGATAAAATAGTAAAAAACGCGTAGTAATACGAAAATATTAGTTTCCATTTAAATAACTGTATACTTTGATGATACACTTCGTTGAGAATTTTCAGCCAGAAATATCAATAATGTACATTATATCTTAGCAAAGAGCTAAGGAATATAATTTCTCATCAAAAACTAGAAAATAAATCATTTTAAATTTTTAATATGTGCAACAATATCTAGATAGTAATAATTCTATCTATAACTTTCAATAGAATACATATTTATATCTTTTAAAGTGTGTTGAGAGAGTTAAAACATAACTTTGAAGTTAATTTCTTTCGGAACATTTCAGGATCCTCTTGCTGGTATAATTCCCCGAGCCTTGAGCCAGTTGTTCGATGAGCTTCGTCTGTCCAACACTGAATACACAGTGAGGGTTTCGTACTTGGAACTCTACAATGAAGAGTTGGTCGACTTGCTATCATCAGAAGATGGTTCCAAGCTACGAATATACGAAGATGTTACAAGGAAAAGGAGCTAATATAGTCAACGGTTTAGAAGAAATTACTGTGAGTTGAAATTTATAATAATTGTGTATTATTTTAGATTTAAATAGCTTTTGCCTGTGACTTCATTCACATTAAGTTTCACGTTAGTTTTGGCTTTAAGTAATATATGTATAGCTTTTCGGGCGATATTCCGCCGTAGAGGCCGTAAATAACCAGATATTGGAATTTATTAAGTATCTTTTATCTTTTTTGATCGAATAGAATTAAATAAGCTATTTCCGTCTCCTGGTTCTAATCTATCTCTCAAGCAATTTTTAACCATATCCCTTTAGTCATTCTTGAGTTATAAATACTGTAACTAATCCACCTTTCTTTTATATAGAAATATCAATTTGTGCATAAAACTGTTTTAAGAACTAATAGGATATTATATTTACACATATTATTATGTTTTAAATGGTTTTTAGTCTACATGACTCATAAACTAATAAATATATCAAAGAATAGTTTTGAATTGTCTGCAATTTATTTCAAATTACCGATTTTCTTGTTATCAGGTGTACAATAAGAATGAGGTGTACAAGATCATGGCTCAAGGGCAGGAACGGAAGAGAGTTGCTTCCACACTTATGAATGCTCAGTCCAGGTAATAATATGTATATTAAAAGTAACATATGTATTTACTCACTACTACTTGTATTTTAATATTTGATTTATATATTACTTATTTAAATAAAATATTGTTCATATTGACTTATTGATAACAAGTTACGCCCCGCGGTGCTACCCGCGGATTTCCGAGATTTCCGGGATGTAAAGTAGCCTTTGTGTTATTCCTGGACGTCAGTTTCCTGTATACAAAATTTTATCAAAATCGGTTCAGCCGTTTGAGCATGAAGAAGTAACAAACATACACACACACTCACAAACTTTCGCACTTATAATATTAGTAGGATAATAATTATCTAAAATTATCTAAATAATGTCACTGTTGTTATGAAGGCATTTGTTTTATACACAAGGTATGTTTTCATATTTGAATGATTATTATCATGAGAAAAGACCTGTAGATCTTTAGGGTGGACTTTGAGTCTTTACGTCCATTGAGATTTACGCTATAATTGCGTCGTTGTTGTCCGGGATGCACTGTTAAGGAAGTAATTACGTCAAATATTGAAAAATTTAAAAGCGATACAATAATATCCCACTATGGCGAAGAGAGTGACCATTATTTTTTGTGGCTAATTCTCAGGCATATCATGTTAAGCCCTACATAACCACCCTATTCTAAAATATATACAGATTTTTCCAACTTTAAAAAATTTTTTTACTTTATGATTAAAATATTTATCAAACTAATCTTTATAACATTTATATAACATTCCAGTCGCTCTCACACCGTGTTTACGATCGTGGTTCATATGAAGGAAAATAGTCCCGAAGGAGAAGAATTGGTTAAGATCGGCAAACTCAACCTTGTAGATCTTGCAGGGTCTGAGAATATCAGTAAGGCAGGCAGTGACAACCCTGCCAAGAGGGAGAGGGCCAGGGAGTGTGTGAACATCAACCAGTCTTTATTGACCCTCGGCAGGGTCATCACTGCATTGGTTGAGAGACATCCGCATATACCATACAGGTACTTGTTTTACTTATATTTATATATACTTACATACTATTATATCTATATATATGTATATACTTATATTCACATCTCGTTTTAATGATCACGGTTGTAAAGTTATCGAAACGTCGGGAGTATGTAGTTAAAATTATGAAATAGGAGTACAGTCCGTTAGACTTAAGCTGAGCTTTGCATTTGTGTGAGTGAAAGTAAAAGTAGAGTTAGACAAAAAACTCTTAGAATTAAATTTTATTATATTTTAAATAGATACATAATGTACCTGCTATTGTTATTCTAGATTAAAAATAAAATAAGCATAAGAAAAAAATTTATTGATAAAAATTTTTAAAAAACTATACAAATTCTTCTTCACTTGACATAGCGTTTTCAACTTTTGAAGTTGCTACCAGTACAAAGGGTGAAGTGAGGAAGGTGCGGTGCGGAGTAAAAGCAGAATAAACAGGTTAAAAACTAGAAAAGAATGTTTCATTCAAAAATTTGACATCTCACCTACACTATCAGTGTGCACAAATGCAAAGCTCAACTTAAATCAAACGCGCTATAGTAATGCGAAATAATATTAGTTACATTTAAATACATAAAATTCGGTCGTCTTAATTTCATTGCGTTATTATGATTTTTATGTATATAAATGTAAAACTATGTTTTGGCTTCTTAAATTTCTAGTTATATATGTATATTATTCGTTTTCTGAAGTAATCTTCTACATAGAAAAGTATTTTTTTACATGGAATATTTTTGATAAATATTGATTATACTTTGCATTCCAGGGAATCAAAGCTAACCCGAATCCTCCAAGAGTCTTTGGGAGGCAGGACGAAAACCTCAATAATAGCAACCATTTCACCTGGACACAAAGATTTAGAGGAAACTATGAGTACTCTGGAATACGCCAACAGAGCGAAAAACATCCAGAACAAACCAGAAGTTAACCAGAAACTGACCAAGAAAGCTATTTTGAAGGATTACGCTGAGGAAATTGATAGATTGAAGAGAGATCTACACGCGGCAAGGGAAAAGAATGGTTAGATATTGAAAAATATTCACTTTATATACATCATAAATTTTGATAAGAGCTTAGATTTTGCTAAAGCAACATCATTAACATATTCATAAGTATTAGAAAAACCCTTTCAGTAATTTACGATAATATTTCGGTTTAAATTTACTAATGAAAATCATAAATTTACAAAAACAGATGTTTATAGATAAATCTTGTGTTGTAAATAAGAACAAATAAAATTAGTATGTTTCTTTGTGATATTGAAATATCTACTTTCACATGTAGAGGCTATATATTTTGTAATAGATAGATCAAAATAGATTTTTTTTTGTTTTTTGTCTATTTTTTCTGACTAAGCTTCATAACAACTGCACACGTATTGATGGATTTTCAGTGTTAGATTTATGTGATAAAAAATTACTTAATTTTTATTTAATATAAATAAATGGTCAAAATAACTCCACTCAGGCAAAATCAAATGTTATTAGTATAGAATTTTAATATAAATCATTATATTTCATTCTGTAGGAGTGTACCTAGCTAACGATACATTCGCCGAAATGACGCTCAAACAAGAAGAACAACGGAAAGAAATTCAAGAACTGCTTCTGAAGAAGAGAGCTATGGAGGAAGAGAGGGAGAGAATACGACAAGTGTTCCAGGAGTTAAGAAATCAATTAGAAGATAAATTGAGAAACACGCAGGATCAACTGGCAAAGACCAATGAGGTTATATACAATATTATAAATGCGAAAGTAACTCTGCCTGTCTGTCTGTTACGCTTTCACGACTAATAATAATAAACTGATTTTAATGAAATTTCAAGAGGACTATGACTCTTTTTATTGTCAAGAATAGATAGTTTTTATCCCCTACTTTAGAAAATAAATTAATTAACAAAATATAAAAAAACTTCACGCGGGCGAAGCTGCGGGCGGAAAGCTAGTATACAATATTTCTCAAGGACTGCATCTAATTTCCAATCTCCAAAGAACTCTAATTTCGTTAAATAGTAAAAGTATGTCTTGGAGCTATATTTAGAATTTTAAGAAACACTGTTCACTTACCGAAATTTGCTAGTTAACTGATTTATAAATTTGACTTTGTGCATATGCAAACAAAGCACTTATTTGATCATCTGGAAATTTAAACAAAGAAAGCTTAAGTTTTATGAATATAGTATCGGTGCCTTTGGTGACTCAGTCGCAATGTCCATAAGGGATGGCTAGGAATTTGTGTCAAATGGTTTATAAAAACAAGTCGCTATACTCAAAATAAACGCTATGTCCGAAGTCGCTATTACCGAAAGAATTTCTTACGAAAGTATGCTTCAAATTCAAGGGACCCAAGTTTGACGTCGCTATAACCAAAAGTCGTTACAACCGAGGTCGTTATTAATAAAACCCACTGTAGTTAATTCATTTTTTTTAAGTTATCTCTAATGTAACGAGATGTAAGATTTTCGCGTATTTTTAAATGAAATTAATATTTCTGGGATTTCTATGCGTGCTTTGTTTTTATTAAAGATTACATACTTCCGAAATTTTGGGTTTATTTTCAACAATAACGGTACATTTATCAGTGTAATTGTTCTAATTAGAGCCAATTTAGATAGTTATAAAAGCTTAATATCTACATTTTTCATTACATAATACTTAGTTAACTTTAATTGTTTAACTTATCATCTGCTTTACTTAACTAGAGCTGAATATTTCCAGAACCTCCGTACAACGAAACAGCAGTACCTTGAACAGCGCCATCTGGCTAGCGTTCGCGCTAACACGGAGAAAGTACTCACAGAACAAGCGACGAAGATTCTAGAAGCCGCGGACAGCGCCTCCGCTGATGCCCTAGGGCTCCACGACGCGGTGGACAGACGAAGAAAATTAGAAGAAGACAACCTAGGCCTTACCACCGGCTACAGGGAACATGCAAGGAAACATCGGGATTATGCACGAGAAGATCTTAATGACTACATGCACTCACTCATCGGAGCACTCAAGGAAATTACTGATCATTTAGGTACTTATATATTCATTATCATCATCATCCTTTCAAAGTCCATTGAGCATAGCCTCTTCTCACATGGAGAAGGTTTGAGCATTATCACCACATTTGCTTAAAAGGGTTTGGTGATTTTAAACTTATAATTTGATTATAAGTCCAGGTTTCCTCACGTTTTCCTTCACTGTTTGTCAGTGGTGTTTAAATACTCTTATAAAGTAAATATGACTTGATAAATCACATTGGTACTTGCCAAGTTTTGAACCTGCGCCTTCAGGCAAGAGGCAGGGCTCTAATCGCTTTTTTTTTTGTATATTTACACTACAATGATATATAATTGTGTGTTTTTTTATTTTGCAGACACCTTTACAAACATGTGCAGTCAAACACACTGTGATAATGAACAGACTCTGAATGAATTGGTCAAGAATACTATGAATGTTATGGAAAAGGTGAGGCTATGTCACATATAAGGAGCAATTTATATATAATATATTATAATTTTCATAGTATATAAAGCATAATTTTAGGTTAATTTTTTTAAAAATCTTCATTTTTGTTAAATATACATCTAGTTGTCTAGTTGGTAATATAAGATTTTTCTCATATATGGTTAAAAAAGCTATTTCAAACCTGTAATTTGTATGAAATTATTTCAGATAAAGACAATGAAAGATAACGTCAGCACTGATATTGAAGAAACAACGAAGACTGAGCTGTCTACACTCAGAGAGAACGTCAAGTTGAGGGAAGGAGCCATTTTAGATGTTTTGAACCAGCTGTCAAATGGGATTCAAACAAATTTGAAGAAGACAGAGGTCGATGACCTCGGGCTATTACTGAGAGTTATTGAGGAACTGGTGAGAAAAATATTTGACACGAAAGCTATATATATACTATCAATATTTAAGGAGAATACTCGGTACATGATTCTCATTCGAATTATGTAAAAAAAAAGGCACTTAATTTTTGACAAAATTTCCGTAAAATAAATAAAGTGTTGACACAAGTTTGTATGTAAGACACCACGCCCCCGCCGCGTTTCAAGTGGTATAGTAGCGGCAAAATTACATATTTGGCTTTAAGAAGTTTTGGAGTGTGAATAAGTTCAAATACCGTAGCATGTACATATTAGTGCAACAGATAGTGTTCACTTTTGATGCTTATCAAAAAGTTTGCGAAAAGTCAACAAAAAGTGTACTTTTGATGCAAAAAAAAAACCATAGCAAAAAAACTAATGGGTCCGATTTGAGTGCTCTTAAGTGTACTTGGAATTAAACAACCAATCCCATGCCCCACATCATACCTAAAAATCGCATTCTGCTCTTCTTCGTCAAGTTACTAATAGTATAGTTTAGTATTTACTTGACATAAAGCCATTATTTTCATACTTTTATAGTTTTTCGTGACATGTGTTTGTGTTATCAGAGGTCTGCGTCGTCGGCGCGAGTGAAGGCGGTCCGTGAGTCCGGTGGGCGTGTGGAGCGCGCGGTCCGTGAGACCGGCGGCCGGCTGAGGAGCGCCGCGGGACACGCCAGGGAACACACAGACGGACACGCGGGTGCTATGGACCGAGCCGTGCGGGACAGGCTCGCTGTGAGTAGCCCACAATTCATCCTCATATCTGAGCTACAACACTTCAAAGTTTCATCATAATCTGTTGACTTGTTATTGTTTAAAATGGCAAATATTCATACATCATCACAAATTTTTGTATTTGTATAATACTAGTATATCACAAGCTGATGTCGTGACTCCTTTTTTATCATTAAAATTAATTTAAGCTTTTAAAATAAAAGTAGCCTAGGTGACTCCTGTAACATCGGTTTCCTAACTGTTAAATAATCGGTTCAATCCTTTCAGACGTTGTTCTCAAGAAATAAGAGAAAATTTTGTAAAAAAAATTATATCCTTACTAATATTATAAATGCAAAAGTAACTCTGTCTGTCTGTTACGCTTTCACGCCTAAACCACTGAACTGATTTTAATGAAATTTGGTACACAGATGGAGTTGATCTTGAGAAAGAACATAGGATAATTATTATCCCAGACTTTTCAAAGATTCTCTTGGAAACGCGATATAACCGAATTCCACGCGGGCGAAGCTGCGGGCGGAAAGCTAGTTTCACTATATGTATCTTGCAAGCATCCAAAGTTAACTTAAAATTTTTCTCAAATATAAATGTATATTACATATATCAAATAACTGATTCATTTCCATAATCAGCTCTTGATGGAGGAAAAATCGAGGTCGGAGAAGTATCTAGCAGAACAAATGGCTGTAGTTGAGAATGAGAGAAGAGAAATTGAGATACGACTTAAGAAGTGGGAAGAAGATGAAATGAAGCGGATCAAACTACATGTGGACACAGAAAGAAGTCTTCTAGAAGATAGACTGGCTGCCAGAGTTAAAGATATAGAAGAACAGAGAAGAATTATGGAAGAAAGAATGACACAGAATATGGATTGGCTTAATGGTCTGTTGGAATCTAGTGACACACAACGACGGACAGCCGAAGAAGATTTAAATGCTTTGGAAAAAGAACTACAGAGTTGTATGACGAATGTTGATGGATGTATACATGAAATGGATCAAGGTAAATTGTTATTACAGAGAAGTACAACTATATAATGATTTGCCAAACTACATAAATGTTTAAATGCTTTTAAAAATAAACTTAAAATATGTATACATATATTTGTCAATATTAAGTAGTACTAGCCATTCCATGTATCAAATATTATTGTATGTGTGTAACAATATTTAATCTCATGTAAGTGAACCTATTTATGTTCTTGTGAGAATAAAGATCTTTAACCATAAGTAGAAGAATAGTTGTCTTACTTTACAGTAGTAAGGGAAGATAATTACTCTATGGTTTTGACTCAGTCTATGATCTTTGATGGTCTATGGTATTTGACTCAGTCTATGGTCACACCACAGAAAAACTATGTTCTATAGAAAATATTTTCATACTTAATTATTTGTTGCAGAAAGCATTGCAATAATAAGCGACACAGACAAACGGACAGAGGAGGCTGTAAAGGTTGTTGAGAAAATACAAAAAGACTTACAAGGAACGGTGACGGGAACAGATACTTGTATACAGGTGATTGATTATTATATTAACTATGCAGATATACAGGGTGACTGGTGAATTACTATCAATATTTAAGGAGCATACTCGGTACATGATTCTCATTCGAATTATGTAAAAAAAATAGGTACTTAATTTTTGACCAAATTTCCGTATAAATAAATAAAGTGTGTACATGTTCCAAGTGTGGACGCGTGCGGTGGCGTGCTGACACAACACGCCGCCGTGCACGAGTGTGTGTGTGTGTATACCTAATCTGTAGGGTGTTCATACGATGCGTAATTAATTACATAACTTTTGGTTAACTTTACTTAGAAGTTTATTAATATTTATGTTATATTAATTTTTATGTTATATTAATTTTTATTTTGTCATATATGACCGTCAATTACCACGTCCTCAAATATCGATAGTAATTCACCAGTCACCCTGTATATTGCAATTATTTATAATTTTTATAATTATTTAGTGTTTAATTTAATACTAATTGTGTAAAATTTACGTTAAAAGTCGTTAATTTAGAAAATCATTCAGCTTAAACTTTCTTCTGATAATATTCTTCATATGTAAATACACGGAATTATGCAGTTGTAGTTACGCGGAATTGCACTATCCCCAACGATATAAGTTTTTCTCATTATGTTTTAAGTTAATAATAAATGGTACTTCATTTCAGTCGATAGCAGCTGACACTCAAAGTCTCAGTGAGGTTGCCGACCTTGCAGATAAAACCGTCAATTCGATCGAAAAAAAATGTAACGAAACTGTTGATTCGATGGTTAATGAATTCGAAGTGAGTATTCGTATATTGATATAATTCTTTTAAATGTTTTATATACATTAGAATATGATATTATAATACCACATATCTTCAATCAGGCTACATCTTCAGAAGCTATTGAAAGCGTTCGTCGTGTGGAAGCCCTGTCTCATAGTTTAGCGGAGAACACTCGGGGACACCGCCACGAGCAGGGCGAAGCCCTACAAGGAGTGCGGCAGAGGGCGGAGGCGCTCCAGAACGACCTGGTGCGGGAACTTGATGCGTTGAACCAACTTGATGAGCGATGTCTGTGGAGGGAATACGCTGTATATAGACCCAGCGGTGAGTAACAAATAAAACATGCCTTATATAGCTGATGTATATGAAGAATGGTAACTACCTCCTATCAAGTAGGTCGTTATTTGTTTGGCAACTTTGATATAAAAAAGTAGCGCTTCATTATAAAACTTACTGATTAGATGGTCGCCAATTATGTTATAAATATTTAATTAAACAATATTAGTTACTTTTTACAACCATTCGTCGATAGGTATCTTTATATATATATAATTCTTCTGTGAGTGTGTATGTCACTGAACTTCTCTCAAACGACTGGAGCGATTTTGATGAAATTTTTTGTGTGTGTTCAAGGGGATCTGGGAATGGTTTAGATTCACAATTTTTGATTTATTAGTAGTTGTTGTTACAAACGTTTTATTTGACATTAGATTTGACAACTAACTAATATGTCAATAATTCTGTCGAACTTCAAAACACGGAGATTTATGGCTTTAATAGGTAAACTCCAAAAATACAATAAATAAAAAAACGTAACAATATTTCTTGATTATAGTAACGATTACGATTATAGTAACGATATTTCTTGATTATAGGGCCATACTAAGTTCGCCGGGTCTTCTAGTATATACATAAAACTAAAACTACCTTACAGATAATAAAACCAAATGAATATTTCTACTTAGATATATAACCTCTTATCACAATCAGTAAATAACAAACCCCATATTTCACCAGGTTCGACCCCAGCGCGTCGCCCATACAACTACCCTCGCTCCCTGGCTGCCACATCTCCAGAATCTTTGGTACTAGCAAGACTAACTTCAGATTCGGTCTTAGAAGATTCCAGTGATGAAGACTTGATCGAGGATCTCACTACTACAGATGAGAGTATTGTTAACGGTGGCAATGAGAACGGTACAAATAATAGGAAACAGGTGAGGAAATAAACTATAGATTAGAAATATTGATAGCATAAATGTCTCAAATATTATTTCTGATATTAAATTCTTCTTAATGTACCCTCATGAGCATCACAGACAAAAAAGGCTGGAAATAAGACTTAAAAGATTGTTAACATGAAAGATATCTCAATCATATTATTTCTGATATTGAACTCTTTTTAATATGCCGTCATGATCCATCGATAAGCATTCGTGGAATATTCATATTGTTGTAACCATTACAATGCTTGTTATATTTTAGAAACCTATTTCAAGGTAGTTAATAATGTCTATAGGTATAGATAATAAAGATTCGTGTTTTATAACAAGTATATAACTATCACTTGAAATATGTGTGAACCGTACTGCGATTTTCATGCCAGGAATTTTGTGGAAATTTTATCAGAGTCAATAGCTTATGTGGAATTTTTCAATTTCATTTTTTTTTTTGATTCAGAGGCAAGTTGTAGGAGAGTTTTTTATTAATCGAATTCTGCATATCCCTAGTTAATACTCACTCACCTGGATTTGTCTATGCACTTGATTTATATATTTATATATATATATATATGTGTGTATGTGTATCTGTTACAGCGTGAGGAGTCTGGAAAGGAAAACGTGAACTCAAACCGCTCGATGAGCTTCAAGAAGCCGTCCAAGCTACCAGCTCCTTCAAGCATCAAGAAACCTCTCGTGGATAGAAATGAATACTAATACGTTTCAAATGTATCCATGATGTTATTAATAATAAATATAATTAATTTTATACTATATAATAATAATAATATTATCGTTTTTAATTCGATTCACAAACGAAGCTGGTGTTGACGCTTCGAATATATTAAATATAATTTTTTTATCTGGTAATCCTTTCGTGTTGTATCTGTACCGTGTTTAGTGTTAATTAAAAATATATATTTGATGATTTTATTTCTGTATAACCACCGAGTCTGTTTCCTGTAACTTAATATATTGAAATATACTCTTTAATATGTGTTTACAGATTTAGCTACCAAGTTTGGAGATGTTTTTGTAATAAAACTGATGATCAAAAAACTATTTATTTATTATATATGATTTTAAATAAATCTTATTTAAGAGTTGCTATTGGCATTAAATGTGGTAATTTGAAAAAATTCCAACGTGGGTCAAAAGCGAATATAACTATGTTTATATTTTTTTATGTGTTGATGAAAGCGGCGTTTCTACACGATCAAGATAAAATTAGCAAATAAATGTCTATGAATTAGTGACCATAATTTAAAATACCTTTTTTTACAATTAAGTAAAAAACTTAGTTATTCAACTATGTCTTAAAAATAAATTAAATGTAATAATTTACAAAGAATTTATTTAAAAAATATGAAATGGTACTGCCTACGGACGTTTCTGTCTAGTGTCTACTGCTGTAGAAGAAATTTATTAGATAAATGACATCAACTTTTAGAGGCTAGTTCTTGATTTAACAAATATCTCGTCTTCGCAGTATCGTTGTATCAACACTCATGTTATTTAATTATTTTGTATTCATTATTGCTCATCGATATTATATTTATTGATTCTTAATATTAAATTGACAAAAATGTAATATTTTAAATATTATATCAATACGATTGACGAAAAGCCAGAGTAATGTGCTTAAAAAAATATTATGAGTATAAACATTAACAGTTTTTCGTATCAATAAGGAAAAAACGAAATGACTTAATAATCAAATAGTTTTTAAGCTACAGACGCACCAGATATAAAATTTCACTGTAACAAATAATCAGAAGCATAGAATTTTTAAGTACGAATAACGTATTAATAGCGCCTCTGTAAGTTGTAACCTTTCCACGGAATGATTTCCAATGACAATAAATTTTAATTTCCAAACATCTCTTTAAAGATCATTATCAGTGGCTCTGACTAATAAGTTGTCGAGTGACTATTGAGACAAAAATATAAAATGATTAATCTTAATCTAAGCTTCTATCTATCTATCAACGTATAATCGAGTCTAGCTGACAGAAGTATGATGGGAACTACAAGTCAACGTTTTATTTCACTTTCATTTAGACATATTTAACAGTTAGTTATTACGATTATAATCAATAACGAATGCTGTTACTGAAATCGCTGACCAAAATACACTAGTTTTTTAACATTCCCATTTAAAATTCCACAATTTTTTTCATGATAACCGACAAGAACAGATCCAAACTGGATAAATGGGAACGTCATTATACGGAGAGTTTTTGCGACTGGCAACACTCATTACACCATTTCCTCCCGCGCTTTCTTGAAGAAAATTAAAGAGTTGCCGCATTAATTCTATCCGTATGTCGCAGAGTTTTTGCGTCGAAGCCAGCGTTATGGCGGGAGCGCGTCTTTTTTGCCGCGGCTGGAGCGCGAGCTTCCCAGACTCCGAGAACGACAAAAACGGACGGAGTCGCGAACTGTGGAATCTTCACAAAAACACAAAACTCGACAATAACAGGCGACGTCGATGAAATACTAAGAGTTCCACTTTATTTTTTACGTCTTAGCACAATTTGCATCGACCCGTTTTGAAGTTTTTCCGCGTGAAATTATCATCGCGTTCCGAAAACTGCGGTCGCACAAAAAATTTATGGAAATTCCTGTTCTCAGAATGGACATTTATTAGTAATGGAATTCATTAACAACTCCTTTGACACTTGTATGATATATCAAAGGAGCTTTTAATTATACTTTAAAACAGAAATCATACTTCGCTCTGGTAGTGATTGACGCGGACTTTGGACTTCGATACAATTTTTAGAAACAATTATATAATCTTTATCTGAAAAATCTGGAACTCTTTTTATACTTCGTACAGAATATATTGGTTTTGAAAGGAAATAAAAATAATAAGTTATATTAATTATTAATATAGATTACAGTGTTGATATAATGTCGGCCTCTCGGTGGGCGGAGTACGAACGGTTCAACACCTTTTTAGGTCAATTGTATAAAAAAGTATTAGAAAGTAAATGTTCTTTATGATTCGCTGTAGTTTTTAATTGATTATATTATGTTCTATATAGGTATGGGCGCGAGTAGATTTATTTTTATTGGCGGGAACTTATAGAATAATTTCTCTATTACCTCTTGATATAATCTCTGATATTGAGGTTTTTCAGTCTAAATAACAATATTAGGATTTAAATATATAATGAAATAATTTTTTTTATTATGTCTTATAAGAGATTAAATCTCCAATACAAAAATTCAGGCTTAAACTAGAAAAAGTTCCTATTGTATTGTTAGTAAGATTCACATAAAAATTTAAAAAAAAAATCCAATAAGTAAAACTTTTATGAGCAAATGAGTTTTTTTTTGTTTTAAATAAAGAATTCAACTTACATACTTCTCAAGAAATATTCCTGCATTGTGTCTAGCACTAAGCTTTTAACTATGAAATTTGGTTGGAATAAATATTTTTTAATTGGTTATACGTAATGTCACTTACAAGACTTTTGCCGCGTATTTGTAAATAAGAAATTTGACATTTAGGGAAGTGAGTGAATGAATGATAATAGTGATGGGTGAAAGGTTGTTAGAGCACACAGCATACAGCATACAGCCCGCAGCACACTCCCTGAACGGGTTCACCGGTTTTTAGTATTGAAAATGAGACGGTGAGGCGGGGCCGAGCGTGAGAAAATACTTACTATTATACAGCGGCTAGGAAACACGCGTTAGAACTTAGATGAATCTTTGATCAATCACATATATATACTACAATATATATATTTATATACTTAAAAATATACATAATTTTGTATTGTTCTGCTTGTTTTTATTCTATAATAAAATTAGACTAAATTACTTTTCTCCATATGTCATTACAGTGACGTATTTAGTAGTATATAATAATATATTTTTTTGCTATAACATAATAAATCGTTAGTTTAATGGCCTTAGTTTTTCTGTGCCTATGATCTGCGGTCTGTAAAGGCGTTGCAGGTTTTTCTCTGGCGGTGAAAGGTTGCTCGGACCTAGCAGAATGTCGATATGATGATCTAACAGCTCTCGCACTGTGGGAACGCACGCCTTTTTGTGAAAACTCACGAAGGATTGAGAAAAACAATTACTTTTTATATTGTACATTAGAGAAAATTGATTTATATGAAAAAATGTTAATGAATTTTGTTTCCTGGTAACTATTTCTATGGAATATTGTATGCTATGCTAGTATTATTCGATTATGCAATAATGAGATTGAGTGAGAAAATTAAAATATTTGGATTTATATATTTCTGTAACAATATTTATTTATAGGACAGTGAGGTCAAATTTATTATATTTAAAATGAAACAAACATATAAATATTATATATGCAATATGTTTATTTACGCTTATGTTAAAAAATAGGCACACAGTATTTAAAAATGTTATGTATATTTAACAAATAGACACCATAGTTTTCTCAATATGTATAGTTATTAAACTTTACAAGAGTTTTTTCAATAATTTCTTAACATTAAGTTAATATCGCTTTATTCTATTAAGGACACAATAGTTTAATTTGGAAAGCTACTAAAAAACACTGTATTGTATAGGTAGTTGGTTCGAATCCTGATTGTGTCGAGAAATTTTTTAATGACAAGGACGCTTAATACTACATACCCTTGGCCTAATATTATTACTAACTTTTCATTAACGAACATCTATTTATTCGCATGAACACCATCGTATCGGGTTTAGTTTGAACATCAAACGAGTGTCCACTTACGAATGCTTTTTCCCGCCGTCTGTTTAAAATTGCTTACAAAAAATAATTTCCTGTAAAGGCTGTTATTTACAAAACATTCGCTCTCGACACGATAAAAGTCAAGGTTCAGTGAAAAAAATTCAATTACAATGAAAGTAGCTTTAATTTATTATGACATTATAAAAGAAAGATTTTAATTTATACTTAATGTTGTTGAATATCATTGTTTTTTATTTATTTATTTATTTATAATAAGCACACTAACAACATACATATTAAAAGTTTTCAGTTAAGGAAGATGACTATATTATAATAACAGATATGTACGTCAATGACAAAGTGTACATAACATTTACCAAATACAATCAAAAAAGTATACACACTAATTTAGATATAAAACAAAAATACTACTTAAAAATAACAAAATCAAAAAAAAATAATTATATAAACTTAGGAAAACTATGAATTAGAAGAAAGATAGTCAATGATAGTCAATTTTATATGAAAGTTTATTAAATACTAGTTGGTTTATACGGCTTTGCTCTCGTAAATATTTATTAAATGCCTTAGGTGTTGATTTATTTGTATAGGTACTAATAATTACATAATAATTGATAAAAAAATCTTTAAAGTCTCCTCTTGGTATCTCTGATAGACATCTATCATATATTGTAAGCCTCATTGAAATCTGTCAAGCCGTTGGGACAATTAAAGGGAAGACAAACAAGGTTTCAAAGCGGTACCTTTATTCATTTGTGTGTTCATTCAGTTTCCTTAGCAATTTTTTTAAATAATTACTAAGGAGGTTTTGATTGGATTTTGATAATAATAATCTTCTATATATATAAAAATGGATTGCTGTTCCTTAGTCTCGCTAAAACTCGAGAACAGCTGAACGGATTTATCTTATCTTAGTCTTGAAATGTTTGTGGAGGTTCAGGGAAGGTATAAAAGCTGAAAAAAATTGATTCATTACTGGGAAAACCATAAAAACAGC